ATCGTGTGTCAATCGAGTCTTGCGCCCAATGTGTTCCCAATCTTGTTCCCACAAAATGTTCTACTTGTGCTTCACGTTTTCTAACCGAGTTCCCAGGAGGGTTTCGAGTGTGGAGCTATGTTCCTGAGCACATCCATCCTGAAAGCTGGAAATAATAAAGGGTAGTAAGGGGCGGTTATAAGGATGGCACTAGGGGAAGGGTGGGGGGGGAGGGGGGGGGGGGGAGGGGGGTGGAGGGGGGGGGAGGGGGGGGGAGGTGGGGGGGGGGGGGGGGGGGGGGGTGTGGGGTTGGAGGGGGGGGGGTGGAGGGGTGGGAGGGGGGGGGAGGGGGGGGGGAGGGGGGGGGAGGGGGGGAGGGGGGGGGAGGGGGTGTGAGGGGGGGGGTGGAGGGGGGGTGGGAGGGGGGGGGGAGGGGGTGCCTTGGACACTTAACGTCTATTCTGCGCGTGCTCTTTGTTTTCGACCTCTCTGGGATTGGGTTCTCGTTTGGCGCTTCAACGCGGAAGGCGTTCTTTCTGGCGAAAGAGGCCACGAAGAGGAGACGGCCAAGGGAGGACGGCGGGATGACGGAATGAATTTGACGGGAAGGGCCACGGGGAGACGACAACGGCCCAAGGGAAGGGGGGTGTCGGAACATTTTGCTTTTGGGAGGGGGGCCCATGCGATGGTGTCAGGTGGACGCACGGGTTCGGGAAACAAAGGATGCCGGAACCCTTCCTGGCCCTGCGCGCCCTCCCGCGCGCTCCGACGGCCTCCGAGTCACTCAGCGGCCCTCCGCGCGCCCTCCGCGCGCCCTCCGCGCGCCTCCGCGCGGGGCCCCTTCCGCGCGCCTCCGCGCTCCTCAGCGCTCCCTCCGCGCGCCCTTTTTTTCCACGCCCTCCGCGCGCCCTCCGCGCCCAGCTCAGGAAAAATGGCTGCTGAGGGTGAGGGTGGCATGCGTCTATTCTGCGGGTGCGTTGCGTCTATCTGCGGAAGTGTTTCCTTTGTAAAAGTTATTGTTTACAAGGCACGCTACGTCGCAGGCATTAGCCTTTGAAGTGGTCCATCTTACAAGGCACGGGGGGAGGGGGGGGAGGGTGGGGGGGGGGGGGGGAGGGGGGGAGGGGGGGGGGGGGGGGGGGGGGGGGGGGGGGGCAGGCAGGGTCCTGTTGCAGCGGCCTCCAGGAGCCCAGTTGCACAGGACCCTAAGACATCCTTTGTTCCCCCACGCTTGAAGGTTCATGGGTAGCGATAAGTAGGGATAGAAGTATGGTCATTATTACTTTGTAAACCCACTTCGGGTACCTTTCACCCTACTTGGACAACCGATAACACCCTCCGAGTAAAAGCCCGAAAGCAAACCGACACTCGTACTGGCGCGTGCTGGCCTGAGCTCCTGGCAGCAAGAATTCAAGTTCATCAGCCCAACTGATATGGTCATCATGATGCCGAACAGGGACGATGGCCGACCAGGGTGAGCGCTCCTGCATCGTCTTCGGATGGACGGCCACACTGATCAAAGCTTTTTAGTTCCCTGACATCCCGCCTGGAGCCTTCACTCCTGTGCAAGAAGGAGCTTCACGCCGCAAGCTACATAAGCCCTTGTGTTCTTATGTATCATGGGTTCAGGGTAGTTACATGGTCCCTTATGGGACCTCGAGGAAGGGTACCCCTTGTATACCCCATGCCATGCCCCACCAAATTTAGGGGCCCAGACTTCAGACCCTTTAAGGGGGGTAAGGGAACACACAAGGGGCCCTATTGAAAGTACCCCTAGGCTGTGGCCAAGGATCCACCCAGTGGTATCGAGATGGCACCCAATGAGTCTCCGGCGACGATCTGCTGGAAGATCGTCAGGAAAGCGCAAAAGCTGCTGAGAAGCCCTTGGGGGCAGCGCTCGCACGCCGGGGGACGATCGATCTCGGTTCGTAATGGGATTGCAGCACCTTCACCGAGATGGACCGCCACAAACCAGGATCATGATGACGAGCATGATGGCTCCAAAGACGATGGCTTCAGGGGCTGAGTTAAAGGCCGCCGATCAGCATGTACAGCTCTGGCACAGAGAGGAAGAAGACCGGACGGCTTTCCTCAGAAAACTTTGCAAGTCTGCATGCTGCCCCGGAAAAATTCCCGAAACTAAAGCAGCAAAACAACATTATGGTTTGTGATATCTGTTTCGCAAGGATGAGGATCAGCACTCGAGCAATTCTTGATAGCCTTAGCAGGCTCAAGTTCACCGTGTCTGCCATGCCCGAGCTCTGCAGAATTCCAAGGAAGACGGTGGTTGGTGCGTCCACCCAATTCCCGGAGCTCACAGGAAACGACTTCGCTCCACGTAGATACGCGCCACAACTCAGAAACGTAATGGCCTCGACATGCTAGAACATCCCAGATGGAAGATCTCCAACGGCCATCAGGCCAGCTCTAAAAGGGTTCAGGGTTAGGGCTTAGGGTTTAGGGGTTTAGGGTTGAAACTCTCAACCCTGCTAGGTCGATAATGCAGTGCCAGATTACAATGAAAAATATCTCGACGATGCCGGAGCCAAAGGAAAGGCGGAGCTGCGCGAAGGGCAGGCGAATAGTTGTCTTTGTAGAGGCGGGTAACAGGACGCGTCTGCGTCTGCCTGGCAAGTGCTGGACATTTTCAAGAAGCAGCCGGGCAGCCAGCTCTGACGCATCACACAAAACCCTAAGCCCCTAAACCCTAAACCCTAACCTTAAACTCTAAACCTTAAACCCTAACCCTGACTGAACCCTAAAGAAAGACCGCAGCAGAGCCCTGCCTCAATCAGGATGATTCCGCAATTGAGCCTCGCTGGCGGGCGATGAGATTGATGTGCTACTGCAATGCGAGTCTCTTGGTGTACACCGGTCAAACATGAAGACAACTGGTCGCCAAGAAGCAGACAACCACGCCGATGCAGATCTCGAAGGTGTGGGAGTACAGCAGCCTGGCAAGTGCCATCGCCAAGACAAGAACAAAAGCAGACTATTTCACATGGATGCGCAGTTAGATGTTCTAAGGGTTTAGGGCCTCGGGGCGGGCCACTAGCTCAGATCCTGAACGAGGGAGCCAGCTTTCTTGAACATTGCAATAGCTCAGCTTGCTGCTTAGAAAACAAACATGCAAACTTCAGCTAGGCTAAGTGGATTCAGAAGCAGATCGTGCATCAGGGTTATAGTTGTTTCAACTATTTACTGAATTTAACTTTTAGCTGCTTCTTAGGAATTACGGTACCCAAAGATGAAGAACCTTTCCCAAGAAGCCTAAGTAAACAATTGCAGGACAGCAGCGGGGCGAGTCGGATCCTGGTTCTGGACCAGATTGACCTGGCCGGACTCCTCGGCACAACGTGCGGCTGAACTATCAATACGATTGATATTGTTATTTTTATGATACTTATTAATATCTTGTTTATGAGTACTCTTGATATTATTGATATTACTAATATATATTTTGATTAATAGTAAGTGAAATCTACTGATCAAGCGCCTTGCGCTGACGACATCTGCTATCTTTCCCGGAAAGGCCAGATGCAGACGCAAGATCCGGCAACATCGGAAAGCAACGCATGACAGGATGCTGTGTGAGGGTCGAGTCGGAAAAAGGAGTTGAAAACGGGAAGGACCAAGTCAGAAAGCCAACAAGACCGAGTCGGAAAGCAGGAAGGGGGTGAGTCACAAAGCCGTGGGGGGGCGCGAGTCAGAAAGCAGGGGTAGTGAGTCAGAAAAGGGGTGGAGAACAAGGATAAGACCATCAGCCCTCGACCGTTCAAGCTGCAGCCCTGAAGCGTCCGACCCTAAAGAAGCTCTCGTCCCCTTTCAACCCGGTTTAACACTAGCAATGATGCCGAACCCTCCATCGTGTCACAGTGGCCATACTTGACTCCGCATGCAACAGCATCACACACGAAGCTGAGCATTGCACCGCAGCAGTGCAGTATCGGTGGCGGGTGCATGCAGGTGCCATATCGTTTACACTTTGAATATCCAGAGCTGATGTCGATCCCAAACCGAATCTCCCTTCCGCCCACGCCACAACAACGACATCGACAGAGATAGCGAGGACGACGAGGCCAAGCAACAGATGCAATGGATGCACATTGCAGGCAAAGGGTCGTCCAGCCACGGCTTTACGTCGACGAGTCCTCAAGCAATACTCTCTGGGATTGCACTCAACTCTCTTCTTCTTCTTCTTCTTCTTCTTCTTCTTCTTCTTCTTCTTCTTCTTCTTCTTCTTCTTCTTCTTCTTATTCTCCTTCTCCTTCTCCTTCTCCTTCTCCTTCTCCTTCTCACTCTCTCTCCCTCTCTCTCTCTCTCTCTCTCTCTCTCTCTTCCTCGCTCACACGTGAGCCAGCCCCTAGCCACGTGGAACACCACATTCTCAGACATTTGCTGGGGCATGGACCATGCCGCAGATTTTGCAGCTCACGGAGGGTGTTATCAATGTGGGCCTTCTTGAGGCCTTGGGAACTCTTGCCAGGTCCCAGCATGAAATGCTTGCGCACAAAAACAGTGATCAGAAGCTCAGAGAACCCGAACTGAGGTAATCCTCCCTTTTTGCAGCCGGACTGAGGAAAATCCTCCCTAAACCCTAAACCCTAAACCCTCTGAGCCAGCAACCGTGGTTCTCCGTCACCTTGCCGTTGCTCGGCGAGATCAGGGCGTTCATTGGCGCAACTCTGCACTCTAGAAAGTTGTTTTGCGCCGCTCCTGCGTGATTGTACCTAGCTGGCTTGGTACGACACATGCCTGATCCATGTCTACGATTCCAGGAACTGCTCTCACCAAGTACATTCTCCTATGTCCATGCCGTGCCTGGCTACTGAAGAGACCACTGGATAAACGGCAGAGGGGAGGCACCACGTCATGCCATGAGGCAGCTGAAAGTCTAGGCACGTGAGACGAATCGTTACCCCCTACGCATTTCCGTGTCTGGAGCTGCTCCTTGGTCTCACTGCAAGCCGAGGCTTTCATGGGTTGGTCTCTTCTCTTCATCCTCTCTGCATCCTAGTGTCTCTTCAGCATGGTGACCTGGCGCTCCACCATAGCCATACCTGCAATGGAAAGGCAGATCTGGCCGATGGCGTTCACGGATTCCACTCGTGCCAAGGTTCTGCCCTGCAGCTCAGCCACTCATCCCATCCCGCAGAGGCGCAGTTGGGATGTACCAGACATTCTTGTTCTCCTTATCTTCAGATCTTCGAGGCAACATTGGCAAGATTAGGAAGCTTGCTCGTCAATAGATTAGCAAGTGTGCTTGTCAGTTGTGAAACTATAGCGAAATATGCAGGCGTTCGGTCCCCTTCCGCGATCGTTTACGGCATCGCCCTGAGCTGGGAGTTTACGCAAATAAGGGTGACCCTAATGTAGACCCCCAAAGAGTGGGATGCCCCTAATCACAAGGACGTAAACCCCCACCCAACATGTCCGAATTCTGCAGAGGCGCGGGCCGATCTCCGAGGAGTCGCCGGAACTCGTCCTTGGGAGTCCCGGCTTCGGGGCCGGGAGTTTAGGGTTTAGGGTTTAGGGTTTAGGGTTCAGGGTTTAGGGTTTGGGATTGAGGGTTTAGGGGCCAGGCTCTGAGTTCGGTGCAAAGGTTGAGGGTGGGGGCCTCGGGAATTTGGGCGTTTTCGGAAATAGGGGGGACCTAACATAGAGCCCCAAATAGTAGGATTCCCTGGTGAAAAGGGACCCCGATAAGGCGCCCCCAATTTCGGAAACCCCCATTCATTTGGGTTTAGGGCCCAGGCAATTTGTGTGGCATAGGGCGCGGCACTGCGCAAAGATCCAGGACTGTTGGCTGCCGAACCAAAGACTCTTCGCATCCCCGTACAGGGCGGTCCTTGAGAGCTTTTGTTGACAACCCATCGCCTCAGCTCGTAGAGCTCTTGCACAACGGAGTCGACGAAAAGCAACGGTGCTGACATGTGCTGACCAAAAGTGCCTCCATCCTTAAAGCACTAAAATACTAGGCAGAAATTGCCAACCTCTTTTGTTAGCTAGGGGAAACGCGGCCAACGAACCGCCAGCATGGTGCACCCAGTAAAGCGTAAACTGGACGAGCCGCTGGTGAGAAGCAGCCTTCGGGTCGGCGGCATAGGGCAGCTTGACCCACTGGACAACCTGAGCGATGGGAGTGCAAGCTGACTCCTCGACCCCGCTTGGGCCCCAGGATCTGAACCCGCAAGGGCCCCGAAGAAAGACGGACTTTGAGGCTACCTGGGACTGCTGGTAGGATCGTCATGTAGGCGTTGGAGGGCCTAACATCCAGCCCGAAGGGCCCTAACCCCAAAAATGCATGCTGTCACGCGCCATAGATAAGGTAAAGGAGTTGGCATCTCGGGGCTGGGGGGGCGGGGGTTGAGGGAAACGGTGGAGGAGATCATGTGTGCTATCTGAGACACAGGGAAGTTTGTCGGCCTACTTTGAAACAGCTGAAGGCTCTACGTCCGACCGGTGCTGCAGCTCAGCAGCACTACCAAGATGCAGGCAGCCACCGCTGAACGCATTCGAGCTCAGGCTTGCCCATGTGGTGCTTATTCGCAGCTACCCATCTTGTCAGCCGTGGTAGGTACAGTATTGTTCATGTGCGTCACTGGGTTTACGATGAAGAGAAGATCTCCTACAGCACTGTAGCAAGTCCTTGCAACAGCATCGGTTGCAGTAGCCAGGAACGCAGTTCCAGTGATAACGGCAAAGGCTAACATATTGACGTGACTGTTGTATGCCTGGCATCTGCTGCAGCACTGGCTCAAGATCTGTCCACAGCCGACATGCCAAACAAATTCCAACACAGCGGATGCTACTGTAGTGTCTCATGCCACTCCCAGCTGCAGGGGCGAACATAGCTGCTACTTGCGCTGGGGCCCTGACTGCTGCTTCAGAAATTACGCACTTGCATAGAGACTCACTTGGCCGCCAGCGGGGCACCAACCACAATTGCAGCATCCATTGCGCGAGACGTTTCAGCTATGAGGTGTGGAACTGGACTGGTGTCAGAAACGCCCCCAACTTGCATAACTTTAAACTTTGGGTCCCGCGCGCTCACGCATGCGCGCGACTGCGCTGTGCCTCTCTGAGTTTCCACCCCGGCGCGAGGGCCTCAGCATCCCTAAACCCTAGACCCTGAACCCTAAACCCTCGACCCTATGGTCGGAGTTTATCGTTTTTGGCTTGAGGGTGCTTTAGGGGTCTTTTGGGCTCTTCCCGGTGGGCTTCATGTGTTCGATGGCCTTGGGAACGGAAAGTCAATGGTATCTTACTGAGGTATCCGTTTGATGAGGAGCTGTGCTTCTGGCGTTGCCTCGGATTTGGGGCTTTTGGGCTGGTCGACCCTCAGCCAAACGAGATAACAAGCGCTCACACGCCCTGATGCTCGGATGGCATGTGTGCATTCTTCACCTTGGGCACGCGCCATGGTGGAGCCATGCACATGGCCATGACCTCTCGGGGTCGTCTCTGCAGCTTGGGGTTGAGGACTAGAAATGGGGGGCTACATGTGAGCATGGGGTCCTGCGTACAAAGCACGGGGCCTCTCTCAACCTATCCTTGCATTAAGATCCAGTCAGACCACAGCCCCTCCTATGAAACGACAGTTACAATCTTTTTTTTTGAAGCATGGACTGAGGCCGGTGCCGGCACACCGAAAGATGTACACTTCTCTCCAAGACGCGTGCTTGGACAAACCTACCCTAAACCCTAAACCCTAAACCCTAAACCCTAAACCCTAAACCCTATAAACCCTAAACCCTAAACCCAAAGCCTGTATCTTCAAATGTGGCACTCTCCCTGCGAGGCCCGGCCTTTAGCTCCGGCAGGGCTGATGGCAACTAGAACTACCCTGCAAGCCAGCAGAGAGTCACAGCAGCATCAGCCCTAAGCCCTTTTGCATCCAGGCCTCTTCGAATACAGCCCTAAAGCCCTAAAGCCCTAAAGCCCTAAGCCCTAAGCCCTAAGCCCTAAAGCCCTAAAGCCCTAAAGCCCTAAAGCCCTAAGCCCTAAGCCCTAAGCCCTAACCCCTAACCCTAAACCCTAGTCATGTTGCACACTCTTCGTGGCAATCCCTCTTGGGCTCGGTCGGGTCTGGAGGAAAGAGTAGAGCGCAGGCCCAGGCTCACATCTAGTAAGCGGAAGAGTAAACGAAGATCGGACGCCTAGACAGCGGGCACAGGGTCCTTGTGTAGAGACATCCCAAGCTCTGACATGCGACTCCCGAAGACTTTGCAACCATTGTTTAGGGATTAGGGTTTAGGGTTTAGGGCTTCGACTCTTGCACTTGCTCAAGCTTGGTTTAGGATTTTGAGTCTCGGGTTGGTCTTACTCAAAACATCGACACGTTGACACAACAACCCCGCCATCGCTCCAAAGTGATAGCGCTGGTCTGTGCGAGGGCTTGGTCAGACCCCTTTTGGTCCACTCGGTCGCGAGGGCTCATCTGTACCAACATGTCATGTCTTGCCCACCTTCTTAGGGGTTTAGGGTTTAGGGTTTAGGGTTTGGGTCGACATGGAGTTTCTGGAGTTGAGAAGGGCTTCAGGCGAAGATCGGTACTTTTTCGCAGCCTGACAAGTCAATGGCAAGGCCAGCTTTGCAGCCTTCCCCACACGGTTGTCGCAGACTCTGAGGGTTTAGGGTTTAGGGGTTTAGGGTTTGGGGTTTAGGGGTTTAGGGGTTTAGGGGTTTAGGGGTTTAGGGTTTAGGGGTTTAGGGGTTTAGGGGTTTAGGGTTTAGGGTTTAGGGTTTAGGGTTTAGGGGTGTTTAGGGGTTTAGGGTTTAGGGTTGTGCAACTCTGCTCCTTCTTACTTGGGCCTCGCCCATCACCCCTCCAAGGGTGCTGTCGGAGTCTCTGCCATGGCTCTGGACATTCTGGGGCGCCGGTGCCGCGGACGAAGTCCGCGGCCGCGCGCGCCAGCGCGCGATGGGCCTGGTCGGAATTGGGTCAGGGCTGGACATGGAACCCAAGGCTTGATGCAGGCTTGGTTTTAAGTGTCTGTCACACATGGGGGTTTCCGAAAATAGGGGTACCCTAAAGCAATCCTACGATTCGGGGGTCTATATTAGGGTCCCTTACTTTCGTAAACCCCCAAATATGGATCTTGTTTGCCATTGCGGGGGTTGGACGTTTAGTTCGGACCTGCGGGAGCATACCGAGAACGCCACATGGCTTTGCTATTCTCGTCTAAGATCTTCCAAGCCTAGCCATACGGAGCACCAGCTTTTACACATGGGGGGGGGTGGCCTAGAAAGCACCGAATTCTTCTTGGGGCACCAGGTGCTGAGTTCGCAAGCGGTTTTACAGGTTGGCCTTAGACATCGAACTGCAGAGCTTGTGCGAATGTATGTGCGACATCACAACATGAGGCCCCAAACTCACGCATTCCTATACTCCCATGTGGCCTCCCCGGGCGCATGGGGGAGTAGAGGTTTTCAACATACCCACGGATTCCTGTGCCAGAGCCCCCTATCTCTGCGTACCTCCGCCGGTTCGAAAGGTCCGGCAGCTGGAATCAGAAGTATCCGCAGCAGCTGCATGATGACAAGCGGGGCCTCTGGCGCATGCAGAAGAAGCCTATTGTCCGAGAGCGCATGCTCAGTAAGCACTTCCCGTCATCTCAACTCCGTGCCCCCTCTAGGCATCCCGAAAGATCCCGCCGCTAGCCTGTGTTCCTCTCTCAGAACAACGACCGAGTGAACTCCTAAATGCCTACTATGTTGCCAAGGGCTGAGGCTGCAACCCACAACGGCGCATCGACAAAGTTCCCATGACCTTGCCAGCACGCACGAGGCGGTGCAAAAGAGCACTGAAGGGTCGTGCCAGAAATTCTCACGAAAAGCATGAAGGGAATAACGTCTCGACTAACCGCCGCTTCTGCATCCTCCTCACTGAGCGAACTGCGGGCGCATCTACCGTTTGGGTTCCTCTACCGAAAGCTGCAAGGAAATTTCACGCTCAGCCAAGGCACTAATGCCCAGGAAGTGCCAAGCTCCAACCCATGGGCGCGCTGCCTGGGTCGTATATCCTCCCCCAAACAGAAACTAGTTGGTTGAGCTTGGGTATAGAAAGTGCGGAAAACCCTAAACCAAAACCCTGCAAGGCTGCAGCCTGGGACTCATCTGGCTTCGACACTTTCAGCACCTGACTCCTGGGCTTAACTTCATTGCACTGGAAGTTCGAGCCCTGCGAAAGAAGAAGGGAGTTCCCCTTGCAGCTGGACATGCAGCTCTACATGGGCAGGGGCTGCTAGTTGCACCCGGGCTGCACCAGATTCGGTATGCCAGCATATTCATCGCCGACGACGGAAAATACCTGACGGGCAATGCCGCGGCTAGGCATGCATAGTCATTTCCCAGCAACCAACATGCACAGCCAGCACGAGCCATCTGGCTTCATTACAGACGGACCCATGACTCCTTCAAGTCTAACCGCGCTGCGAGGCTTCACCAGACCGCCTAGCTAAACAAAATCTGGCAACTGCCAGGTCGAAATACTAGTGGCGCCGTGGTGCTGGCTGCTGCAACTTCGGCATCTCCGAGCTGAGTGCCGGGTCGTGGAGCACCTCGACGCGACTGTGGCTTGCTCTCGGAAGTTGGTTCGTGTGCAACAGACGCCAGTACTTAACAGATACCGTGCTGGTGACGTATCTTCGAAGTGTAGCACAACACTTCCCGCCGATTTCTTGGTGCAAAGGACGTGTTTCTGCAAGCACCTCGACATCTGACAACATTTGGGGGTTTACGAATACAGGGGGCCCCCAAAATAGCTCCCCAAATAGTAGGATCCCCTTTTAGAAAGGACACCATTCAGGTACCCCTAATTTCGGAACCCCCAATTGAGCCAAGCAGCCAACCCTTTGAATAGGGCCGGCTCAGCGTGGGCTGCCAGGATGGCCGTGGGGCCACCGTAGCCTGGATGTCTGAGGGCCGAGAGTTTCGGTCTCTCTGCTCAGTGCAATAAGAGGCATGGGCCCAAAGAGCAGGGTCAGGGGGAGGGGTTGAGCTTGATGTGAGTTCGATGCGCTCATCTCATGTTCATGACCTCCGGCTTGCACCGGGCAACTGTGTCCGCCGACGAAGAGCTGCTCCGGGTTGCCCCCGTAACGCTGCGCCTCGCCCGGTGCCTGCAGCGCTCGGGCCACCTGCCGGCGTTGCGGGGTGTCGATGCTCGTGACTCGGGTTCGGGCCAGGTGAAGCAAACAGCTGACAGCCTTGCCACACCCTGCTACGCCCTGCCTGCACAAGCTCCTGAGCACGAAATCGCACGCCAAGCTGGCCGCGGGTCCTTGCATGAAAACTACCCACGCAAATACCAAAATGGAACGAAACGAGGAGGTCCTTTCCTTCTGCTAAAGGCCCGCCGTACGGCTAAGGCAGACACTGCAACTTGCAGGACCTCGCCAAAGCTGCAGGCCGAGCATCAAGCTGAAGGGTCGAGGATTTGCGGGGTCCCCGGTTGAGGCCGACCCGTCCTGACAAAGAGCTCACTGAAATCTCGGAAACGCAGAATCTCGCAGCTCAGATCCTGATGCTCCACAGCGACGACAATCCTTAGCTCGTCTGCAGCCAAACATGCTACATCCGATTGGATGTGGCCACCATACTGGCTCGCCGCAAGCCAGTACTAGCTCAATGCAGACCCAAAGCCTCTCTGTTTAGCTGAGGGTCAGCCCATGGCTTGCAATCTGCCTGCGCGCCCAATGGCCATGGCCGGTGGCACTGCTTCTTCAACCCAATGCTTCCACAAAGCCGGCCTGAGGAAGTAGGTGCCCATGTCCATGTTGCCTGCAGGTTCCGGAGCTGAGACAAAAACCCTCCACTCATTCCATGGCTGTGGGCAGATGGTTTCCGAAATGAGGGGTGCCATATTGGGGTCCATTTTATACGGGAATCCCACTATTTGGGGGTTTTATCTTAGGGTCCATGACATAAAGCCTCCCAGCCCAGCTCACTACATCCTGGTCCCTAGAGTCCTACTTGGAGGTTCAGGGTATCCCCGTATTAACCCAATACGATCTGTACTTATAAACCAATTATAAGCATATTAGGGCACTTATGGGGCTTATAAGTGGGTTATATGTACAGTCAAAATTGGTTAAAAAGCACCCTGAACCAAGCATGACTCATGCAGTCAAGCGCCTCCCTGACCATGTGAGTAGACTAGAATCGGGAAGTTCTCGGACAGAGGAGCAGCGTCCTCACGACAGCTACAGCTGTGACCACGGCAAAGAATAGAAGAACAGCCGCCAGCAAGCCAATTCGGCGGCAGAAGCTCTAACTCAGTGCCGTGGTGGTCGTGGTGTTCGCAGTCGCAGTGTTGGGGGTGGTATTCAGCAGCAAAGAAGTCATAGCGGACTGCAGCCCTAAACCCTAAACCCTAAACCCAGTTCACCGGAGCTCCTCCCAGCAGCCTGACGAGGCGTACCCCAGGTGCTCGAGGAGGAACCCGGGGAAGAACACCAATCCGGCCATGGCATCCTTCTTAGGGTTTAGCGTTTAGGGGTTTTAGGTTTTAGGGCAGCAGTCAGATAACTGGGCTTGCATCAAGTTTGGATAACTCAGTGCATGAGTTGCTTTTCAGGGTCGCAGGCACTTATTCTCAGGACATAAGAAGGTTTCAGAACACAGTCGTCAACTCAAAGGGGCTTGATTTAGCTGGGGCGGCACCAACACCCTGGGGGCACCAACAAGGAACCCTGCGCTGAATCTGCAACTTGGCCGCTGAAGTTGCGCGGCCTTCAGAAAGGTACGGGGCCTCCTTGCCGCCGCGTTGTGCTGGGTACCTGGGCTGGCGACGGCGACTCAGCTGTGAGAGGCTTGCAGAATTTTAAACCCCTCCATGCAGCATGCAACAAAGCTCCGCTGCCCGAATACACGGGTAGTCACCGTGCAGGCCCTCAGCCGTAAGCTCCCCTAAACCCCTGGTAAAATGCTAGTGGAAACCTAAATCGTCCTGTTCCTCAAGCCGTCCTGCCGTCTTGCGGCAGCACCCGACAGCGCAGGCCAGCGAAGCGCTCCAGGGATGAGCCAACATCTTTGTAGGGTCCTCGCGCAAAGAGGTACAAACTTCGAAGTGGGAGTTGCCCAGGGTCCTCTGGGGAGGGTGGGGGACCCAAAGAGGAATGGAGTATGACGGGCAAAGGGTACCGGGTACCTTCTGAGGGGGGTTCTGAGTTGTCATGCATAAACATCTTGAGTTTGTAGGGCTTGAGCATTGTGACGGTTGCAGGGTCTCTTAGCAGGGTGGTGCCGAGCTGTTAGATGGGTGGCCTCCGAAGTCACGCAGGATTTGGCCCCCCTTGAGGCTCTGAAGGTCCAGGGTGTGGGTTGTCGAAACAACGGAACTATGGCCTAAAACTCTCTTGAAACCCGAACCCCGACACCCTTTGTTGCAAAAACCTTTCTTGCATCCAGGTCTCTTCACACTGCCGGACAAGACTATGCAGTCTTGCAAAAACCCTAGAACCTTTTTGCCCTAAACCCTAAACCCTAAACTAAGTGAGGGGTCGCTTCCGTCGAGCGACAGACCCCGAACGCTCGGCCGAGGGCCTTACAGCCCGAGCACCCAAACGAAAAGAGAACCGGAAAGGTGAGGGTTAAGCGTCACCGTCTGCGTAGCTTAAGTATAACCCCAAATCGTAACCCTTTGGCTTTGAGCGCCGGTTCAGGGTTTTGGGTTCAGGGTTTGGATCCCCCGCCCCGCCGGGACCCCTGGCCTTGGTGGCTGGATTCCTGGACCAGGGGCTGGGCGAGGGGGTCCAGGCAGGCCGGTTGTCCAATTTCCCGATTTTTGCGGAGCCTACAGCCCCCTGGGCCAAGGACCCCAACCGGCTGGGGCCCCACCCCAACAAGACCCTCAGTCAAGGGAGGCCGAGGTTTTTCTACCCCTGACCCCCCCCTCACCTGGGCCCCCCCGAACCCTACGGCCCCTCGACCTCGGGCCAGCGCATTTCGGCTCCCTCAAGAAATAAGGGCCTCTTTCAGCTTCCTTGACCTTCGAGTAAAGAAGGGCCTCTGCGGGCCCTGACACGCCGAAGGCCCGAAAAGGGCCGAGGCTACCCCCAACTCCAGCTTAAACCCCAACACCGCAACGTCAAAAAACATAGAAGCAAGCATCTGTGCACAAGAATATAAATTCAATAAACCCTAAACCCTAATAGAGTATAGTTTGGGTGGCCGGGGTGGGTTGACAGGCAACGCGAGCGCGCGGCCCGGGGTGTTTCACACCCGAGCGCGCGCCCTCCCCTGACACACCCTAAACCCTAAACCCTAAACCCCTAACCCCTAAACCCTAAACCCTAAACCCTCCCCCAGCAAACAGGTGCCTTGGAGCTCCGGCTGGCGAGGAGACCCGAAGACCGCCACCTGGGGAAAGTTGCTCCGCAATGTCTCTACCTCTTATAGGGCTTATATACGGCTACCTCTTATAGGGCTTATGGGGCTTATAGGGTTTATATGGGGCTTATATAGGGATACCTCTTATAGGGTTTATTTAGGGTTTATATAGGGTTTATATAGGGTTTATATAGGGTTTATGTAGGGCTTATTGGGATTATAGGGCTTATAGGGCTTTTAGGGTTACTTATATTGTAGGGCTTGTTGGGCTTATAGGGCCTATAGGGCTTATAGGGCTTATAGGGTCTCTAGGGTTTATTGGGTTTATTGGGTTTGTATGGTTTACAGTTTAGAGTGTATGGTTTATAGGGTTCATCGGTTTTATAGAGTTTATAGGGTTTATAGGGCTTAGGGGTTAAAAGGGAGCCTTGAAGGAAGAAGCTCGGGAGTTTCTGGCAAGCGTTGGGCCTTGGGAGCTCACGAACCAGGCATCTGTCAACGTGTTGCCAGCCAAGCACTTTTTGTACCCAAACCTAAACCCTAAACCCTCTTGAGGCTCGCAATGTTGACTTCTGGTTTGCATCTACGCGCTCTCTGTTTCCCTGCACATGCCTTCCCCAAGCTTTTGCAAAAAGTCTTGCCAAGTTCCTATGCCAACCGAGTGGAAACCCTGGCTTTTACCATGTTTTCCTGAAAAGGAGGCCTGACCTAATCCCTACCGCAGAAGCGCAGGCTCCAGGGGCAGGGCCTTCGCGCCCGTGTAGAAAGCTGCTGCTGCCGCAACGAGGGTTCCTCTGGGCAGCCATGGGGGATGCAGGTGAGATTCATGCTATCGGGCGACGAGTCCAAAGAATCACGCGTTCCTCACTGCTACGTGTCGCGACTGTCGCACACCTCAAAGGTTTTTTGGGCCTGCAGACTGAACTGCGCCCTGCGCCCACTCTGCGAGTGCGCCCCGTCGGCTGGGCTCACGCGTGCCCTTGCCTCGCAATAAGCGGGGAGCGATGAGTCAAGGCAGGTTCTGTGTATGGCACCAGAAGTCGCTGTGTAAGCAGTGTAAGCCAAGCAGGCGCACCAAGCAGGTGAGTGGCCACTGCTGCGAGGCAAGCGCTGCACGGCGCCACGCGCGGGGCTGCGGGTGGGTCTGAGGCAGCCTCGGGGCGGCACCCAAGAGAACATGCTGGGAGGTGCCACAAAGCATTGCTCAAAGGCTCAAAGCTGTGACTCATAATGCCTCCCAGCAGTGGCGGTCGGAGGGATGGTTCTGCCAGCCAGCTCAAGCCCAAGCCAGAGCCACATATGACCCTGGGGGGGGCGGAAGCTCTTTCAGATCACTGCGGCAGAATACCTGGTGAGCCCTGATGCTTAAAGGGTTTAGGGTTTAGGGTTTAGGGTTTAGGGTTTAGGGTTTAGGGTTTAGGGTTTAGGGTTTAGGGTTTAGGGTTTTGCTCCAAGTGCACCAAGTTGCAGCACAAGCAGAAGCTTGGACACTCGAAAGCATTTGCGGCCACGGCTCATGGCTCTCCATAGGCCGGTCAGGAGGCTGCAGAGCTAAGGTATACCATGAGTTTAGGGTTTTAGGGTTTCGACTCTCACACTCGCACAAGGCCGGCAAGGCATCGGTTTAGGGTTTAGGGTTTAGGGTTTAGGGTTTAGGGTTTAGGGTTTAGGGTTTAGGGTTTAGGGCATGCACAGCATTCCAGTTTAGAACTGAAGGCGAAGGCAGCAACGTGAGTAAGGAAGGTCTCTCAAAGAGCGGATGTTGCAAGTAGCGATGTGCCAAACGGCTCCAGGCACTGGTCTGAGTGCATGATTCCCAGCGCGCCACATCCACAATGCGCAAGCATGACCCCACGTGAAGTTGAGAAAAGTGTACAAAGCCCTCCTCATACCCTAAACCCTAAACCCTAAACCCTAAACCCTAAACCCTAAACCCTAAACCCTAGCGCATCGTTTTTCTTCGGCTTGGGGCCCCCCAATGGAGGAGAAACTGAAGAAAAGCGCGTCGACGCCGGCGCGTCAGGAAGGAGTCTCGCCTTTGGCTTCCCACCATCCTGGCAGAGTCCACATGTGTTTTAGGATTTTGGGTTTAGGGTTTTAGGGTTCTTTCCAGAGGTGAGGAAACCGGTTGTCGCTTGTAAGCACAAGTTGCAACAAAGAGAACGGAACGAGTCTGGCGCAGGGACTATCGGACACCAGAACTCTTGTAGCGCTCGACCCCGGCACTCTTTTCACTGTCGCCTGCGGTGAAGGCTCCAGACTTAAGAGCGGTAAAAGTTCGGAAAGTCTCAGCATTCTGGACCATCCTCGAAGTTTTTCCGCTTGGCAAGCCCACAACACAGCAAGTGTGCTGCAGAAAGGCTTCTGAAAGGCATAGGCTCGATGTGTGTTAACTCACTGACACAGAACTTATAAACAACCCTTAAAGGAACCCCAAAGACGAATAATCAGCCCCTGTACATCCTGTTCTCTTGGTACACACTCCACGTTCTCGGCAAGCCCAAGCTCATCCTGTCCCACTTTGCACCAGAGACTTAGTGGTGCAGCTCTGTTTCCACGACCCACGGGAAAATGGTCCGGACCTGAGACCGGCAGGTTTATGGTTTAGGGTTTAGGGTTTACCGGCAGGAGCTTTTCTCTTACCCAAGCAGTCACTCACAAAGCACCTCCCGCGTGCCGCGTCCCCTGACCATTTTCGACCCAATTACGCTTGAGCAGCTGTGCAAGACCAAGAGAGTGGAGGACACACACTTCCAAATAGCTCTTTCACGATCTCTCGGTTCCATAGCTAGTTTGCAGGTACACCTAAACCCTAAACCCTAAACAGCGAAGTTGTTCTGAAATATGGCTGCAGACCTAGAATCCAAACAGGCACAAGATCCAGGCCAAGCTACGGATTTGCCGTCTCCGTAAGGGGCTGCCTGCACATGGTGGCAGCTTTATTGGGGCACGATGTCGCAAAAACCTATGCATGCACATCCATACGTCTATGGGCGCGTAAGAGGGCATTTCGTTGTGCTGCTTATGTTCATATTACAATCTGATCATTTCATGGTTTTTTATTGCTTTGCTTGCTCGTTGTTTGAAAAGTTGTCTACTTGCTTTCCGACATTTACTTACCATGTGAAAAGTGACCCTAGCTCAAAAACACGCTAGCATGGCCCTGACATGTTGGCGCTCCAGTCACTTGTGACTCCCTGAATCCTGTGACCTGTGACTGCCTAGTTTGGGACCATTTGCCCATCATCTGTGTCCACTTCTTGCACAACTGCGTCAAAACATCGACAGGCGTGTGATTTTCAGCTCACAAACACCGGTGATCTGTGGCTGCTCCTCCGGCTTCCCTCCTATAGGGTTTAGGGTTTATAAACAGCGGGAGTATGACAGGGTATGGAGGGGTGCGCATCAAGTCACACCACAAGAACCACTTCGCGCGCACAACTGGCGGGGTTACGCAAGAACCACGCCCTGGACCGACTTAACACACACTGCAAAACCACATGTATGTTGACCGCACAAGCATCGGACCACGTCTCCTCTGACTCTACACACACGAAAACCACATCCTTGACCGCAGGGCCGTCATTTGCATCCCCGCTCAGTGACTTGACTCCGGCAGGGGGTGTGGGAGGGTGTCTTTAACAAGTCCTCACCTACTCACACAGGAGAACCACTTTTCTGAGTGACTCCACACGAACGCACGGTGCGCATCCCACACCGCGGGCACTGCGTCATGCAGGGTTCTGAACGCACCCCCCCCCCAGGCCTGTGCCAAGCCTCGCAGGTCCAGGGCCCTCAGCGTAGTACCACACGGCCCGGCCGCCAAGGCCTGTGCAAGCTATGCCTCAAGAGGCTTGAAGGCTCAACAGGCTAGGCACCTTGGGGATTTTCGGGATTTCCGATGTGCTTGTTCATGGGTATGTGGCCGCAGCTGTGGCTGGGCGTCAATTTTCAGCACAGGCATGTTGGCACGGAAGCACCTCCCTACCAAGGTGCATCTGACTTTCCAAGAAGGCCTCGACTGCCGCGGCCGTAATGTTCAGGTTGCCAAAAAAGCTTAGCCAGGTCAGGCCTCTCCGCACAACTCCATGCCATCAGATATCACATGATGTCACCACCGCAGTCTCCAAGCCGACACATTTTTTACACCAAGCAGCGGGTGCAGTGCTTCGCCACTGCCAGCATGGATGCATCCGTCAGAGCCGGGCACCACGTCAGGTTGAGGACTTTGAGGGCTCCTGGGCACGAACACTACGCCCACCTCATCGCCACTACTTTGGGATACTTTGGGTCACGCAGTCGGTTGGGAAATCTTCAAGCAGCCACAGACCGCGTTCGACTTGCACATGCACTCCCACCGTGCCTGGCTCTGCTGCAGCAAGAAAAGCCTCTACCTGAGCTGAGCAAAAGACACACTCTTTGCAAGCTGCAAAGCGCAACCCGTTCGGCGCAACCAAGGCCATCTTTGTCCACGAGACAAACCGAAGACATCCAGACTTCCCCGAGGCTAAGGGATTACTTGCCACGAGACAGCTGCATCTTCAGCGCGGCAGCCACAAAGGTCCAGTTCTTCCAGCAGCGGAAGCCTCAGGCACAGAGCCAACGCAAAGCGCAAGGCAAAGCTAGCAGCCAGAATCAAGGCTGGGTGCAGTTTGGCAAAGGTAACGTCACACTGGCCGAGGTACTTCTGTAGACTCAAGAATGACTCCGCACTGAGCTGCGACCTTGGAAGAAGTGAGACATCAGAAAGTGAGCTTGTGTTCTAAATTGGGGATTGGATCAGAGACCGCGAATGAGCCACAAGGCAAATCGAAAGTGCTGCAGCACAATGCTAGTGCCACTGCCATCAGTTTGCACTATCCCATTCAAAGGCTTTTCCCGACTTTGACCCTAAACCCTTTTGGACCCAGACTCAGACGGCACCCTAAACCCTAAAACCCAACCTAAACCCTAAACCCAAAACCCGAAACCTTTTTTGAGCAACGGACTTTGGAGGCTGCCGGCAAACATGCAACTTCTTAGAAGTCACCTAAACCCTAAACCCTAAACCCTAAACCCTAATAGTATGTGTTGTTGGGAACTTGAGGTCTGAGCATGGCATAGAGGCGCAGGACGCGCAACTCTGGCAAAGTCTCACAGACCAGGGTGATGCCCATGTCTGTTACCTCGGCTAAAGCTACCTGAAGCCCAAAGGACCTACCCTTTTGGAGGTTCCTTCTTGTGATTTCCTTCTATGTCCCCTTAAAAAAGGAGGCTGCTTGGGGTAGGGGTAGGAAAACGTTCTACGATGCAAAGACTTACTACCACTATTGCATTTGCTTCTCGCACACGCCAGGCGTTAGTGGCTCTGTGCCAAAAAGGACCACTCTGGCCGGATAGGTCTCGGATGGCCAAGCAGCTTGCGGGCAGCGCGTTAGATCCAATTGCTGCAGGCTCGGCGCTCGCCCGACTACACGCTGCACCTCAGGAACACGTGTCCGTGCAGGCATGATTTCGTGGCACAGCCGACCTGAGCCTGACGTCCGGCATGCGGACATGTGTTCTTGGTACCCCCGCCGTAGCGTCAGTGAGAAGTTTGCAGCCACTGAAGCAAAGCTCCTGCACAGTCTGCGAACACCATAGGCATGTTCAGGTTATCCCGAGAACCGACGTCATTCTCAGCTCTTGGGCACCTGCAAGTTGCCGCAGGGCTGTGCTCGGAGCACCTTTCCGATGCCCTCGTCCGTGGCCTACAGGCAATCTGCAAAAGGTCTGCCAGGAAGGGGATCCACTTCAACCGGATTTCTGATTGGCAAGCGCTCTGCTGCTCTGCCCAATCCCTTGCCCAAAGCATCAAGGCCTTGACATTCCAGTAGATGCTAAAGCGCCGCAGGGAGCGGCAGCGCTGGGCCACCGCGATGAGCCCCTGCAGGCAGGGCAAGACCGTTCTTTGTTCAACCTCCGGCCGGGGCATGATTAGCTGCTGTTCAGTCTGCCCAGAGATATGCGCACACATGCCCATGGCCCATGGCCTTATGGCTGTTGGAACAAAAGTCGGCACCCTGGATTCCCGTGCCTCATCATCTACATCCTGGCATCCATCCAGGTTAAGCGCTTCCAGCGTTGGGAGCACGGGCAGCGCCTTGAGAGTCTCCTGGCTTGTTGCAGCTGCTTGCAGGACGTCACTGTTTGCTGCGCTCGCAAATATCGGAATGCCCCCCCCCTTGCGAGGACCCTCAAGACTCGAAACAGGAGACCCCCAAATTTCGGAAAGCCCTATGTTTTTCTGCAACCTCCCAGGGACTGGGACTTCCCAAACGGGGCTGCAAATTTCCCAAAGCCCTGAGCCGAGGGTCGTTTGTGATGGATCGGCAGAAGGATGCATCAATCTCCCGAATGCTGGCTCCTCAACAAAATCTACACAACAGGAGCCAAACGGGGCCAAGGAGGGCATGCCAGGTGTGTCTGCCGAACTTTCTGGAATCCTGTACCATCTGGCGGTTCCGGGAATTTCAGGACACTTGTGGTTTCTACGACAATGAAGTTGGGAGTTGAGGCCTGGGGCCTCCAACTCCAAACCCCAAGCCCTAGACAGCACACGAATGCCCAGAACGCTAGACCGCCCAATCCCTCAAGACCTCACCGAGGAAAATGGTAGGCGATTGAATGTTCCAGGGTGGCCGAGCAGGGGGGGGGAGGGGGCGGGAAAAAGTGCAAGACCACTTGCAGGTTCATGGGTAGTTATACGTCGGATAGCTAGCCCTGAACCTCCAAGCACGGTAGGCACACTTCACTTCTCCCCCCCTGTTTCACCTCGGTCGGTGATCTGCAAGTCCACCAGGCGCAAAAGCGCCTCAGGGAGTGACGGGTTGGGGCTTCTTGGGGCTTCTTCCTTGGGGCTTCTTTGGCTTCTTAGAGCTTCTTACTTGGGTTTCTTAGGCTTCTTAGGGCTTCTTACACCTTCCTAAACCTCCTTATAGCTTCTTAGTGCTTCTTAGGGCTTTCTTAGGGCTTCCTCGTGCTCCTTAGGACTCCGGGCTCCGGCTCGAGGACCCCCAGGCTCCGAGCCTCGGCGGCGCCCGCGCCAAAGGCCTGGAGCCGCAGCGTGCGCAAGGCCAGGCGGCAGAGGCCGCCGCAGGCAGCTGACAGGGAGAGCGAGGGGTTGCTGCGTGCTCAGTGTATAATATGTGTAATATGTATACTAGATTCTTTACTCTATGCATATATATATATATATGTATGTATGTGTGTGTGTGTATGTATGTGTAAATGTATATGCATGTGTATATGCATATGCAGATGTATATGTGTATGCGTACGTATATGTGTATGCGTATGTATATGTATATGTATATGTGTATGTATGTATGTATGTATGCGTATGTGTATGTGTATATATGTATATATGGTGCTGTTGCCGACCCGAGGAATTCTCCAGCATCCCTTCCTGACCTGCCATGCACACGTCTGGCTGACGGTCATTGCAAAATGGGTGCCTGAGGCCAGCGAGAGGCGGAACACATCCTTGGCACAACAGGGTTTAGGGGTTTAGGGTTTGGGGTAGCACGCTGAAGAGACCAGGAGTAGACTCCTCACATCCCCCCCGACCGACAAGACCACATCCCGCTCTCAAGATCTGGACCATCTAATTTCCCACCTCTTCTACTGCTCAAATTGTAGCGCGGGGGCCTTGATTCGACTCAGTCTACTTAATTGTACATACACCCCAAACCCTAAACCCTAAACCCTAAACCCTAAACCCTAAACCCTAAACCCTAAACCCTAAACCCTAAACCCTAAACCCCTAAACACTAAATCCCCCGAGCCGCTTGAAACCCAACTGTCCGGGAGTCAAGGACACTGTTGGCTCCTGACACCGAAGGGTTTTTTCCCACCCGTGCAAGCGTTGGGTTTAGGGTTTAGGGTTTAGGGTTTAGGGTTTAGGGTTTAGGGTTTAGGGTTTAGGGTTTAGGGTGTAGGGTGTAGGGTGTAGGGTTTAGGGTTTAGGGTTTAGGGTTTAGGGCGGTTTAGGGCGGGTTAGGGCCGTTTAGTGTTTAGGGTTAGGGTCTCGGGTAAGCGTAAGCCCACATTACATGGCCACTGCCTCCAAGGGGCATCGACTGGGAGGCAGCAAATGAGCTCTTTCGCCAATTCGCCCAAACCTGCTGGTGCCGGCACGGGGCTACACCACCGCAAGGCGACGCAAGAACTCAGAGACCTGTACCTCTTGATATAGGGATGCCATTATGTTCCCGACGCTCCACGTAAAGCCTCTTTTGGAAGTATGCATTTACCAACAGAAATTCACAGCTTCAGCGTAGCCAAGCAGTCGCAAGCCGGCCTAGCAAGTGGCAGTGAGCCATCAAGCAGAAGCATTCGGCTCTCCATCATCAAACATCAAAACGACGTCGAAAGGCCGAAAGGCCCAAATTGTCAAAGAATCAGCTTATCAGTGTGGAAAGATGAACTGCTCCCTTCTGTAGCTGACATTGTAATCTGAGTGGCGGGCTGTGCGTTTTGTCAGCCCGTCACACTTGCGTAGCTTGGGCCAAGCGCATCACTTGTCCAGTGGCGGCGAAAAATCACCAACAATTTGCCTCGAACCTAAACGTGGCAGCCCACTCCACAAACCGAAGAAAGCCACAGCAATGAGTGAATGGGCCCTTTGGGCCGTAAGTTTGCAAAGGTAACCTGGCATGCCGCACATCTGCTGGAACCTCAGATCCCGGCCTCCTTTCTCATAGCTTGGGATGTTCCCCCTCATACGAACAGTCCTTAAAATAGGGCTTTTAATAAATAGGGGGGGTACTATAATCCCTACTGCCACGGGGGACATCCCAACTTACGGCGCTTTATGATACCTTACGTTACCTGTAGCCCAAGAAACCCTACCTTTTTGGGGATTTCTTCTTATTATGATTGCCTTCTACGTCCCCTCAAAAAAGAAGGGATGTTGTTTGGGGTGCAGGCAGGGTTTAGGTTTAGGGTTTCTTGCCGCCCGCCAAGCAGACTAGCCACACTGCAGGGTAACAATCTTCGGGATGACTGAGACAAAAGAAGGATGCGTTCGTCTCGTCAGTGGAAAATCCAGAGCACGTGACCACGAAGGTTTAGGGTTTAGGATGTTGGGTTTGGGGTTTAGGGTACCCCGTGCTTTATGAAGCCCTACGCCCCCAAGATGGTCTTGGAGCAAGCGCCGCCCGGGCGGCGGTCTGAGTAGTCGATCAGCAGCTCCTCCCCCTCCTGCGAAACGCCCATGCGAGAGGGCACAATCTCTGTTGCGGGTCTCTCCTTAGCTTTCCTTGAAGGCTTAGGACGGAGCACTTTGGGGGAACCCCTAAGCCGCGGCGCGGAAAGAAACATGCCTCTTCAGTCGTAAGCCCGAAGAACCGCTGCACCCGGGCCTCGATTGCTCTGGCTGCCGAGAAGTGCACGCAGACGCCACCATCTCCACCCTGGCTGGGAAGTACGGGGGCAGACGTGCGATTTCTTGCCAAGTGGGGAGGAAACTTCAAAGCTGAACTACTATATGGCCCTCCGTCTCAACCGTGCCATTCCGACGTCGCGCGCATCCTCAGGAGGTGAGCAAAGAGCCTCGCGGCAGAAACTTATACAGGGATCGGACTACGGTTGAGCCTGCTGATCTCTGAATGCCACGTCGTAGCACTTCCTACCGCTTTGTGTGCGTCACACTCTCATGTGCGCCAGCAACATCCATCAAACTCAAGACCCTGATGCTTGCCACCATGCAGCATAACTCAGATTCGCGCCGCCACACCTTGCAAGCAAGTCGCTCAAAGCAGGGCTCTCTCTGGCGTCCAACGCCCGACTGAGTCGAAAGCTGGTCCCTGGATACTTGCATCATCTTTGCCTCACAACTTGGCCAATTCGCATTGCTGAAAAACATGTTCAGACACGACCTTGACTGACATCATGGCTACTGCAAGCCAGGGACGTGATTGTACAGCATCCCAAAGCCCAGGACGCAAAGGAGAGTGTCCCCATCTGCGCCACCTGGGCAATGCGACTGCGCGTGTCAGTGGCCCATCTTCCTGCAGATGTAGATGTTGAAGGTGTACTTCGGATCAAGGGCGAAGCAACTGCATGTACTTACCTTCCTTGGAGTGGGGCTTGCTACGGCCAACAGCTTTTTTCACCACTGCCAGGAGGCATTCGCCTCGTCCTCGGCTCTCACCAGCACGGTGAGAAAGACTTGCTGCAAGCAGCTTTGCAACAAGCCATTTGTGATCCCCTGCCAGTTGCTGCATCCGCTGTTCTGCACTCTTCTTGCGCACTTGTTGCTCATGCCTTGCCGGGCGGCACTGGACAGCCCTATTGGCTTGCGGCACAGCCTCCATTGAGCCTGCTTCTTGCCGGCAAATAACGAAGCCTCCCGCCCATTTGCGTCAACGCCGACTCATCCCCTTGCATAGTACACACACACACATGGCAGCAACATTCCCAGGTGTCCGTGGGCATTGGCGAATGGCGACTTCATTGATTTCGCGCATTCTGCCACGCGCCCAGGGACTACTCTCCAGACCAATGCATGCATCGACATTTGTGGTAGTAGACTGGTGCTGCGCATTCCCAGGGGGAGGCATATGGTGAGACGCCCAAGTCTCTCATATGAGAGAAGGGCCTGGAAGTCAGCTATTCTGGGGAATCTGTGATTGAGGGGCAGGCGTGCTGCGAGTGCGTCACTTCGGCCCTTCAGATGGTACTTCGTCAGAACCTCAGGCAAAGCATTGACATCCGCAACCCAGCAACTCAGCGGGCACGACAGCCAGGCACCCGATGTCATCGCCAAGCGGCAATTGGGTGTGGATTCTTCTGGGAGGACGATGGGCTTGTGCAGGAAAATCTGCTGATCTGGCATGCTAACGTCGTCCAGTGAGTCCACAAAATCCAGGTGAAAGTCCTCCAGCGTCATGTTAGGTCAGGGGCGCATCGGGATGCGAACCATCCTATGCACAGCCTGCTAGCCAGCATCGGACTGCAACAGCTGCAAATCTAGTAGGTTGCCATGCAAGACTCGGATAATGTGATGTCATTCGAGTCGTGCCCAAACCTTCAGGGACAGTCTTAACTGCCAGCACGTCGACGTTAAAGCTGTGAGCTATAGCCTGTGTGCCATCTATCCCATCGACAGCCCGACACAAGCCCGACTGCACGCAAAAGGACGAATTGTGCTCAATGCGTCCGTTTTCCTGCGGACCGGAAAACGGACCTGATGGCAACCCGAATAGACTTAGAGCACTCTCTGCGGCCATGAGGCTCTCCAATATGAAAGCAGGGACAAGGTCCCCCCCCCCCCCCCCCCTTGGGTCGAGTCTTGCAGCTTAGGGGCGGATTTTCGAGTTCTTTTGCCACCTCGTTCAGGCACCACAAGCTTTCGAAGAGCAGAAAGCACCTGTCGGCATGCAGAGCAGATGAGCCGAAGCATCACAACCCAGCAGAATCACCAAGACCACAACTTAGTTGTCCAGTAACTTGGGGGAACTAAAGGTTAACCTTGGGGATTATAAGGGGAAGATACTGTTAAAGGTTACCTACTCTACTATACTAGGACAAGTACAATTAGAATTTTGAGACTGCATGTCTCTTGATGAGCCAACCCACTTAAGATCTGGCCCTACGAAACTGCCGCCACTGCGCATGTGCAACATTCTGCTGCAAACTGGGAGCCCTAAACCCTTTTTGCCCCATGGCCCATGTCTCTCTGACGCGCCTGGCTCCGAAAACTCGAAACCCTAAACCCTAAACCCTAAACCCTAAACCTTAGGAGCGAGGGGCAGGATGGGCCCTGCGACGGCCGAGCGCGTAAAGACGATGACATAGACCGGGATGAACACTGAAAACCTGACACGCGGATGAAGGGGGCGGAGCTTTCTTTGCGACTTTCGGCCAGGTAGGTTGTCGGCTGATTCTGGTTTCGCCGCCTGCTGATGCGCACATGACCTGGGAAGATTCGCGCACGCAGGATTCGTGCGCTGACACCTTCGTAATCCTGAAAGAACCCTCAACCCCAATGGAGTCGAGGCAAAAGCCCTGAACCCCAACACCTTTAAGCTACAAACACCCTCAGCCCTGAAAGTCCGAAGCTTTAAAAACACGATCTTACCTGGCGGTGGTAGGTGCAAAAAAATCTTGTGCAGAAGCCCTGAAGCCTAAAGCCGTAGCCTAAAACAAAGCCAGAAAGCTCGAAAACATTTTAAACACTGAATCCCAAACAACGAAGCCCTAAACCCTCAACACTCTAAAGGCTAAAAACTTCGATCATGAAACCCTCGGCCCTGAAAACTCTGATTGGAGTGCAAAAGCCTATGTAAAACCCTACACCCTAAAGCCTGGAAACGCTCGAAGCCCCAAAAACCGGTGTCTAACCATGAACACTGTCGGCCCTGAGTGGTGTGCAAAACCCCTAAACCCTGAAGTCTTCAACCAACCCTGAGCCCTGAAACCCTAAATACAGCCGACATTGCAGGCTTTGGGCCACTTTGGGTGCCCATGCAGGTGCCCATGCATGCCACAGATGCCCAGCAAGTTTGGGGAGGCCCACGCTTCTGCCGCCGCCAAGAAACGCCACCAGCAACATTCCCAGCAGCTGCGCAAAGGGCAGCGGGAAGGGAACATCGGCTATCTTGAGGCAGTTGTTGAAGCCCAGCCTGATTAGGGTTTAGGGCTTAGGGTTTAGGGTTTAGGGGGTAAGGGTTGAAATGCTTGGGTTGAGTGTGCAGGGCATAGGGGTGCTCTTGCAAAACAACCTTTACCAAGGTGGCGTACCTGCACCCGAACAGGGGAGACCCGGGAAGCGCCATTGTGGAGAGTCAGTTCTCATAGCCTATGTTTCTCCAGTGCCCCACAGTGTGCTCGGCAACAACAGACAGCTTTAGCAGTAGTGACAAAGGGGACTACTGCTTGAACAGAGTGATTTAAAACATCAGGACATGCTGACACAGCCAAGTCGCATGCCGTTGGAGAGCTCCTCTTGCAATTCGTCTCCCGAGAAAGCAGAAGAGTACTGTAGCAAACTCTGTGTGTGCGCATGAACTTTCGTGAGAATGCTAGTCGTTTAACATCAACAACCAGCGTGGCTTTAAAGGGTTCGCGGATCGAAGAACAGCGAACTTGAGAGGTGCTCGAGGCTGCGACCAATCAGAATACCATACCGGGGTGGTAAGCCTGTCTAAACCCAGAAATCGCTCGAACAACTCACTTTTTTACATCCAGGCCTCTGAAGTCTGCCGGGTAAGTATGCTGACACACAGGCGCGAAGCACAAACCCAGCACTCGTGGCTAGGGAACAACTCACTTACAAGCGGCTAACAGAACGACGAAGCAAACAATTGCATCATATCCAGCTCAGCCTGAACCATATACCCTAAACCCTTTCAACCCAGGACTGCCCTTTTGCCGGAGGACTCTCTACCCAGGACTGCCCTAAATGCTAAAGCCGGGACGACATGCGATTCGGTTACCTGCCGTTTCGGCGTGACCCAACTTTCGCAGGCAAAGATTGCTGGTATGGTTGCCCACAAGTGCCTATATATTTTCTCTCCTCTGCACCAAACCCCTCAGGCTAGATTACGACAATGCAGAGGATGTATCCCCAAGCCCTGTAGCCCATCGGCATGCAGTATGCTGGTCCTGGTACATTCGGGACTGGATTGGCGGTGCAATGTCGATGTCTTTCATGGCATCCGCCAGGTCCCAAATAATCCAGTACATGACTGTGGCCACGACGTCCTTACGCGGGTTTGTGCTCCTAAGCGCCCTTTTGACAGCACGACCTGTTGTTACACATGACACGCTTCTCCTCGATTCTCCACCCTATTGCCATCGCAAATCTTGATGATTACAAGAATATGTTACGCCTTGAGTAGATTCCAGACTCACCACTGTCTTTCTCAACGAGGCGCAAAGCTCCGGGCCAGAAGCCGGATCTGGTCATCCGAAGGTCTGGCAAAGACGACGTAGAGCCCCTCGTCCGTCTTGTTCCGGTCGTGGTCCTGTCGCTCCTTGGGCCGTTCTTGAGCTCGGTGCTTCTTTGGTGGTTTTGCTTAGTGGGTTTAGCCAGGTATGTTGGGTTGAGGTACCCTCAAGGGAACTTAGGCCCAACGTGGCAAGGAAACCTGTGACGGCGTTTGCAAGTTGCACTCAAGTGCAAACTTCCAGGCTGATGCTGGGATGAATGTCCAAGGAGTTATTCCGAGGTTAACAGGTTAATGCCCAGGGAGAGAATGTAGCAGGGCCGGCAAAATTGGCCTGAGATATCGAGCCAGTTGGTTCGCAAATTGCAAAAACACAAAAGAGGCATCCGGCAAAGGCTTCCAATCAGTCAGCACATGTAGATGCACATTCGCGTTATCGTGCTCATCATTGTCTGCTAAAGCCGGCCGACTTCAGGGATCGTGAGAGGATGCTTCTTCGCTGTTACAGTGGGGCGTAGTAGGAAATCAAAAGCAGAACCTAACACACAAAAAACGCATCACATCACGAGCAGATGAGGTGCCGTATACAGGGACCCAACACAGGAGTGTATAGGAGCCTGGCTCATGAACTCTCCCCTCCCAATGCCCCCAGGTCTCGACCATTGAGGGCATCGCAAAGTTCTTCATCTCCTTGTCCACCCGCATGGTCGCCCGCGTCCTCGCCCTGGCCAGTGGCGGACAACAATAATACAAACCCAGCCGCTTTGAGGGTTGTAGTTTGCGGAGGAGGGATGTTTCAGGCTTCCGTGACACGCTTCAAGGCTGAAGCGAGGTTTTCGGCTGCCAAGACCAGTGAAGTAAAAGATCCACGTTTCATGACTCCTACAACACAAGGAACCCAAAAACCTTCAGCAATTGGCTGGGAAAATAGCGGGAAAACCCCTGCACAAAGACCATTCGTGGCTTTGCCCCTCCACGGGCATGCACAAAGATCCACTTACAATGTCCAAAAGTCCTGAAGGAAGGAGCGTCCAAGGGGTTTAGGTAAGCTACTCATAAGTCTGGTACTTATACTTATAACCCTCGTAGCCCTACATACAACTACCCATGAAGCTCCAAGTAGGGTTCCCTCCAATCCACGCCTGCTGACGGTCACTTCTTCCATGCGCTGGTTGTCTCCTCGGTGAACATCAAGGACAAAACCATTTGGGCCAGGTAGTATTTGGGATGTTCCCCCTTATACTAACAGTCCTTAACAGGGATTCTAATAAGGGGTACTACAGTCCCTATTAAGGACTGCCAGTAGAACGGGGGATATCCCAAGGCAGCATTTATAAGGGTCCCCTCACTAAAAGGGCGCGTTTAAGCCTTGCCAAGCTCCCGAAACCCCTCAAAGCCTAGGCCCTAGCCGACAGCACCAAGTCACCAGTGGTCAGTCGGTCGGCTGCGAAAGCACTGAGCAGAGCATAGTTCACCTTGAGCTTTCTTTGAGATGCCTTACCCTCGTTTTTTGTGGGATCTCCTGTTTCTTGGGAGTCGTTACGATAATTCAACCCAGAACAGTCACCCTCAAGAAGTTGCAGTTCCCCAGCCAATCCGCTAGTCTCAGGATCTCTACAGCACGGTTTCGTCAACATCGGCTCTGCATGTGATATAGCACGCTGGCTTGAAGGCATGGAGTTGATTTTGCCTTTTTGGTTGCTTGTGCAAGGAGGAGGAGGAGGAGGAGGGTAGTACACAAGAGGCTTCAAGGCCTCTTGTGCGCGTACGTAGCTACGAACTGACGCAACAAGTTGCCTTGAGCCTCTTCTGCTTTTGCCGAATCCTGTCTGCTTTCCTTAGCATCATTGCAATTGAGCACGGGAGGTACATGGAATGCATCAGCTCCACCTACCAGGAAATACTAGCTTCCATGCCAGGAATCACTGCATCGCCCTTGTCGTTGGCGGCTTTCTTCGTGACTTCTGCAAAGGCCTGAAACTGCGAGAACCTGAGTTGGCGTCCAGCTGAGTGCCTGCCTTTCTTAGGAACTGCATCCTGAAAGGCTATGGCTATTTGTGTCATCCACCGAGCCACGCGTCGGCCCACTTGCTGTACATGAAATGGAGCTGCGTCACCGCTTCCCAGTATCTGGTCCATGCCAGCTGAGTGCGGAACACGATTGCAAAGGTGACCTTGGCATTCTCGCAGGCACGCAAATGTATAGAAACTGCGGCGAATCACCTGGTAATGGCCAAATGATCAGGTTGCTGCTTCGTGCCATGGCACTCCTGCACCAACTGCCTGGAATCCATAGTGATGAAAGAGTTCAGGGGCATCATCGTCCACGTCTCGCCAGTACTGAAGCGCCCCGCCGAGCGCAGACAAGAAGATCCCTACAAACCTGACACGGACAAGAACAGAATGGGAGCGGCTGCTCTTGCAAAGGGACTTGTTGGGTTTTGCAAAGCTTCACTGCAAGTGCACTAAGATCACCGAACATGCTCCAGCTAGATTCAGCTAGATGGCGCTGATACCTTTCTGCAACCAAAGCCTGGACTCATTGTCTTCCCACTTCTTCAGGCCAAGCGTCAGCGAGCCAGGTCTGTAGAAAACGCTGCCGCGGCGCTCCAGCAGCAAACCCAGAAAGCTCTTGTTATAGTACAGGAGCATGGCATCAGGTGACGATGCACATCTGATACAAAAAACTAGATCAGCATCAACGGCACTGCTGCAAAAGTGAACTCATGGTGCTCGAGACGACTTTTAAAACTTCAAGCTGTTATTGCCTGAGCTGTTGCCGTGGCAACGACCCCTCCTCACTAACTATCGAGCAGAGGCTGCAAGTCACCAGGAAAAGGTCTCAGTAGGTTCGATGCCTGGCAGTCTTGCCGACATATTCTGCATGAGTGCCTCCACATAGGGTTACGTCGCGGTGTCCCGCCCCCACCCCCCCCCCTCCCCCCCAACCGGTCTTTAATATTCAAAGTACGGTCCCTTAAGAAGATGGCTCAAAGATCCTATAACCCTTAGTACAGGGACCTTGTTTGCGAAAGTTTGGGCTTCGTGTTTTTTCTCATGTTTTTCCCAATTCTGCCCACCCTGCCAAGCACATAAGGCGACTGCCTTACTTGGACTGCTGTACATGCCTGTGCCTGGCACTACACTGAGCAGGTTTCGGATTTAGATCCAAGTGAGATGATACTACCAAGTGGCTGACTAGCGCGGCTCATTTCAGCAACTCGTCCCAGTTGACGCTGGACCAGAAGTCCTGAGCCAAGTTGACCCTGGCAATGTGGGAGAAGGCTACACAGCACTGGGAAGGGGCAAAGAACGGAGAAACAAGATGCTGTCTGTATTTTGCATCTTCCCCCTGAGGGCACGAGGAGTGCGCTCTTACATCGCCAAGGGCATCTGGGCAAGGGTCCTTCTCATGCTCAGTAGCTTTGGCGGTCATAGCGTTGCCCTGGAAAGGAGTTCCTGCGTCACCGCCTTTTGAAGGCGGTGCGCTGTGAGCAGCGGACGGCGGGAAGAGGTCTATCAAGTCATGCCTCAGCTGGTCAACCCCTGCCTTGTGTGTACCCAACCTCTCTGCTTCCGTCAGAGCATGGCTTTAGAAGCAAAGCGGCAATGGCGCAGTGGCAGGCTGCGCATTTGGCCAAGGTCCACTCAACCCATGGGAGGCAGGTCCAGTCTGCACAACCGGCACTTGCATCCCTGGGTTTGACAGAGGCACAGGCCAGTCGTTGCCCACATCCCTGCTGGCAAGGCCATTGGCGACAGGCTTTTCTGACGGCCAGTCCCCGAGCCAGTCAGGAGCCTTGCTGTCACACTTGGGAGCCCTTGAGGGTTCCAAAGCGGGCGCTGGAGCCGACGCCGGCTGAGCCGGCGCCGCCTGGCTGGCGTAGCCCATGCCCTGCGCCGGGGCCTTGGCTCCTGGGCCCGCCGCGGCTGTCGCCTGGCATCACACTTCGGAGCACAGCAGATCAGGCGCCGAGAAAAACCACGAGCCATCAAGCAATGGTAGCTGCAACGACGCTGCCCTTGCAAAACCCTCAAGCGCCGCCAAGGAACTGCTTCGATGTGCCGCTTCACTGCAAGCTGAGCCTTCTCCGTCCCGTACAACTTCGTACATTGCCGCACCTGCGCGAGACGCATACTACATCGCCACCAGAGCCGCTGCATTCACTTGCATCTGTCTCGAATCAGTACTTGGAGGTTCATGGGTAGTTATAAGCAGGGTTTACAAGTACACCCTAACTGGGTTACAAGTAGAACTAACATACTTAAAACCCTACTTATAAGATCTTATAAATAACCCTAAACCCCAAAACCCCAAACCCCAAACCCTAAACCCTAAACCCTAAACCCCAAACTCTACTCATAGCTACCCATGAACCTCCAAGTAGGAGACCTCCCTGCCTTCTGCTCCTTCGACTCGGCCGGCTGCCAGGAGAGGTCGCTACTGGGCCGGAAAATCTCCTGGTTGGCGTGGGCCCAGGTTTAGGGTTTAGGGTTTGCGGTTTAGGGTTTGGGGTTTGGGGTTTGGGGTTTGGGGTTTGGGGTTTAGGGTTTAGGGTTTAGTATGCAGATCTAAAAGTGCACGTTGGGATGATCCCCCTTGTGCTAACAGTCCTTAGTAGGAATGAGAATAGGGGGTGCTAGAATCCCTCTGAAGGACTGCTAGTTTTAGGGGGAACATCCCAAGGTACCAGGTACAGACCAAGAGTTAAAAAAAGCCCCGGAGGGCCCCCTGTCTTCCCTCAGGTGCCAGCGGCCTTGGCGCGGTTATTGCCAACAGCACGCATCAGCTCCACCTGGCCGCCGTACTCACGGTTGTACCAGGCTCTACTAAGAATTTCTTCGGACTGCGGCACTCGGAATGGCAGGATCCTGCTGAGCACCTCGGTGAGTTCCCTACAGGCTTCAGGCCGGCGGAGGTGCGCGGACTGCATGAGCGCTTACGGGAGGAGCTCCTGCGCCTATGGCCTATCCCATCTGTCCAGCTCCAGCCATATCCAAGGATTTATGAGTTCCCAAACAGAGGACGGTGCCTCATCCGGGGACCAGAGGTAGGTGGTGAAATTCCTTGGCACCACACGGACAGGAAAGATTGTCGAAGCAGGCCTGAGGATTCTGTAGCCTGCGCTTGAGGCAAGGCAAAGGTGGGACGGACAATGCTAGCTCATAGTTTGCAAAGCCAAGCAGCTCTCACATGTGACATGTCAGGCTAACATAGACCCCAAATAGTAGGATTCCCCCGCAATACGGTACCCCTACCTTCGGAAACCATCATATGTGGCATCTGCACAAACATCTATAGATCGTAAATGGCTGTCTGCTCTCTCGCTTTCTTGGGTCCGGGTGGCCCAAACGAACTGAAATCACTGCTCCTCGACTCACTCGCTCACTCACGCAGCGCCAAATCCGAGGATGGGAGCCCGCGGAATGGGTGAAAAGAACTTGAACCTACCGGGGGGGGGAAACTCTACAACAAGCATGGATGTGGAGACTCTGCGGCATGGAATGACACGCTGTGCTTTTGCTTGGTAAGCGAGCAGCGTGTTGCCCAGAACACTGAAAGGTGCAGATGCTCCACGAAGGGGTTTTTGTAATTGTGGCAGCCCATGGGTCGCCCACTGTACAAGCCGTCCAGATATCGTGCCCCGCGCCGCAAGGCACTGTGGCAAAGCTCGCGAACTGACGAAACCTTTCCCGATGCTCACTCATCTTGCAGGAAACTCCGACCCAGAACCCGAGCAGCACTGAAAACCGGTCCGCCTAAACCTCAAACCTGTCTTTGTCTTGTGAACAAGGCTGCAGAGAAATGAGCGGCTTGACAGTTCACTCTGGGCTTTTTGGGGACCGCACTTCCCAAGACACCCCTCTATTCAACATGGGGTCTCCTGTTGCGGCCCAGGGTCTTGACACAGGTGATGTGAGCGCCGGCTGCCCGATGCACGTCAGAGCAGGTGACCTCTGTGTCTGCAGTTCAGGCTCCCACAGGCAACACAACTTCAAAGGGCAGCTCCCCCCACAACTCCGGGTTTGGCTGAAATCTCGAGCGGCTTTGAAGCCTTTAAGCCGCGGTACGCAGATGAAGGTCCCCAGCTTTGGAGAGGCCCAGGTGACATCCGCCACGCCGCAGTCAAAACACCTTTCAGACACGGGATGAAGTGGATGGTGGTGTTCTTGCGCATGGCTCGTGATGGATGCTGGCCGTGCGCAGGCTTACGCGAAGGCAAAGTGAACGCAAGGTCAAATCATGAGATGCGGGTGCTCGGCGCCTGAAAAACTTCCCCCGTATGTAGCTGACAAGTGAAAAGAATTGTACCCGTCGCATATCAAGGTAATCACCACTGAATCCATCCACATCATCCGCGGCGCTGCCGGTTGCGGCCCGTCTTCTTCATGGCGGCCAGATTCGCTTTCAGCCTCAAGCCAGGGGGGCATGTCCGGCTAGGGGAAAATCTGAACCTCGGCTTCCTTTACTGAATTTAAAATGTGGCCCGATTCATGAGACCATTTCGGGAAGAGGCTGCAGTAATGGTGGTTCCAGGCACAGAATCTCAGAATGTCGGAACAGCGCAGCCCTGCATGACTGAGGCGCTCGGGCTGCCGATCTTCGATCTCTGTCTTCGGATAGGCATTGCCGATCTTGCTCCTGTAGCACACTGAGCCTGAGGACCCCAGCTATCTAGCTACCGCACTTGCAGGAGTATTGAACTTTTTGGGGGATGGGGGATTTACGAAAAGAGGGGACCCCTAAAGTGGATCCCCAAATAGTAAGATTCCCTTAGAAAAATGGACCTCAACAAGGGTACCAGCAATTTCGTAACCCCCTTATCTGCTGGCAGCTAAGGAGTCCTGAAAGTGCTGCCTGACGACGACATGGCCGATGATGCGAAGTCCCGAGCGGCTGTCCGACACTTGAGCCACTGACACGCGAGGAATCGGAAGAGGGCGCAGCTGCTGCATGAATCCCCATCGCCCCTCGAATGCTCTCCATGTTCCCTCAACAAGCTGGATTCGCACAGACCGACCGCCACAGCTCCGAACTACTGAGAAGCCTCTGAGAGCACAAGAAAAAAAAACGGCCGAGCCACTGAAGAAGTAGCGCATGCCAGCACAGTCCGCAGCCACGTGATCACGCCGCAAGGCCAGCACAGGGCCTTGGCATGTCTATCATTTGTGAGACTTCCCGCGCTCAGATTTCTGACACCCTGCTTGCCCTCTGCCGTTGGAGTGCAGACCCAGGCTGGGGGTTTACGAACATAAGGGAGCCCTGATATCGACCCCCACAGAGCAGGATTCCCTTATGATAGGGACCCCGATAAGGTACCCCCCTAATTCGGAGACCCCCATCTGCACCAGTGCATACCACTGCCGAGCTACACACCTCGACCGTCTCGCCTGCGGAAATGGGAGCACCGGCAAAGACACCTTGCAGCAAGCTCAGGGTTTAGGGTTTAGGGTTTAGGGTTTAGGGTTTAGGGTTTAGGGTTTAGGGTTTAGGGTTTAGGGTTTAGGGTTTAGGGTTTAGGGTTTAGGGTTTAGGGTTTAGGGTTTAGGGTTTAGGGAAATTTCAGGGACTGGAGTTCCAAGCACATTCGGCCTATGCTAGCATATTAGAACTAGGCAAGGCCGGCGCGACGAGATCTGCACGTCAACACGCTTGTTCGCGCACGCCTGCCTCGACCGCCACGCTGAGACGATGCGATGCGCAGGGGCACCCGGGCACCAAAGACCTCGGCCTTGGCCGCACAAGAACGCCACAAAGAGCCTCCCATACACACCCGCAAACACCTTTTCATCACCCTTCTCCTACCCCGACGGGCCTGCCCAAGGTAAGATGGCTGCGCAACTTTTCTGCAAGACGCCGCAGGCGGCTGGATAGATTTTCGGCTCCACCAGGCTGGCTGCCAGCAGTTGCTCCAAAGATGTCCATGACAAATGACTTTGCCCACGCAAGGGGACAAGAGATCAATGTGCAGATACATGCAGAAAGGGCACCAGACGGGCTTGTGAGGATGACTATCTGAGGATTGGGAAAGGAAGCTCGTGATGTTTTTACACAGAACAGCCAGGAGCAACTCCCGCAATTTGCTGTCTTATGTGGTCAATATGGCCAGCTACGATTAAACAGTTGGAGGCCTGGTCCTCAAGATAAGCTACGGCTTGGAAACGTGTCGTTCCCCACTACTTTCCGCGAAGGATGGGTGTCGATTGCCACAAGACAAAGATGGAGACTCGCGAGTCCGGGCAAGCCATTGCACCTGAAACACTTGCGAAAAGCGGCGGCACTGCTAAGACACGCTTCTGCGGAACACATGAATGGCCATCTTCGTCTCGCGGTCTCCTGACATGTGCCAGTATGTACATCGGCTTCACGCATTTTGGCCCACGCGCCGTTCCTGAGGCTTCAAGCAGCCAGGCCGCCAGAAGCTCCCTAACCCTTAAACCCTAAACCCTAAACCCTAAACTGTGATCAGCATGAAGTATGTGACGCACGTCACGTGCCTCTTCGACGTCAACCCCTGGAACTTCGGACTGGCCGAGGAAACCAAGAAATCCTTACTGTTGGTTAGTAGGGAATGGGGGGGAATAAGGCACCACATCTCCCCTATATAGCCTTTAAGCAATTCTATATATGGTACCTTCTTCCCCCATTCCCTACTAACCAACAGTAACCCTAAACCCTAAACCCTAAACCCTAAACCCGACCAAGGGGCAGTCGCCAAAGAGCAAGGCTCCAGTATTTGGCTCTAGGGGCAGATCCGCGCCAACCAGCCGGACCTGACGCTGCAAGGCGCAAAGCTGGGGTTTAGGGTTTAGGGTTTAGGGGGGTTTAGGGTTTAGGGTTTAGGGTTTAGGGTTTAGGGTTTGGCACATGCTGTTTAGGGTTTAGGGGGGTTTAGGGGGGTTTAGGGTCTAGGGTTTAGGGCTGGCACAGGCCATAAGCGCGCAATCTGTGCTGCCTGCACTGAAGCTACGGAATACGGAGCGTTTGATCCATGCACTTTCCCTTCACCCTGACCACACAGGGAAGGCAGAATCAGAAGACTATACTCCCCTAGAACCTTAATGAAAACAATATTCTTAATATCCTCTCGGGGTTTATATTAACAAGAAAAACAATTCTGAAGGGGGATATAGGGGAAGGTCGAATCAGCAGAGGCCGGCGACCTCCCGGATGTGTCCGATCTGGTCCGAGTCCTGCATACTCAACGCTGTGCAGCGCTGGAAAGAAAGCAAAGAGGAGAGCAGCCAAGGCCGTCCTTGTACGCCTGGTACGTGCTTCGCTCCTTCTTCACCTTGCGGATTTTCTAAAGTTTCCACAACAGCACCAGCCCTCAAACTCCAGACGAAGACGCGACCCAAGAGTCGTCCGAACCTGATACTGCAAGGGAGCGGCGAAGTAAAACTTTCTGAAATACTTCCCTTCCTCCTTCAAGCGCTGCAAAATGGCATCCTGGGCGAATCGGAAGCACGCTTGCTTTGCAGCGCGGAGATGCGTCCCACATCCCTTGAGGCTGTCGGCCACCATGATTTGCAGGTGCCAAGTACTCGTGCCAAACCCTACACAAAACCGCGAACCGCCGAGCATCCTTGGCATCTCCAAAGGTGCTGTTGCCTCATGCTCAGGTCAAGGGCCCCATCAGAGATAACTTCTAGAATGGCAGCGGGCGTGCAGAGGGAGGACCCCTACTTGACTTGCCCCCAGTTGCCCTACTTGACACCTTGATTGTTGTCCCACATGCCCCACTGGCCGGACTTGCCTGATATAAGCTCATAAACATCCCGTAAAGTGACCCGACTTCAAAACGCACGCACACACAAACACAGATACACACACTCACAAAAATGACATTGATATACAGACACACCTGATCAGCTCGTGTTCCCTCTTGGGGGACCTTGACAATACAGCTCCCCTTTGTTTCAGGTACAAGAACACTCAGAATTTAGAGATCTGACCATATGGGCAAATAGAACTCTCAAGCCCTTTTGCTGCGTGAAATACCCCCAACTTCTCAGGCCTCATTAGGCTGGGTTTTGGGTTCTGGGGTCAGAAACTTTTTGGGCTTTCAGCATTCAAGGAGGCATGCGCAACTCGGCGACTTGCACAAGCACGTTGAGGAAGATCAGCCAAGGCACTCATGAGTTTTAGTGTTGTCTGGCGGTCATTGAGCGCGTGGCATACCTCGAAGTGTCTTATCAGAAGTGGTATGCAGGCAAAGTATGTGTTGTTGTTGATCGCTCTGGGAGTTAAACTGCAAATCTAGATTTCTGCTGGACTGTTCTGACCTTTCCAGGCACTACCGCCATGAAAGAGCAAGCGTCAAGATGTTGCGATGGGAGTGGTCCTGACATCTGAGGAGGCTGCGATGAGCTCAATGGGCTCGATGGGCACCTGGGCCATTTGTCATAAGCACTGAAGGCGGTGTGCAGATACAATCCCATGGGGCTCCTTTAAAACACCCGAAGGCTGGGGCAGATAGTTGCTGCGAACTTCAAAGCTGTAACTTTATTGGCATCCTTTGCAGGCATCGGCACGTTGCGCTTGTGCCGCTGCTTGGCGCGCGACTTCCGCGCCTGCTCGACCATCGCCGCCTGAGCTTGCCATGGAATGCACGAACAGTCTGAAAGGCTTCTAGAGAACAAAACAATGATGAAACCTCATCAACAAGAAACACAAACACCAGCTCAGACAGTTGCTCCACATTGCTCCTGCTGCGGGCTCCAAGTCAGTGCGGCCAAAGCACTGCAAAGGTCCAGTCGTCCCCGTCCTGCATCGCTCACAACTGGGGCACGACGGGTTTAGGGTTTAGGGTTTAGGGTTTAGGGTTTAGGGTTTAGGGTTTAGGGTTTAGGGTTTAGGGGGGCGCGATGTCCTTATTGGGGGTTTGGGAGGGAAATCAAGGCTTCTCTCGCGAGCCATTGGGATCCTCGTCATCGTAGTTTTTGCGAATCAAGGGCGGCGGCGCATCGAAGTCGATGTCTAAATGCGCCTCTGATGCTGCTGCATCTTGCACTGCCTGTGTGCCAACTGACTGTGTGGCTGTCATCTGAACAGGGGTCTAAGCTTCGTAGCAAATGCCTGCGTCACGTGCCACAGATACCGCCGAGCCACTTCATCGGCGCTATCCGGCTCGCCACTGAGGCTTTGCATGAAAGACCTGGGCGGAGCGCAATGCGAGACTTTATGGGGGCCTGCCAGAGCATGGCCGGAGCGTGCTTTCATCGTGCCGTGTTTTTCAATTGTGTCATTCATGCAGCTGTCGGGTGGGACTTTGGGACTCAAGCTTTTGGAGATTTGAAAGGGTCGGGCACTAGGAGGCATAGGAGGGCTTTGGGTCTTAAGGGCTTGAGGCGTGTGTGCACTAGGGCTCAAGCCTTGACAGCTATAAGTTTTCAGGAAGAAGAACATGCCGGGGTAGACCTAAACAAGTAAGACCACTCCCAAAGCATTCCAAGAGCACCCCTACAGCACTCTAAGATGATCCCCCACCAAGCAAGCCAGGGCTCAAAAGGTGACGACAGTTTCTGCATTGGGATGTTCCCCCTTCTACTAACAGTCCCTAATGGGGATTAGAAAAGGGGGGGGGGGCTACCATAATCCCTATTAAGGACTGTTGGTACATAATCGCCATTAAATTAAGGACTGTTAGTACATAATCCCTATTAAATTAAGGACTGTTAGTATATGATCCCTATTAAGGGCTGCTAGAATATGGGGGAACATCCCAAGTTTTGCACTTTAGGACGGGACCGAGACGAGAGTGCCACTTGCAACACCAAGACATGCACGCGGAAACACCGAGGGTTTAGAGTTTTTGTTCGCTCCCGCATGGCAGGGTTTAGGGTTTAGGGTCTAGCGTTTAACGGTTTACGGTCTAGCCGACAGCTCTGTACTCCCAATGTCAGAATCCCAACAGTGTTTGGGCAAAAGCACAGGGACCAGCAGCACAAGAAGAAAGCACAAGCCACTATATGGATCCCCAAGATTTCCCCAACCGAACCGGACGCGCGTGACGCCCAGCTCCTTCCCTTCGCAAGCTTAGGGTTTAGGGTTTAGGGTTTAGGGTTTAGGGTTTAGGGTTTAGGGTTTAGGGTTTAGGGTTTAGGGTTTAGGGTTTAGGGTTTAGGGTTTAGGGTTTAGGGTTTCGGGTCTAGGGTTTAGGGTTTAAGCCAACCAAATCAAGATGTGAAGCGTGGGCCTTCGTTTTTTGTTTGCTGATGGCGGCTAAATCGTCAAAGCGGTTCCTAGATCATGCCTGTGTCGCCCTCCCCGGCAACCACCAGTGGCAACTAGCAGTAGGGACCAGACATCTCCACGCCTGAACCCTCAACCCTCATTAAAACCCTTTTTGGAGGAAGGACTGCAGTGCGATTTGCCCTCACAACTAAAACCCTAAACCCTAAACCCAAAACCCCTAAAACTTTAAGACTCTTCCCGACGGGGCACCGGATGGGTGGGCGCAGGTTCGGCGCCAGCGCCCGGAGCACCTCCTCACGCTCCTGGGGCGACGCCTGGCGGTAGGGTTTAGGGTTTAGGGTTTAGGGTTTAGGGCTTAGGGCTTAGGGCTTAGGGCTTAGGGCTTAGGGCTTAGGGTTTAGGGTTTAGGGTTTAGGGTTTAGGGTTTAGGGTTTAGGGTTTAGGGTTCAGGGACTAGGGACTCGCTGAAGGTGATTTGGGGGTTTACGATCATAAGGGGGGTGCCTTCATGGAGTCCTGTTTTATAAGGTGATCCTACTATTTGGGGGTCTATATTAGGGTCCCCGATGTTCATAAACTCCCGTCTGGGGATTCGGGCTGAGGAATCGCCCACCCGTGCTCATGAGAAGTTCGATAAAGTCTCAAGTCTGCTTGCAGACGGGATTCCGGCGAGACATTGTACCCAAAGCCCTTTATGAGACGGCTTAGTAAGCCGTGAGCCCCCATCACCCCTCCAAAAATGCCCAACATCAACTTGCCACGCACCCAGAAAACAGCAGGCTGAATCCCCCAATCAACATGAGCACCTCCTCCCCCGAGCACAGGCGCAGAAGCGTCGCGCATGCCTTGCAAGCCGACGATTCTGCTTGGTCATTCAGGGGCTTAGACTGGGCAACCATCTGCCACGGCTCTAAACCCTACACCCCTCTGCCACGGCTCTCTAACTGCGCAGTATTGCAGCAAAGGGCCGGGCTTGTAGTGACTTGTTGGATGCAAAGCTCAAAAGGCGAGCATGTAAGGGGACAACGGGCAGAATCCTTCTGAGGGCATATTTCTAAGAATAGATCTGCACGTTACGTGGAGGTTCATGGGTAGTTGTAAGTAGGGCTATATAGGTACCCTGAATAGGGTTAGAAGTATGATTACCATAGAGGTTCATGTTAAAGTTCCTGCATGACATGCAGGCTCCGTCGTGACTTTATATGCGCCTCGCTGGAGCACAGGTCACCGGCCAAGGAGCCAATGAAGGACTGGTGCCTGGCAGCACAGGCCAAATCATGATAATATTATCATAATCTTATAGAAATATTCGGTCACCCCCCCCCCCCCCCCCATGATCCACACCTGTGGTTTTCCTGTCTTCGTCTTTGTCTGATTTTCTGCTTTTGCCTCGGAAAAATGCAGCAAAAACTGTACTGGAACACAAAAGGCTCTGCTATATTATCCCCTATAAAAACACTAGTGTTTTTATGTGCATTTTTGCTTCTGAAACGTGTGTCTTGCGGCTCCATAAAATTTTAGAAGGGCAGCCATTTAGAATTTTGAGGCTTTTCAGGGTTTAGGGGTTTTTTTAAAATTTAGATGATCTGCGGAAGGCACCGGGGCTCCCCCAGACCATTTCAAATTTTAAAAACCCTTAAAATCCTTAATTGTTTTTGATTGGGCAGCCCCTTTAAAATTTTAAGGGCTTTAAGGTACTTAAAGCCATTCAAAACTTTCAGGATTTAAAATGCTTTAAAGCCCTTAAGAACCTGAAAACGTTTATCCCTTAAAATTCTAAAACACCTTAATTTTTCTAAAGGGCAGCCGTTCAAAATTAAGGAAGTTACGGATTTTAGAATTGAACATCCTACAATCCTGTCCTGTTAAAGGATTTGTAAGAATTTACATGGTCTGGGCAAGGCACCGGGTTCTCCAGACCATTGACAACTAACTTTAAAAACCTTAAAATACTAAACGGGCAGCCACATAAATGTGTAAGCATTTTATGGTTTTTAAAAGGCTGTAAAACCTGTAAAATCCTGGGAATGTTTAAACAGAGTTTCAAGGATTTTGATAAGATGTTAAGATGGTCCGGGGAAGCCCCGGTGCCTTCCCCAGACCATTTAAATTTCTAAAAGTTTTCAAAAATGGTCTGGGGGGCCCCGGTGCCTTCCCCCAGGTCATTTGAATTTGTAAAAACCCTTAAAACCCTTAAAACCCTGAACCCTAAAAACCAAACCCGAAACCCTTAACACTAAACCCTAAACACTCAGCACCAGACCCTAAACACTAACCCTAAAAACTTAACACTAAGAGCCCTTAGCACAAACCCCAAGCACTTAACACGAAACAATTTTAAAAGGGCAGCCGTTCAAAATTAAGGAAGTTACGGATTTTAGAATTGAATATCCTACAATCCTGTCCTGTTAAAGGATTTGTAAGAATTTACATGGTCTGGGGAAGGCACCGGGTTCTCCAGACCATTGACAACTAACTTTAAAAAGCCTTAAAACCCTAAAAGGGCACCCACATAAATGTGTAAGCATTTTATGGTTTTGAGAAGGCTTGAAAACCTGTAAAATCCTGAGAATGTTTGAACAGAATTTCAAGGATTTTGATAAGATTTTAAGGGTTTTAAAAGTTCAGATGGTCTAGGGAAGCCCCGGAGACCATTTAAATTCTAAAAGGTTTTGAAAAATGGTCTGGGGGCCGGTGCCTTCCCCAGATCATTAAAATTGGAAAAATCCTTGAAACCCGTAACCCTAAACACTAAACCCTAAACACTCAGCACCAGACCCTAAACACTAACCCTAAAAACTTAACTCTAAGAGCCCTTAGCACAAACCCCAAGCACTTAACACGAAACCCTAAAAGCTTAAGCACTAAACCCTAAACACTAGACCCTAAAAGCTTAAACACTACACCCTAAAAACTAAACCCTAAACATTACACACTAAACCCTACACACTAAACCCTGAACACTAAACCCTAAACCCTAAACGGCAGGACTTTTAAAGTTGTCAATGGTCTGGGGAAGCCCCGGTGCCTTCCCCAGATCATTTGAATTTGTAAAAATCCTTAAAACCCTTAAAACCCTGAACCCTAAAAACCAAACCCGAAACCCTTAGCACTAAACCCTAAACACTCAGCACTAGACCCTAAACACTAACCCTAAAAACTTAACACTAAGCTCTTAGCACAAACCCCAAACACTTAACACGTAAACCTAAACGCTTAAGCACTAAACCCTAAACACTTAAACGCTGCACCCTAAACACTAGACCCTAAACATTACACGCTAAACCCTACACACTAAACCCTAAACACTAAACAGTAAACCCCGAAGCCGGAACCTCAAGCCCTACTAAATCTAAATTTGAAACCAAAAACCCGTCGGGGTTTCAGATGCTTACTGTTTGGGTTTTAGAGTTTAGGGCTTTATTTGGTCTAGGGGTTTAGCCAAGTCGCTTGACCCTAAACCCTAAACCTAAACTCTAGATCCTAAACTTAACACTCAACCCTAAACACAAAACACTAAACTCTGAAACCTACACCCTAGACCCTAAACACTGAACACTAAACCCTACACCCGAAACAACACATCCTGAACCCTAAACCAACCCCAAGCCCAAAAAAACATGGGGTTGCAGTCCTTTAGGGGTTTTAAATCTTCATCATTATAAGGTTTAGGGTTTTAGACATTATCCAAGTCGCTTAATTAAACCTAAACCCTAAAAAGTAAACCCTAAACCTTTAAAACCAAAACCTAAACACTAGACCCTAAACACTAACACTGAACCCTAAACACTAAACGCTACAAACCCTAAACAATAAACACTAAACCGTAATCCCTAAACGTGCATGTGGAGAACATGGGCCCCGGACTCCATATGCACCCGGGCCCCGGACTCCAGACTCCCCGGACTCCAGACTCCAGATTTCCAGAAAAAATCTGGAGTACCGGGGCCCCGGACTCCAGACTCCAGATTTCCAGAGAAAATCTGGAGTACCCGGGCCCGGACTCCAGATTTCCAGAAAAAATCTGGAGTACCGGGGCCCCGGACTCCAGACTCCAGATTTCCAGAAAAAATCTGGAGTACCGGGGCCCCGGACTCCAGACTCCAGATTTCCAGAAAAAATCTGGAGTACCGGGGCCCCGGACTCCAGACTCCAGATTTCCAGAAAAAATCTGGAGTACCCGGGGCCCCAGACTCCAGATTACAGACTCCAGAATCTGGAGTCCAGGGTCCCGGTACTCCAGATTTTTCTGGAAATCTGGAGTCTGGAGTCTGGAGATACTCCAGATTTTTTCTGGAAATCTGGAGTCTGGAGTCTGGAGTCTGGAGGTACTCCAGATTTTTTCTGGAAATCTGGAGTCTGGAGTCTGGGGGTACTCCAGATTTTTTCTGGAAATCTGGAGTCTGGAGTCCCGCCCCTCCCAAAACCAGCCTTCCCGAGGCCAAATGTGTGGATCATGGGGGGGGGGGGGGGGCGAGCAAATATTCCAATGCAACAATCGTGTCATCAGAATAGAATACTTTCTAGAACAAAAACAATACGAAGAACAATAGAATAGAATAACAGTAAAATATTATTTCTGATTACGTTATTTTGCAGCGTTTGAAGTCTCGCGTTTCAGCGAGGCACACACACTTAGCAATGTGAGCAGAAATGTATCGGTCACATACCAAGACCGCTTTTGCATGAACCGGTTGAGGGCTTACGAAAATAGGAGGAGCCCCTAGTAGTAGGATTCCCTGATATAAGAAGGACCCCAATAAGGTACCCCTAAGATGGGGTTTCTACGAAAAGAAGGGGGACCTCTAATATAGACCCCCAAATAATTAGTAGGATTCCCTTAGAATCAGGACCCCAAGACGGTACCCCCTAAACCCTAAACCTTATTAAACCCCACAAAACACCCCGTAGTATCGGAAAACCCCCAGTTGCAGCGAGTCCCTAAACCCTAAACCCTAAACCCTGAAACCCCGTTGAGAGATGCGGCTCTGGATCGGCTCCAGCAAGGAGGAGGCTGGCTAAGACCTCGGTGTTGCGCCGCTGAGGTCGCAAACTGCCTGCTCTAGCGGCCTTAAAGAACAGAACAGAACAGAATAAGGTTTTGGGGGGGTATTCTAGTAGAAGTACAGAGGGACCATAAGGGAAAAACGATTCGTATTATTCCGACCCCGATCTTACCAGCGAGATGCATGTTCCGGGGCTGGAGAGTTGCGTCCAGGGCCATCGACGACCTGTTCATCGAACCAAGCTGCGCTCACATCCCCGCTAGCTGCCGCCTCAAAAAGTGGAGTCTCACCCACCTGGGAAGGGAGGGGGGGTTGATGATTGTTTTTGGTAGAATGTCTTAGGGATTGCCAATGGCAGCCGCCAGCAGAAAGATGCCAACAGGGACCGAAAGAAGGTAGGTATGGCAACGGCGTGAAAGCAAGGGACAAACTCATCAGAACCCGGCATAGCCTCATAGTGTTGCTCAAGACCGCCGACGCTTGGGGGTGTCTACGAACATTCGGGAACCGCAATATAGATCCCAAATACTAGGATCCCCTTAAAAAAAGACCCCTATAAGACACCCCGAGTTTCGGAGAAAAAACACTTGGGCAGAGGCACCGCATCTACGGAGTTCGGGTCCGACTTCGCATCCAAGAGCCGCTTCACCTCTACCAGGTCACCTTGGGCGACCAGGGGGGAGGGGATGGAGAAGCCCCTAAACCCTAAACCCTAAGCCCTAAACCCCTTTAAGCACGGGCTGAGGCCTAAACCCTAAACCCTAAACCCTAAACCCTAAACCCTAAACCCTAAACCCTAAACCCTAAACCCTAAACCCTAAACCTAAACCAACTCTGAGACGGCCACTTTTCTTGCTTCTCATCAGGGGTCATTCAACGACCGTTGCTGGAGGGCATGCTTCACTCATGCTTCATGCCCGTAGCTAGGAACTGGAGATCCACCGTGCTTGGGATACCTTTGGACCTTAGCGCGCGCATTGGACATGGACATGCTGGTAGCTTCTACGACAGGCTACTCAACAAGCTACTGCGCCCAGCCACCAATCCGCGAGGCAAAAGCAAGCGGAGATGCCTGCGACGCAGGCGGCGTTTCCTGACAGATGGCCGGCTGAACCGGCTTCGGCTTGCCGCAGTAGTCTCCCAAGTTTAGGGCCTACCTAGTGACACCTAGCGCATCCTCTCAACCGCTGGGCATGTTTAGCTTTTGTTGGTGCAGGGCTTCTCTAGGCAAAGGTTCGGGTACTGTCTCTCACTCTCACACGCGGCAGACAGGGTCCCACGCTCTCTTTTCGGAAAGTTGAAGGGCTTAGGCGCTCGCGGCTTGGTGTTGGGCGGGACCTTGGGTTTGGGCCTGAAACACCTGAGCTGTTTGCACAGCTTTCATACAAAGGGCCAAGCTACACAACCGGCGAACCTTGGATCACACCCATCTAAACTCATCCGTCTAAACCTCTTTGTGTGAACCCCCCTCAACCCACCTTGACCCTACTGTTGTCTCTCAACCGGATTGCAAAAATAGCTTAAAACCCCTAAAACCTACTGCAAACCGTAAACCGTAAACCCTAAACCCTGAGGCCTAGGCCTAAACCCCCCAAACCAACCCTGAAGCAAGAGGCGCCTCCTTGCTGGGCGCCTTCACCTTCTCCCTCCGTGGCTCGGGAGTGAGGCCAGAGGATTCGGCCGCTGTGGAGAAGGCGCCCTCGTTTAGAAAGGAAAACTGAAAGCATCTCTCTATGTGTACTCCCCCGACTTCTCTGGCTCTCCCTTGTGTGTGTGTGGTCCATGCTGGCTACACCCGCAGCACATGCGGGAAGTTGCGGGCACGGGAGCTTGGCTGCTCCTATGGCATTTGCCGACTTTGCAAGGCAACGTTCACTCTGCTCATCGCTGCCAAGAACAATAGCTCATGATAGTTTGCACGATTAGCAAGGCTGGTCACATGCTGCCCTGTCACTCCACAATCGTAGACATGTCTTTGCCCAACGGTCATCCTGCTGCTGTTGTTGCATCCATATACCCCTTAAGTGCTGCATTTTGCGCAGATCCCTTCCTTCACCTGGACACCTTAACGAGATTCTTTCCTACAGTGGTGCTATTGCATTAAGCACCAGCTGGCTGGGGCCCCCAGCCCGCGGCATCACGCTGAGGGCTATCGGCTATTGCTGCTGCTGTTGGCGGTCTTTTCGTACCAGCACAAGTCGTTGCAGTGACTGAACGTCGAGAATGCCCTGTACATGTTCGCTGGTCCTCATGCTTGCAACGAGCTCCAGAATTGCGACACTTCCTCAAAGTACAAGTCGGCAAGCTTGGCAGTGTCGATAGGAGTTGTGTTGGGGTGCCGCAGGCCGCCTGTGTGTTGAACGTGCCACTGCATGATGCAAGCGTCTCTCTAAACGCACCGAGCTGAAACGCCACCGAGGTTTTCTACATCACATTCAGGCAAGCAACAGACACTTGAGATCAGTCTGGGTGTAGAGCCAACATGATCACCCCTGCCTGTCTACCATCCGCAGCTCTCTCGCAAAGCCGGGTGCACATGGGGTCTGCCTAATTAAGGCTCCGGCATTGCCTTTGAGCTGCCTGGCTGGGAATTCATTTGTCACGGCATGTCTTGCAACATGCCTCAAAAGGAAAATGAGACACACTCAGCACGAGCATGAGTTCGAAGATTGCACTCCCTTCGGCGCAGGACATGTGTGCCCACGGCGAGGTCAGAAAAGACAAATTTGCCCGCGCCACGCTCGCGGCAGCTCCTCATCTTCGTCCATGCGAGTGAGCAGGCGAACCACCTGTGCCGGGCTGTTGCCTTAATGTCCTTGCCCGAATGTGGCCACTACAGTAGTGCTCGTACACTTGGGGCTCCAGGCGAGACTGTCAGGACGTCGACCCAGGTGCTAGGGTGTGCGGATTCTGTCATGAGTGCCCGCCGGCATCGTTGCGTATGAGAACTGAAGATCTCATGGTCAATCACAGACTTGTCACTAATCAGTCCTGGTGCTCTGGTGCGGGACAAGCACGGGGGGGGGGGGGGGGGGGCTCTTCTGGACAATGGCGAGAAGCTGGTGGGGGCGGGGGACCTAATGGTCTCTTGGCACATGTGCGGACATGCCAACCCTTCTGCCTCTTGCTGCCGCTTAGGTTCCCAGCTAGGTTTCGCGACACATCGTTTTTGCTGCCCCTCTTTCCTTCCTCGCCAGCGAGACCTTTTGATGTCACCCCTGGCATTGAGTCGCCGACGCCACTGCTGCTTTGTCGCCTCCACATGCCTCGCCATCTTCCTCCAAGTCGACTGAGTTTTCTTCCACAACAAGAGGAATCTTAGCACAAGCAGCGGCAAACTTTGCCATGGGCTCCTGATCCACAAGATTTCTGTAGATGACATGACATGGCATCAAGCTCTGTCAGTCCTGTGCCTTTGAACACGTGCTGGCAAGCCTCCAAGCAGGCACGGATCTCATCTCACAAAGTCCAGTACTGAGAACAAGGGGAGGGCTCTTACAGCTAGCTAGGTCCCGAATCTGCATGACAGACCATGTCCTCGAACACAAAGGCTGAATAGAAAGATTTGGGGGGCCCCAGGCTTCAGGGCCTTGAGCTTCGAGGGCTGAGTCCCTCCGAGCTCCGGACTCTTCAGGATCCTAAACCCTAAACCCTAAACCCTAAGCCCAAAACCCAAAACCCTAAACCTACTAAAGTGCCTCGCGGGCTATACGCCCTTGGAAAACTTGTTCGAGCCTGGTTTCGTAGAGCGACTTTTCAAAGGATTTAAACAAACCCTGCTCTAGGGTTTAATCGCTCACACTCGTCTAGGGTTTAGGGTTTAGGGTTTAGGGTTTTTTTTTTGGCACCCGACTAGCCGGGTTTAGGGTTTAGGGTTTAGGGCTTAGGGCTTAGGGTAGAAAATTTAGGAATCGAAAGCTGGGAGGTTCAGGCTTGAAGCTTCAGGCCAGAAGGCTCAAGGACTCCTGGCCCCTTGACCTCTGTCCTGGTGTTAGGGCCTCTTCTTAGGGTCCCCTTGAATCAGCCCCTGCATGAAACTCCAACCCCAAGCAGCGGCCTTAACACTCAACAATAGAAGCCTCAAGCCCTAGTCAGAGGTCATCTGCAACTAGCCTTCGATTCAACGAACTGAACAACTGCCGCCGCCTGGACTGCTGCCATGGCTTCGGGCAAGCTGACTTGCATGTGGGCCGAGTGCCTTTGTCATGTTATAGTGGTTCTAGAGCACAAAGCCCAATCACTATACATGTTTGGACGCGCAGCTGCTCCTCGCAGGTCTGCCAATGTTATGTGAGCATTTGGGTCTAGGGTTTAGGGTTTAGGGCTTGACAACCGGTGCTTGTTACAACGTGCGAGCTGCGTGCCGGATGTAGAAGGTGTCTGGCAAGAGCCACTCTTGATGTCCTGTACTTCTGTGGCACGCCGAGCCAGTCGCCGAGCCGAAACACGTACACTTGGAGCTGGACTGGAGAGCGTCAAAGCTGCTGTGTCGAAATCAGCACGAAGTACAGTGCTGCAGCAGCTGAAGCAGTCGTTGTTTCGTAGCTTTGCATACCCTAAACCCTTTTTTTCGGCCAGCGCTGTCGACTGTCCTGACTGATCAACTGCTGTATAGAGTAGAGATGCGAGTTTGGCACAAGTGTGCTCTAGAAGGCCCCTGTCCTGCACTCCATGCTGGGACTAGGGTGACTAAGATGCCAACGCACGTCTCAAACTTCGCTTGAGCGTGCCAGCTTCGACTCAACATGGGAGCAGACTTCGTCCAGCTCCACAGCGCACATTAATTCATTAGTTGGATCACACTGCGTGCATTACACTTTCATTACACAGCTGGGGACTCACCTTCGACGGATTTAACCATGAAACATGCCGCCGTGCTCTGCCCAGTAGAAGCACGGGCTCAGCAGAGCCCAGAACATCACGTAGCCTGCATGCACCTGGAACGGCAAGAGCGGATCCTCGAACGGACAATAGAATCAATAGAATCCGAATCCTGCGATCACTACACCCAAGTTGCCGCCGGCACCGACCAGCGCGGAAACAAAGGCCAGCTGCTGCCTGTAGGCACGATGCCATGGCTCGTCCCTTCGGCCATCTGCACGAACAGGCTGAAGCGTAGCAGCACTGTGAGCGCCACGTTCCATGGCTGGGAGTTGTCCACTAGTCCGAAGCAAGGAAGATAGCCTCGAAGAAGAGGGACAGGAACTGCGCCCAGATGCGGCCACGGAAGCCGAAGTCAGATCGAAGGAGCCAGCCAAGGCCGAAGCGTCAGCCGCTGCCATGTGGAAATACGCTCGGAAATGTGTTGCCAGCTGGTTGCTCATGGCGAGTTCTGCCCCAAAGCACGCCGAATACTGAAAGATCATGACCACTACACGAGAGTCCTTGAGAACGACCAAGTAGTCCATCATAGACGGCTTCTGGGTCTTTCCGACGACGGACACATCGAAGCGCTTGGCCAAAGGGGTGTCCCAGCACAGCAGCTTGATGCATGCTGCACAGATCAGGAACATCACGATCATGGCAACCCGCCAGGCCGTATTAAGAATTGATCATGGGGTTGAAAAGGACCGACATCATAAAGATTGGAGTCACGCCACCCCCGAGGTTGCCGGGAGGTCAAGAGGCTGCTGGCAGGCGCGGAGGCATCCCAGGACTCGCTGGACGACTCGCTGCCGGTTGGCAAGGGAAAGGCCAAAGGTGGGCGCGGAAGGCGAGGCCTTACCGCGCCGGGTGCGACATGAAGCATCCTGGCGCTCCGTCTGTTGTGGGGTCACAGGCGGAGCCGAGGCAGGCGACCTTTGCCCGCTCGAGCACTTCTTGTTGTCGAGGAGTGGGCCAACAAACCTGATCAGCAGGAGGCACATCGGCGAGCCAATTTAACCCACGGATGGCCTCGTTGATATCCCATTGAAGTTGAATTCACCTGGCACGTCTCTGAGAGCACCGGCACGAAAGGCGTGCCTGAGCCGCCTCCACATGCACCTCGGGCAGCGGGAAAAGCTGCCCGAGCTGGGGCCTGCACTGTAAGGTGTACCTGAAGTTCACGAACCTGAAGACCGGGCTCACGTACTGCACCAAGGGCCAGGAGAAGGACGGTGATGGCAACCCCACGGACTGCGTGAGTCCGACCGTGGCGGAGCTGGCGTCAGGAGTGACAAAGTACAGGCCAGAGGTGCTAGTGAAGTGCGTCTGCGCGCCGGGCACCGAGTGCAATAGCATGATCGCCGGCGCTGGCGTCGCGTCCACGATCTTCGTGCGGATCGCCCTAGGCACGCCGCTGGAGCGCTTTGGCCCGGTGAACGTTCAGTCGGGGCTGCTGACGTTCAGGGCCATCTGGGTTGCTGCAGCTGCTGGCATCAGTGCGCCGTGGAACTACACGCTGATCCGCTTCTTCATCGGCGACGTTCGTCACGAACCAGTTCTGGTGCTCCCTGATGTTCGCTCCGAACGTCATTGGCACGGCGAACGCCGCAGCTGCCCTCGTCGGGCTGGTGGCAGGGGGATACAGCTGTTCTCGTACATGTTCATGCTGGTCGCCACCTCGAGGCTCAGTGGCGCCAAAGCGAACCAACCAAGAAAAGCGAGGAAGAAGGAGATTGTCGATGCCCAGAAAGCGCGCATGTGCGGATTCTGCTGCACCATTCCGCAAACCCGGAGCAGTGGCAGCTCCGTGGCCTTGTTGTTCTCGTCGACCGCCAACTTGAAGTCAGACATCTCCGCAGGGTTTCACCGGCTGAGAGGGGCACCGTCGCACTTTGTGTGAGCCAATCTTGAGCCTAAATAGTAATAACAATAGTAATAGAAATAATAATAGTAATAGTCATAGTAATAACAATAGCAATAGTAAGAATAATGATGATGGTAATAGTAATAGTAATAATCATATACTAATACTAATACTAATACTAAAACTAAAACTAATACTAATACTGATACGAATAATAATAGTAATTAGTAATACTAGTAGTACTAGTAGTAGTAAGTAGTAGTGTAAGTAGTAGTAGTAGTAGTAGTAGTAGTAGTAGTAGCAGTAGTAGTAGCAGCAGCAGCAGTAGTAGTAGTAGTAGTAGTAGTCGTCGTAGTAGTCGTAGTAGTCATGGTAATAATAATCGTAATAAAAATAATAGTAATAGTAGTGATAGTAATTTTAGTAATAGTAATAGTAGTAGTAATAATAATAATAATAGTAATAGTAATAATATGTAATAATCATAGTCATAATCATAATCATAACCATAATCATTGTCATAATCATGGGAATAGTCATAGGCGTAATCATAATAATAATAATAATAATAGTAATAATAATGGTGATAATCATCATAGCGATAATAAGAATAATAATAATAGTAATAATAATAGAAATAACAATAGTAATAATAATAGTAATAATAATAGTAAAAGAAACAGTAATGAGAATGGGAGTAATCATAATCATATAGTAATAGTGATATTAGTAATAGTAATAGTCATAGTCATAGTACTCCTTTCAGACGAAGTGTCGACTGTTGGTATTTTGTCCCTGCGCGCCGTCTTGTCCAAACGACGCTGAGTCCCACGACACATGGAAAATGAAAGGCGGGTGTCGCCAAAGTCTGGAGATTGAAGGGGAGTTGCAAGCCACAAGTTATCTTCACCAGGAAGAAGGTTGAAAGACTTTGGCACAACTCCTTGCTGTACACTGTAGTGGGACCGGTGCCGCTCGGCAGCGTGAAAGCATGTGAAAACGATCGCTCACCATTGCATGCATCTGGTGAATTAGCAACTGCACGCGCGCCCTCATCATCTCAGCCGTTGGCCTATCGGAAAAAGTTTGGCGACTGAAGGGATGAAGCTTGAGTCGGGTTCAGGCTTCGAAGGGGGATCAAAGCAGTCACTGCAACCCATTTTTTGCCGACTGCACTTCGGCAGGAGTTTTCACCTGCTCTACGTGCGATCTCGGTATGCCCAGCAAGCTCGAATCACTTTGCAAGCCGCTTTCGGATGTTGACCGCGCACAGCTGCCCCTCAATCATCTCATCATCCTGCTCCGATGCTGCAGTTCGCCGCTCTCAGCTTCCGAGACGATCGACACGGTGCCTACTGACCAGGTTTCCACCGTAATTTGCTGCAATTGTGTTGTTGGGCAAGATGCCTCCAGGTATCTATATTCTTTCGAATGTCATTAGCAGGCAGGCTAACCGAAACCCTAAACGTAACATCCCTAAACCCTATGTACTTGCCGACCCCTTGATTCTTGGTGGCTCCTCGAAGTAGAACACTTTGTCCCCCACCGCCACTGGGCCATAGCCTTCTGCCAGGCCAGTGGTGGAAAAGAATGCCTGGCTTCAGGAGCTTTCATCTCCCACAGTGGGGTTGCCGAAAATTCAGGGTACCTGAATCTCTCTCTCTCTCTCTGCCCTGCCATCCTCTAGGGTCTTGATTGGGCTCCCTATTTTAAAAATCCTCCTCTTTGAGGGGGGGGGACTATATTCGCGGTCCCTTATATATGTTCGTAAACCCTCAAATAAGAGCTGCAAGGAGCCTTCAACCTCCAACTCCCGGGCACCTCCGACTCGCTTGTGTCCGCCTTGATGAGGCCGTAGGCTTTTGCTTCGTTAAACAACACGACCTGCCAGAGCGCGGTGTGTGAGGGGGAGGTGCAAACTTCACCGTCTCACCCAGCATATCCCAGCAGAACAAGAATCCTCAACTCAAGCTGGCTGTTCACCCACGACCAGGCGTTGGCCTCTCCGCTTGCTTCCGAAACCTTCTTGGGGTTGCGTCGGCCTGGACAGGTTCAGGTCCACAAGAGCAAGCAACTGAACATCGTTTCAGAAAGTGCTGGTGCTGCTTATTGTGCACCGTTTCTGGGCTGAAACATGGCTTCGCCAACATGTCGGCTTCCCAAGGCCTGGGCTAGACTCTCGAGGTGTTCCGATGGCCTTCGCATCGCAACGTACAGGACCAGCACCGCGATCACGCATGGGCTTCTGCCCCCAGGCAGTTTGTGCAAAGGCACGCCACAGAGGCTGCGCACGGGCAAGTCGTCTGGTTGCTTCATTTTTTCACTTCTTGCAGTGGGCCTCGTTGCTTTGTGGTAGTGTCCGTAATACTTGAAGCGGGCCAGGCTGTCCTGAATGCAAGGCTTTTCATTGACGGCCGCTCAAGCCCAGCAAGCTTGCAGCCCCGCGGTATTCCACGATCGTTCAGGGAGGCTATGCAGTTGCTGGTGTTTTGCTGCTCGCCCCGCATGATCCCGCACATTTTGAATGTACCGGGTCCATAGCTGCGCTTGTTATCGTCACCTGTCGCGCATTCCACCTGTCCGCTTGGCAGCTTCGCAGCTGCAAGTGCTCTGGCCGTTCTCGGTTCTTGACGCGATGTAGCCGGACATGCAAAACATATGCAATGAAGACAGGTGAACTCAGATTCCTTCGTCAGGCTGCCACAACAGCATCGATCTCAGCGCTCGCATGCCCTAGCTTCAGAACGTTGCGCAGCGGCGGCGAGCGCAGGGGAACAAATCCTCCGGAATGGGCCGGGCATCACTTTTCTACCCCCTCATTTTACATCCGGACTGCTTTGGGTTTTGACATCCGGACTGCTTGTGTTGCCGAAAGCTGCCCAGCCCTAAGCCCTAAGCCGTAAATCACCCGGCCTTCAGAGCCTGGCGTCCGGCCTTCGATCACAAAGCCACTGCCCTCGAAGTGCCCGGGCAACCTCCCGAATCGAAGGACACCAGTTCCGGCACGTGTTGACCCTGAAGCTCACAGAACCCGCGTTTTCAGCGGAAGGATAGCCATGGTGGGTCTGTAGAGGAAACCAATCCGAGCGTGGAATTCGTGGCACGGAAGACATTAATCTAGGAGCACAGCGGCAAACGTCTATCTTTCCTGCCGTGGGCAGATGGGTTCAGTTGGGAGCCACGGGCCGATTGCTCTTCTACTAAGCAGTCTCTGTCTGGCTCAGGGGGCTGGGGCACGTGGACCTTTCGGTCGACCTCTATCTACGATGTCAGACTGTCATGCACGAAGCGGTGCAAGATCACATCGCTGCCGTTTCGCCAAGGCACCCCTCGCAGAAGGCATCCAGCACTTTGCGACTGGTCTCATCCAGCGGTGTCTTCCTTCGCTGTTGCGCTCGCGCGCGATTTGCTGGCCCAATCACTGGTTGCCCGAAGCACAAAAACCATCTTGTTTAACCCTGTTGCCTTGATCCACTTCCGAACTGGAAGCCGGCAGCCCTGCGTTCGGGACTGAAACCAGTTCCAACCTGCTTGCTAGGATCCCCAGGCAGCCCTCTCACCAACCTTAAGCATTACAACATTCCCGGCCCACAAGCTGCCCAAAACTGATGCTGCGATGAACACACTAAACCTCGTATTCACAAAATCCCCTTGGCGTAAAGGGAAGGGCAAGAATTGGGTGTTCCAAGGGTGTCTGGATGCTAAAACTATCTCGTGAAAGCTCGCCTTCTGAAGGACTCTGTCCGTGAGCAAATGAATATCAGGGGCGGCATGTTGTGCGAGCATGCGTCAAGAGATACGCCCTTTTCCTCTTGACACAGACACGTCGGCATCAAACATCAGAGTAGTGAGTAGTGAATCCAGTCTCATGATCCAGGTAAAGCACCACGATAAACTCTAAAATTCAAACTGAATCAATCAAGCCGTGCTTGTCCTTGACCCTAAATCTTACTGATGTCGCTTAATGCCGTTCTTCCTGCTGGCTTAACACCCAAGCCAGTGATGCCCCAAACCCAATCCAAGATCCCAATATATAAAGCCCGAAAACCCCCTTTTGCAACAGCCCGGCTTGAGGGAGCAACCGAAAACCCCCGAAAGCCCCCCAAAACCCCTAGAACTGCGGCGGAAGGGCTCCAGGCGCTGGAGCTCCGCCCGCAGCGGCGCATCGCTGGCGCGCTTGGCGCAGCCGCAGCGGGCGCCCATGGGGCTCAGGGTCCAGAGCTTAATCGCTCGCACCCGGACACGCCATGAGAGGAATGAGGGTTTAGGGTTGTGCTTTTGGGTTTGGGGCTCGGGCTCTCACTCGCACGCCGCAGAGTTTTTCGCTGCTAACCTGCCAAGCAACGCACTTAGGGTTTAGGGTCGGTCGAGTGTTGTGGGTCCTGTCGGGGACCTTTTGTTACGATATGGCTGCATCGTTTGTCTACGTAGCTTTTGAAGTTTAGAAATCTGTGGGTCTTACATTCAGGGTACCGAGAAGGGGACTAGAATGTCGAGGAGCCCCGACATTAAGTTTCGCTTGGAGTTGCGATCCAAGATAGCACTCCTTGGAGCTTGGGGCTGGTCCCTAAACCCTAAACCCTAAACCCTAAACCCTAAACCACGTGCTGCATGGATGTTGCACCAGCACGTGCTCTGCAGTGTCTGAAGGCTTGAAGTTGAGGAGCCTTCAGCTTGGAAGCTCTGAGATGAGAAAACAATCCTGAATCTTGACACTGTAAACTCTGATCTAGCAGTGGTGGCTTCAGGGCTTCGGCTTGCTCGGCTTCGCTACGTTTAGGTTTTAGTAAGCTGCAGTGCCAAGCTCTCCTTTGAATCATGGGCTTACCAGCACAGGCCCCTCTCTTCCAGGCAACAGACGTTTTTCAAGATGTGCCAGGAAGACTCCTCTCTGCCTTAACTTTAGGCCTCAGCTACTCCAGGCGATGATCCCCATCAAAAGGTACGCACGGACGTGGGCAGGCCCCCGCAGCATTGTTGCATACTACTCCGCTCGTGGTCCACCCGTGATAGAACATGTTTACTACAAAAGAAGGCTGTCCTGTTCAAATACCCTCAAGGCCTCTGTAGCCGACAGGGGGGAGGCGGGGGAAACTCATGGGCAACTTATTCCATTCTCGCCCAGCCGTCGCATGAGCAGATGTGCAATTCTGCTGTTTTCTCCGCTTCGCTAGACCGCATCTCGCGCAGCACTGGCCCGCCCAATGCCTGCACCAAAGGGTGATGTTTAGGGTTTCGGGCTTAGGGCTTAGGATGGCTTAGGGTGCGACCGTGGCGGCGTGTTGGATGGGTTTCAGCTTCGCCCCCTTTGCAGGGCGCCAGGGGGCACAATAAAAGTGAGCATCAATAGTAGTGCCTAAAATATTTGAGCGGAGAAAAAGGGGCGGGGGGGGTGGGGTATAAAATGGCCTCTAATAGAGGCCATTCTGCGCGTGCGTGCCTTGTAAACACATTATCTTTGCAAAGGAACCACCCGCATAATAGACGCAACGCGCCCGCAGCGTCAACATATCCATGGGCGGGGGCGCGGAGGACGCGGAGAGGACGCGGAGAGGACGCGAAGCGCGCAGAGGGCACGGAGGGCGCGGAGCCGTTGTCTTGTCCACGTGTACCCCACTCCCCTGCCCCTCAACCGAATGAAACGCTCCCCGTCCGCGCTCCCCCCTCTTTGTCCTCGCTCTCCCGAACCAGTCCCTCAACCGCACATCGCGCTTCTCCCATGCATACGGTCCACGCGTCCCCGTGCCCCTCTCCCAGCAAAATGCCATTTATTCCGTCCGACCCTCCTCCGTTGACCATCTCGTCTCCGTGGCCGCTTGTGACGATCCGATAGCGCGCCTTCCGCGTTGAAGCGTTAAACGAGAACCCAACTCCAGAAAGGTTTTCGGAAACAATCCAAGAAAACAACGAGCGCGCGCAGAATAGAGTTAAGCGTCCAAGGCACGGGGGGGGGGGGGGGGGCCCAAAACCCCGATGATGCACTTGGTCAGCCGCGCCTCAAACCCCCTGTGACCTGTGCCCCATAACGTTGGTGACCTTTGCTAATGCGCTGACCTTGTGCCCATCCCACCCCCCGAAAATCCAAGCGAAGCCGCCCGTTCCTGACCGCTTCCTGCTCAGCCAAGTCTGTACCCCCCCCCCCCCTTCTGACCCCCCACCCCCATTGACCTTCTTGACCCGTGCCCCCAGTGACTGAGTGGCAAAGCTACCAGGCAGAGGGTTGCGTTTGGGGTTCCCCTCTCCGACTGTCACCATGCGCACACAGTCGTCTCGGTTGAGTTGGCTTGGACGAACATCAGGAACGCACTAAGTCGGGGCTCGTGGGGAACGTCAGCAAATGTCAGCAATGCACCCTTCAAGGTGGGGTCTCGGGTTCGGGGCCAGGCTTCGGGTTTGTATTTGGGGGGTTTCGCCGTTTGGTTAGGGGGGTTAGGGGGGTTAGGGGGGTTAGGGGGGGGGTTAGGGGGGTAGGGGGTTTAGGGGGTTTAGGGGGTTAGGGGGTTAGGGGGTTAGGGGGGTTAGGGGGGTTAGGGGTTGGGTTAGGGGGGTTAGGGGGGTTAGGGGGGTTAGGGGGGTTAGGGGGGTTAGGGGGGTGAGGGGGGTTGGGGGGTCAGGGGGTTAGGGGTTACGGGGTTAGGGGGTTAGGGGGTTAGGGGGTTAGGGGGTTAGGGGGTTAGGGGGTTAGGGGGTTAGGGGGTTAGGGGGTTAGCGGGTTAGGGGTTAGCGGGTTAGGGGGGGGGTTAGGGCCAGGGGTTAGGGGGTATCACCGCGTCCCATGAAAAAGGCAATTTTTTAGGATGTAATGCAGCACCTGCAAGGTCGGCGGCATGGAGGCTCTTAAGTTTGGGGTTCAAGTTCACGCAACAATAGACCTCCCAGGGTTCCAGAAGTCATTCCTCAACCCCAGCCCAGGTCCTTCGGAGAAGGCATCAGAGCCCGAGCCAGCAGTTGCCGAATCTCCGCTTCTTTCATCGGTCTCGTTGGTTCGGAGCCATGTCTCCACTGGAATCCGCGTGCTTTCCACCTCAAAGTCTCTTTGGGGAAGTAGAGGTGTTTTCCGTACTTTGTGGGCCTTTTGCCACCCGGGACTGGGGTGTTGGTTTTTAAGGCTGAGGCATCCCCTCATTCTGACATCGTGCATGGAAGGTTTCCCAACGGGAATCGACCCGGCCCGATGGCATCATCTGCTTGTGCGACTTAGTGGCGGGGCTCGACGGCACCTCCCCATCTGACCTGGTTTGGGCACCCGGAGATGGCGTGGGAAAGCTTGGGATGCCAACATCTTAAAAGCCCTGGCCAGCCTAGACCCTGAGCCCATAAAAACCCCTAACCTCCGGCTTTCGGACTTCTAACCTGACGACTGCCCCTAAAAAACCTTCGGGGCGGGGGGGGGGGGAGGTCCGTGAATTGCACTCCCGCTCCCCGTCAACGGACAGACTCACTGTGCCGCAGCATTTGTACTGCAATTTCCGTACGCCCTGCAATAAATTTCTTGTTGCTATATGATCATTCGATGCTTCTACAGCTTACAAATTGTGACACAAACACACACACACACACACACACACACACACACACACACACACACCTGTAATTTCTTTTGCTGCCCCCTGAAAGATTCACCTTTGTAGTGGCTTGCAATTGACGGAGTCAGTTGTACTCTTAATCCCACAGTCAAATCCAAGCCTGCACCCCACACTCAGACCAAAAATGTAACAGGCATTTGCGATCCTCTCCCTTCTTAATATGAGTCTCGGAAGCATCGCTGAAGACCCACCACTCCCCCTGCCCCCCCCCCCAGCCCCAGCAGTACAGTATTTGCGATCTCCTTCCTTCAGCCCTCTGTACGGACACGACAGCCACATGTAAACCTGCATAGCAGCGTCGCATCCACCCTAAACCACTTTCTTCTTTGCATCCAGAGACTGCCGGGTACCGGGGCCGAGCTCTGCTCAAGCCAAACCACAATCCACATCTCAGACACAACAGCGGACTATGACCGTACTCAAGCAACACAGGGCGATATATGAAAAATACAAATACAAACATAAATATCAATATATATATATATATATACAGATAAATACATAAATATGTACATATATGAATATATAAATATATAAATATATAAATATACAAATGTATAAATATACAAGTATATAAATATATAAATATATACATATATAAACATATATAAATATATAAATACATATATATATATGTATTTATGTATATATATATATTTTATCCTTGAGTGTACAGCATATGACATCGAGACCCTAACTCCCCCGTACCCCCCCTTTCCTCCTAGTTGCAGTTTCGGGCTGGGAGGTACTGGCCACAGGACGATTCTATAGAAAACTTACCTGCCATCCCTAAACCCTAAACCTAAACCCTAAACCCTAAACCCTAAACCCTTAAACCCTAAACCCTAAACCCTAAACCCCTCAAAGTACCTCTGGAAGCCTCGCGTGGAACCCAAGGCACTGCGCGGCCGCGCTCGAGGCGAGGCTCTGCATCTCCTGGCAATGTCTCGGCTTTCACCACCAGGTTTTTCGGGTTTAGGGTGTAGGGTTTAGGGTTTAGGGTTTAGGGTTCAATTAGCTACAGAGTAGTAAGTACCCCCCTACTTGGTAGGTATAACCCTTAAAACTGTAGGTAGATAGCGTTGGGGATGTTAATGGACTCTGTGCGTCCCGTCTTCAGCCTACAGTAAGGCTTTCTTCCAGAGACCTTGTAGGCAGAGCTTTCGGATTCGCATGCTTGGTTGCTTCAAGCTGAGAAGCTGGCAGCGAACTGACTCTCTGAGTCTTCAGAAGCCCACAATTATGAAATGCCTCCGCCCGTGATCACCCAGAAACCGGAAACTTGGAACCGGCTCCTCATCGTTGCCAGGGCTGGAGCGCCCCAGCTTCCTGGAGACGGCTTCTTAGGATTTGAAGGGCGTGGAGTGTAAACGGCTTCGAGGGCTTATTCGATGTTCATAGGCTTACATTGCAAACGTCTGGATGCGGCCTGGCACGAACGCTGCGCCGCGAGGCAGGTGATGGTGCAGCGACGGGGGTGCGGTGCAGTGCGCTGTGGGCGCGTAGTAGGTTTCGCAGCACCTGCATCGAATGCCAGGCCGGAAAGCATGACAGATTTGCTCGGGATCTGAGGCTTAAGGATGGATGCATGGGATGGATGCATGGCAACCTCGGTGCATGATGCGAATGTTCCACGCAACGGTCCTTGCTGGGGCATTTCCTCTCGTCGTACTCTCAAAGGTGGCAGAGTCTGCACATGATGCCCCTTTACGAACACTTCTCTCTTGCAGTGTCTCTGCTAAACCCTAAACCCTAAACCCTAAACCCTAAACCCTAAACCCTAAACCCTAAACCAAGGACTGAAGAGCTTGCGAGCTGCCATGCAAAGCCCCAAGAGCATCAGCGCGAATGACGTCAGCATGAAGAGCGTGGCTGCCGTGAAATCCTCATCTGACATTGCCGAATAGGTTGGCCAGGGCAAGGGCATGGATCAACGCACCGCCGGATTGCTTCTGCTGCGCGGACATACACACCATGCCCATCGCCCCACAACAGCTGAACTCCGAGCCGAAACCCACACTTCTACTCCTCAAGTCGGGGAGCAGGAATCTCAATCGGCAGCCGAAGCCGGCCTGTTGTGGATGGGCCTCGAGCTGAGAATAGGGGGAGGCCAGTTAGTTTACTCCAAAGGTTTAAACTATTAGTGACTGTTCCAGGAGGGGAGGGGGAGGGGAAGGGCGGGGGGCGGGGGGGGGGGGGGGGGTGGGGCGGGGGGAGTGGGGGGGCGGGGGAGGGGGGGGAGGGGGGGGGGGGGGGGGGGGGGGGGGGGGGGGGGGGGGGGGGGGGGGGGGGGGGGGGAGGGGGGGGGGGGGGGGGGGGGGGGGGGCGGGGGGGGGGGGGGGGGGGGGGGGGGGGGGGGGGGGGGGGGGGGGGGGGGGGGGGGGGGGGGGGGGGGGGGGGGGGGGGGGGGGGGGGGGGGGGGGGGGGGGGGGGGGGGGGGGGGGGGGGGGGGGAGGGGGGAGGGGGGAGGGGGGGGGGGGGGGGAGGGGGGGGAGCGGGGGGGGAGGGGGGGGGGGGGGGGAGGGGGGGGAGGGGGGGGGAGGGGGGGGAGGGGGGGAGGGGGGGAGGGGGGGGGGGGATGGGGGGGGGGGGGGGGAGGGGCAACTCGCCCAGCCACAGTTTGTTAGCTTAGCCAGCCAACAAACGTTCGCTAGGGGAGGAGCGCTCGCCGGGACAGAGTTTGTTGGACGCATAGTTTCTCGCCGAGACAAACCTTTTCCAGAAACCCTGTTGTCCAAAAGTTGGTTTTCTATGTCTAAACTAACTTGTCTTCTAGTTTATAAATCTTCCTTTGCTGGCCTGGAAACCTTTGTTTTGCCATATGGTTTCTCGCCGAGACGAACCTTTCCCAGAAACCCCGTTGTCCAAAGTTCGTTTTCTATGCATAAACTAACTCCCTTGTCCAAAGTTTGCATAAACTAACTCCCTTGTCCAAAGTTTGTTTTCGATGCATAAACTAACTTGCGTCTGCCCTATCTGCACGAGCTCCACGAGCTCGGCTGTTCTTGCATCAACAAAAGAATCCAACCACAGGGCTTAAGGCCTTCTCTTGCCATCCGCCTAGCAGGACTGCTGCAGCGGAGCATACTGAGGGTCTAAGGCTTAAGGCTTAGGGTTTAGAGTTAAGGGATTGTTGAAGTCGCATCGGATTGCCGGGCCTGCTCGACCCGGGATCCCGCCCACCGACACCGTCTTTGTTGGACCGGGCGGACGCTCAGAGAAACCTCGGAACCAAGGGCAAAAAGGGCACCGCTGCTGATGGATGACGATGAGGAATTCCTTCCTGCGTCTCCTGATCCCTGCAGCATCAGGCCTGCAAGAGCTTCCACTGACCCTGCTCTTCCTGTCCGTGGATACCTAAACCCTAAACCCTAAACCCTAAACTCTAAACCCTAAACCCTAAACCCTAAACCCAGAATGCCAGGATTGCCAGCTTGAGCCCAGCTACTTGGGCACCTTGCGTCGGCAAGGCCCAGTTTGGCGCCCTGCGTGTCGAAGATGACATTCCGACCAATCATCCACGTTGCTCCAAGGACCTGGATGGGGGGCTTAGGGTTTAGAATTTAGGGTTTAGGGTTTAGGGCTTGGGGCTTGCTGACTCGGACCTTCTTGGCAGACAGGTGCTCAAAAACCCTTTTTAGGGGCACCTGTGGGCATCTTACTCTTGTGCCCTGTTGAGGGCCGGATCGGACCATACGATGGCCCGAAGTGAGGGCCCACAAGAATCTAAAGCTATGTTGCTCCAAGACGCCTTGACCCAGAGACAGTGAAAATCCACTCACCCCGAATACAACTTCCAGCTGCCTACCAAGTCCCTCTCAGGGAACATTTTGGGGTTTTACGAAAGTTGGGGGGTACCCTTCTTGGGGTCCTTATGATAAGGGAATCCTACTATTTGGGGGTCTCGCCCTAAACCCGTTTTTTGCGTCCCTAAACCCTAAACCCTAAACCCTAAACCCTAAACCCTAAACCCCCGTTCGAACATTTGTCCCTTCTGAGGCAGCCGGCAGTCTCCCGCGCTGCGCCGTTGCTCTCAAAGCCCAAGCAGTAGAGATCGCCGCTGCTGCGGCGGTAGAGGTAGGAGCTGGGGTACCAATTCCTTTGGGGCAACTCGGTTTAGGGTTTAGGGTTAGGGTTTAGGGTTTAGGGTTTAGAGTTTAGGGTTTAGGGATTTAGGGGTTTAGGGTACGGGGGGACAACCAGGGAAGGAAACCAACTCCCCTAATCGCCCTGAACCTATATTCCCCAGATCGAACCAAGAAACAAACGAGAACACGGATAAGAGCAACCCAGGGGGGAAGGAAAGGGGGAAGGAATCCACACCCTTACCAAACCCTAAGAACCCAGGCACTACTTTTTGAACTTGTGGCTTTCTGTTCAAGCCCATCTTGAGCCAAACATGTTTTCCGGGTTCATTAACCCTTCCAACTCTCAACACTAACTCTTTTCTACAATACCAGTTGCAGCTCCGCACTCCCCCTGTCCTAGGATTTCCTAGGACACATTGGAGGTGCAGATCTTTGGCCAAAAACTGCCATTAGGGCAGCAGCCAGCTGCTTGAAATGCACAATATGGTTTTACGTCTACCAGGACGAAATTATAGCACATTGGCTAAATCCACTAACCATAGAGAATCTTTTTTCACCATGATCCTCTCATCACTGAAGACTCCTTGGCCTTCTTCACCACAAACCGTGGTCTTCGCTACGCGAAAAGCTACTGACTTCTACTATCAGGGATTTCCATACCCTTAATAGTAACCACCACATTTGTCAGCACATTGGCTGTTCCAGCGCACCTGTCTCCAGAAAGAGAAAAACCATCCCTTCATCCATACCATCCAATCACTTCTTTTTCCGATTGTTGGCAATCTTGAGGTGAAGTTGCAGCAGAATATACTCCAGGTCCGAAACTGTAAGAACAGGATCCTGTACGCCCCTTTGAATTGAGGATACCAATCCTTCTCTTTTTGCGTCCTCAATCGCCTGGCACGATTGACCCAGCTCTGCACTCACAGCTGTAGACGCTTGCGCATCCACATCAGGAGGACGATCCTTTTCCTCAGGACCTTTCACCACCACCACTTCTCCCTTTTTGGGACTCTGACTTTTCTCCTTCTTCTTCGCCTTTCCACCGACGTTTGACTTTGTGCGCATTTTCGAGGCTTTTTCCCCTGCAGAAACCGCCGCATTGGATGATGATCCACTCTTCTCAATGGTCGCCGGCATCTTCTTCGGCTTTGGAACCAGGAGAGTGTAAGGATCTTCGATAACTGCAGTTTTCCTCTTCTTTTTAACCTTTTTTGCCTCCTCCTCAACGGCAACCTCCGTCTCAGAAGTGTCAACCACCTCCTTTTCGGCAGGAATATCCTTGCTGGACTCCCTTTCTAGGGACCTCTTCTTGCCCCTTTTGGGATCTTTTTCTTCTTCCACGTTGGCTCGCTCGAACCATATCCTCAGGTCATTGACCCATTCTTCCACCTCCTCGAGCGAAACCTCATACGACTTCACTACTTCGTGAAGTTCCAGCACGGACAACATATCGGTGGTCCACGAAACCCATTCTCTATCCATCTGGTCAGCATCTCCATTGAACTTCAGGAGTTTGAACAGTGGGTCCGCCTCTGCTCGAGCCAAATCTGTTTTGCCATTCGACAGAAATGAAATCGCTTCCATCAACAGTTCCGACATTTTGGTGTCATCGTCATAAGTCATGGAATACTCCTCACCATCATCGAACTGTTCAGGAGAGATCTCCTCTTCCCCACCTTTTGCACCAGAACTTCTCCTTGGACCATCCCTTGGGGGCGTCCTCGGAGACCTTGGCCTCTGTTCATTCAGCGGATCACCATGCTCAAAAACACACCTGTCACCATAACGACACTTCCCAGACTGAGCAAACTGAATGCACCTCACACCAGTTGCATCATGCGAGAACGCACACGTCTTTCCAGCGAAACAGGGTCTCCCCGCCACATAGTATTTGCACCAATACGAATGCAGCACCACATCATCTTCTGAATGGATGAATTTGCAGTCTTCACCAAATTTGCAGCGATCTTTTCCCTTACTGAACCAATAGCAGAAGCCTTTCTTCCTCTTCTCCAAGCGCTCCGCCTCGAACCGGTCCATAGGGCGATTCTGCTCTACATGAACATTGCCATGTGCCTGAGAACTGCTCCCTTCACCCCAGGTGCTATCAGTATTTGATGCTTGGAGTACAGCTGGAAAACCTGGCCTTGGTCCTACCACCTTCATGATTGGTTTTCCGCCAGCTCCTGAGCCACGCTGAGACGATCCAAAAACATTGAACTTCTTCATGAAGGCTTTCCTAGTGCCGATCTTCTGCACCCTTTTGATTGGACGCTTCATTGTTCCAACCTTGCATCCAGATACGTTCAAACGACACAACCTCCTATACCCAGCTCTATATCCCTTTTTCCAAAGAGCCATAAGAATTTTAGAGGCAGTAACATTCTCCACCTCTACCTTTTCCAACGATCCCTCACTTCCCGGAACAAACCCATCCAGCCCATCCATATCTGAAGACCTTTCCATCTTTTTTGACACCACTTCGTCGAGGTAGTCTTCAGAGATCCAGGGTAAGTTCCTCTTAGAGGAAGGATTGTCACCATTGTTTGGTCCTTCACCAGGATACCCCTTTGTGCTGTCAAAGATCTTCCCAGTAGCGCGGTCCTGCGTAGAGAAATTGGAAGCAACGCGAGAGTACACTGACCACAAGAAAATCCTTGTGCCCGCCAGTCTTGACGACCCACTGGATGTCTCCTCTTCCGGAGAGACTTCTGGCGCTTTGCCATCCCTTCCAGTGTCACCAAGTGTCTCACCTCCAGCATCTTCAATGGGAATAAGGGATTCATTGTTCCCTTGATCTAGTACCGCATCTTGTTGATCGGGGATCTCCAGCACCATTCCTGTAGGATCCACTTCCTCATCAGCATCGTCGTCCATTCTTCTCCAGAGAACTTCCAATTGATCAGCGCAGGTCGCTGCCTGAAGGAACTCCATCATTTGATCCCTCCCGTGCTGCCAGAGAAATTCGGAATTCACCACTGTCCCGTGGCCTCCAAGTCTAAGGAATGGAGCGACCAGATTGGCTACCCTTGCCATAAGTTCCACATGAACTTCCATGCCTGGACTGCGACTCCAATCATAGGCTATTGCCTCCATAGCAGTTCCAAACTTTTCAGTATTTCTGAATTCCTTTTCCAGGCCAGGAGAAAGCAGTGCACCCATCACCGAAAGAGGATAATTTCCCACCACCGGCAAGCACGGATCTTCATGGAACGAATGATGCAAATCACCGTAGTGTCCTTGATCTCTCCTTTCAAAAAGGAGTCTCCCAGTATTCAACTGGGCATTCAGTTCATCCACTTGAACCATTTCAGCACATATTCTCTGTGCCGCAGTCGCTATTGCCGACCAGAGAGCACGATCTGCCAACCCACGACGCATAACCCACATAGTCGTCGCCGACTGAATCAGTGTACCAGGGTCATATGCCATGACCACCAATGCACCATCATCCATTCTCTGATCAGTGTCATCTTCCAATGCCAGGTTCAAATCCTGTTCGCTTGCACCTTCAGATGACATGCTAATAACCAAGTTTCGATCCATTTTATTGGATCCCTTCTGATAGTCCTTGTGCCCCACAGGCAACTTGCCGACAGCAACCTTCCAATAAATCCGAGTCAGAAGACCTTTAACCAGCAATTGCTGAGGAACATTCTTCACCGGACGAACATCCAATGTCTTCGCACCATCACCACGGAGTTCATTGCTCCCACCTTCTCCTTCGTTTTGGTCAGTCTCCTCGCCAGGAATTTGCACTGCTCCTTCCAGCGCCGTCTCCTGTCCAGCCACTTCTTGCCCAGGAAGAACTTGAGCGCCTTCAGATACATTCACCTGTCCAGCAACACCTTGCCCAGGTAAAACCTCATCCGTGGAGCCCACCGCCAGCGAACCAACTATAACTGAGCCATCCCTTGCTCTTTTTTGAGACTGTTCAGTTCGACGAGAAGGTTGTGGTAGCGAAAAAACTTGAGAAGTCACTTCTTGGCGGGTCTCCCCCCGCGACGCTTTGTCGCGTTTTTCGCCAAGGTGAACCGATTTTTTCTGCCCGTCATTGGGGCCGGAAGAACCACCCATCGGAACATTGCCACGAATCGCAGTTCTCTGTGAATCCCTTTCTTGCAAAAAGATTTCCCGCATGCGGTGCACAGCATTGGTCTCTTCCTCGCTTGAATCGCTTGAGGAAGCGGCATAAGAAACCAAAGCCTGGGCCTGATCATCATCATCCACCACATCTGCCCACGCTCTGCTGAACCGATACGACAACCCACCACGAGGCTTCAGTTCCAGTGGTTTTGGTTTCTCCACCACTTCCGCCGGTTGCGCTCGTCGCTGTGAACGAGAGCGTGGCACCTGTCGCACCTGTTTTTTGTCCAGCAAGGGCCTTCCCCTTTTCACAGGGTTTGATATTGACCGATACTTTTTTGTTGGTGGGTTCACCGGTGGCATTCCAACTCCCACCAACTTCAGCTTCTGTACGCACAGTGGAGACCTCTGCGCAAGCGTCCAAGCGTCACGGTACTTGACCTTATCAAAAAGCTCCCGATAGGAGCCTCTCGGCATCGTTTTTGCACCGGAGCCTTCAGCTTCACGCATCTGAGTGAGGGTTCTCACCGCCTCTCTTCCAGCTTCCTTGCTTCCAGAAGATTGTTGTACCCGTACAGATGCATCGGAAGGAACTGCTTTTTCCGGTCCCTCCGGTCGATATCGGACGCCTCCCACCAATCGTAGGATTTTGCATGCTGTCACCTTGTTGATCCCTTTTTCAAGCAGATCTTCCACAAAGATGAACTCCTGCAGGTCCGACACGGTGCTCACACCAAGAGTAATCATCACCTCACTTACATGAGGGGTATACACCCAAAGGTGGTTATTGCGAGCCATCCAATTTTCAATTGGCTCCTCTGGATCTTGAAGCAGAGTACCAGTGGACTCAGCCACCGAATTCTTTTGTTCATCTGCCTCTTCTTCATCCAGAATACCCTTTTCACCACCTTTTTGTGACACATTGGTCATTTGCAGCGCTTTTGGTGCTGAGGAGGACGAAGATTCTGCTCCCCCACTTACCGGTGGTTGAAAAGCGTTCCTGTCGGGAATCTCCAATCCTCTTCCCCTTTGAAATGACACATGGTTCGCCACATTCACCAGATGCTTCAATTGGGTCAGCCGGTCTTCAGACATCTCTTCGTGAGAATACTTGCAGCCAAATCGCACACGACATCTCCCTTTGAGATAGTAGTCGAAACAGCAACGGTGGAACCCCGCGTCCCTTAGTGCCTTCCTGGAAGCATTGTCCCAAGATTTGCCAGGCTCCCAAGTCCCTTCCAATGCCATGTCATCGTCGTGGAGATACCTGCACGCAGTCCCATATTTACAACCACCTTGATTGTAAAACAGACACAGCCGTTTCTTCGTTTCACCCAGTGTAGGCTCACCTTTTGATGTCCCTTTGCCATAGTTGTACTGGGCACGGAAGGCCGAATCCTCCGGCTCCTGCTGCACCTCATCCACTGTACCTTCATCAGTTGGAGGGCCACCGATGTCCCCATCCTCGTCACCAGTTTTTTGGCTGTTCTTTGGCTCAGTTGGCTCTCCTTCAGGCCACCCTTCACCGTAACGACGATGTTCATAGGAACACCCATCTCCATTTCGACACCTCCCTTGATTGAAGAACTTGCACAGCTTGCTGTATCCAGGTGACACAGTCTTCGGAGTCGTGTGAGCCTTTTTGTACTGATCGGGATCCATATAGGCTTCTATTGGCCTGTTTTCCCTCTTACTCATCTCCTCGATTGCACCATCAAGCTCTTGCAGAAATCGCTTGGTGTCCAACCACAGCTCGTTCCAAAGCTCATCTTTCCCTTTGCTCAGCAAAATTGCCACCGCTTCACCCACGACTGGTCCACTAAATCTTCTTTTCTTGCGTGCCAGTTCGTAGAGCGCGTTGTGGTACTGCTTCCGGGAAAAAGTGGTTGTTTCTTCCAAACCTGCACGTTCTGTCTCCTCAGGCTTCCAACCATCACTTAGCAAGATGTTGTATGCGCTCCGAGCCTCAATATTCAGGAATGCATAATCTGCGATACACTCCACAATCACGTCCATTGGACGACTCAGCAACATCCCCGTGATTTTGCCCACATAGTCATTATCTATTGTTTCATCTTCCAGGAGATTTTGATAGATTTTTTCTCCATAGAGCTGTTTCTGCTCAGCCTCCTCTTGTTCCTTAGAGGATGCTTTTGACTCGGCAAACCACTCGCGAGACTGCTGTTCTTCCGACTTCCAGTCCCATTGACCATCGGAACCTTTGTACCATTGACCAGTCTGCCATGAGCCTGTCCACCATGTACCCCAGCCGCTGTCCTTCCATTTGCGCAGCGTTGAAGAGGAATCCTCCTCGTCCTCTTCCAAAACCAGAAAAGTGTCCAAGATTATGGTACCATCATCTTCCACTCGTTTCACTGTTCCATTGACAGTATCACCAAATTTGAACTGATGTACATTGTTCCCTTCTGCAGGAACCAATACATTTATATCACCATGGTCCAAAAAGGCTCCATACCCATTGATGCAGCGCACTAGACCAATGATCTCATCTCCCTCCTGATAGCAATGTTCCCCAGGTGATTCCAAAGCTCCCGCTCGAGGCGCTCTCTTTGCATGCCCTTCAGAAACCATCTCCGTATCATCGGCTCCTGACACATCCTTTATTTCCACCTTTGGGTCACACTGCTCGTCCTGCTCCGACGTGAGTCCCACAAGATCATCCATCTTGCGCTCCAAGGGCTCAGGATCTTCCTTTTGTTCAGCCAATGGCTTTGCCTCATCCGTTACAGTTCGCTCGGTGTCGACTTCCGGCGAGCTTTCAGATGGCAACACCTCTCCCTTCCTGGGAGTGGACCCACCATTGGAGTCCTTTTTCAAACCTTCTGCAGCAGGCAAATTTTCTTCCACTACAGGGCTATTGGATTGGTCATCCGCGGTAGGCACATTTTCTTCCACCGCAGGCTCCTTTGGCTCCATGGTTTCCAAAAGAGAATCACCATTGTTGCTGACCACAGCTGCCTCATTGGCTCCGGTGTAGCCTTCGCCATTTCGTTCCTCGCTGCTAACTTCAGGCTGCACCAGTGCGTCCACCTGTGAACCTCCATCGTCAGCTGCTACAGAGACCTGCGCCCCATTGTTGCAGTCATCCGCGGAACGTGACACCATATGCGCCTCAACCCGTGCTTTTTCTGCACTCCAGGTACTATCTGGCGCGTTGACCCGCGCTTCATTGGCGCTCCAGGCCTCATCTTTCCGATCAACCGTGTCTCCAGCAGTTTCAGAAGTTTCCTTTTCCCTTTGAATGGCAGAATTCTCGGCACCAAACGAAGAGACCTCCTCAGTCGTAATGCACAACTTTTTCCCTTCGTCATCCAAATCTCCAGGGCCATCTTCCTGAACGACAGGCACCACATCCACCACTCGCTCTTCTGCAGCCGACACAATTCCGATCTCCACATTGGGCATTTTTTCTTCTGGACCCACCGATTCCACCGCTGCCACACCCTCAGAAAGCGCCTCCATCTCTTCCCGATCCAGATGTTGAGCTTCAGCGATGTCTGCTCGGTTTCCAGAAATCCCCTCTTCATCAGGAGAACCCGAGGTCGGGGCGTCACCACCAGCCCTAGGACCGCTATCCCTGATAGTAGAGGAAAATCTTTTTCACCTACACTATTTACACCGCTGTTGACACTTTCCATGCTACCCTGTTGTGCCCTGAAGGACTCAGTAGGCGACGAGGACGAAGTAGTACCCAGTGCTGGCTCTTCTTCCACAGGGACAATGCCCATTCCAACACCAGACCCTTCACTGTTTCCAGCCATCCCAGTCTTCTTCGGCAACACCCATTGGGTTTCTCCCGTGTCTAAGCAGTAACGATATTCTCTCCCATCCTCGTGAAAATGGCGTTCCCATGTCTTCCCATCGCAGTCGATGATTGGAAGGTCAGCAGCTTGAGACACTTTGCCTCCACCATCAGCGTATAAGTCTTCATCTGACTCTTGCTGTATTCTTGCTGCCTCCAATTCCAGGATTTCTCCTTCGCTCATCACCATAGCAACAGGAACGACTCCTTCTGCGTCCCCAACGACGAGGATACTGCTTTTTGTCGCAGCAACAGGCGCAGTTTCTTCCGCTTCACCTGTCAACAGATCACCACTTTCAGCCGCGAAACTCACTTTGTTGCGAGCTCGCTTGGAAACAGGGATAACATCCCCAACCAGTTCTGTCTGGCACCCTTGCTCCACCATCTTTGACGTAGAGGAGCTTGTTGTTGGCGCTCCCGTTGATTCAGCAGATTCCGCAGCTCGAAGAAGATGCCCACGTTTGCTCAGAAGGCGCAGCAAAACTGCTTCCATCTGGTCTTCCAGTCCTTCCACCACCGGCTTCTCTTCGCCACGCATACCACCAACATCAACCAGAGCTTCCACATTGGGAACAACTTTTTCACCCGTTGCAGACCTTTTGACACCACCTTCACCTTGGTCGCCCACATTGGAGCTCGATGATGCCGCACCAGTCCGTAACCAGTTGGTCGCCATGGCTTCAAACTTCCACCCTAAGGCCGAAACACAAACCGCAGGGAACCTAATTTGGGCTCATAACCTACGGGGGGACAACCAGGGAAGGAAACCAACTCCCCTAATCGCCCTGAACCTATATTCCCCAGATCGAACCAAGAAACAAACGAGAACACGGATAAGAGCAACCCAGGGGGGAAGGAAAGGGGGAAGGAATCCACACCCTTACCAAACCCTAAGAACCCAGGCACTACTTTTTGAACTTGTGGCTTTCTGTTCAAGCCCATCTTGAGCCAAACATGTTTTCCGGGTTCATTAACCCTTCCAACTCTCAACACTAACTCTTTTCTACAATACCAGTTGCAGCTCCGCATAGGGTCTCGTGCCCCATGGCTCTCCACTCAGTAGGCAGCGCCTATCTATGCTAGTCTATGCCCATCGTCAGCTGGACGATCACATGCGGCGTGATGTGATTCCTGCCGAGACTCACCGAAGCACCTTTTTGAAAAACTACCCGAATGGGTGGAAATGACGACAGAGCGCCTCCTGCTCAATGTCTGGCAAGAAATCGGTGATACTTCTGCACGCAGACTCACTGATAAGCGATTTGCTGCCATCGCTGTCCTGGAACTGTCCAGCATGTGCTGCCCGTTCCTCGTGCGCCACAGCCATTGTGCTCCTTGCAGTAGGTCTGGACCTCGTTTCAACAAACGAACTGCTTGCACTGGTTGCCACGCAACTTGTGCACTCATCTTCACACTTCACATGGCTGGCCAAGCGACGCTCGATTTCAGCTGACGGTAAAGCCCATCTGGAAGGTATGTGTAGGTCCTGGCACATGATGCCGTGACCAGCATGCCACATGTTCAGTTCCTTCGCATCTTTGCTTTGACAAATTCCACCATGGCACGTGCCCGAGTCGACGATCGTGCGTCCAAAGCCACCTCCAGAGCAAGGAAATGGGCCTGATGCTTGCATCTACTCAATCGGGTTTCTCTACTCCGACGCTCGAATTAGTGGGGCCCCTTCACCCCAAAGCAGGTCCAGAGCTGTACCTCACTTTGTGCATAGTCACTGATGAATGGGGGACTCACGAACGCCAGGACGGTAAGCCGGACACCAAGCCGGCCAGCGTCGGCACCCAACCCGAGGCTCTGAATGGCGGGGCTGCCTGAAAGCTCAGAGCCTCCGGGTCCCTCAACGACCATCTTCGAGACGGCGACGCCTTGAGGTGATTCCGGGCTTGGATGGGTTTGGGCAGGTTTGGATTTTTGGACTGGCTTGGAAAACCGGAGCTTGCTGGCTTCCCATTCTGCCGGTGCCCTTTGCCCTTGCGTTGCGGGTCGAAGGACTTGATGTCTCTGCGTTGCCTGCTACATCTTGCTACTGGCGGTAAGATTCAGGCCCGGCAGTTTTGGCAGCGAGTGTCTCTTTCGTTCGACTCGCCGTCTGGAAAGGTAGATGAATAGTGCAGTTTCGAGAGACGGATGCGACAAGAGTCTGTGCCCTGGTCTTGATTGGAGGTGTGCTGTTGGGCAAGCTGCTGTAGAAGCCGTGCAAGCCGAGGGCAATCCACTGCACCTCAAAGCCAGTCCCGGTTCTTCTCTAACTAAGGGTCGCTTGTAGTGCCCCTCAGGGAAGGGAACATCACTACGTACACTCACACTAAGCTCTTTCAACGTTGACCTCTTTGAAGTCAAGAGGCGCCCGCCGTGTTCAGGGATTCGTTGAAGCCTCCAACAGTCCTCATCCACATGGCCCGCTCTGAAAGCATCTGGGGCTGCTTGAACCTACGTTTCCTATGGCTCCCAGCCAAGTTCTGTTGGGCCCCGTGTGCCGTGTGGCCTTATGTCATTATGTCACAGCCAGGTAAGGCAGGGGGACAAGCATGGGCATCAACAACAGCTACAGCTACGGATGTCTTGGGAGGCTTCTCTCTTCTTCCTCTCTCTCACAACATCTAACCCCCTTACTCCAACACCCTGGCTGAAAGATTTTGCACACATCCTTCTGTATCTTCTGCATGTCCTGCTCATGCTTTCCTGCTTTCTGCAACCAGCAAAATAGAGCATGAGTTGAGGACAAGACGCAGGAGACCGCCCTGGGATGACAGACACATGGCGAAAACCGCAGCGTTCACGTGGGCCTTATCCTGCCATCAAGTACTTGGGCGAATGACTGGCTTCGCGCACAGGCACAAAAGTCGCATTTAGGAAGCACAGCTGACATGCACCGCAAGGTTCTGAATCAGGCCTTGAACACATCCACCAGAATGGTCGGCATCCTCTCTTTGGCTGGGGCCAGGCCAAAGATTCCGTTGGCCTCGGGTCCGAACTGAGAGCTTTGGGGGGTTTGGACGGTTTGGGGGGTTGAAAGTTTTAGGGTCTTTTGGGGGTCTAGTCCGAGCATCTGCCGGAGATTTTGGATTAGACTGTTGTCGGCTGGTGGGCTTGTTGGGTTTGAGGGAGATGTGGAGGAGCAGAACTTCCGGAACATCGGGCCCGCCTTCTGCGTGACGAAGAGCCTTGTCTCACGGCTGTGGCATCCCAGCTGCACCTGGCACAGAATGCGCGCATCGGGTCTCATAAGGGGGGAGCCTTGGGAGGAGCACCCGGACAGGTGGATTTTCCTGGAACTCATCGCCGAGTTGGACATAGTCCGTAAAGCGATAGCCTGGCTTGGAGTTAGGTGAGGGAGCCAGAGGTGGTGTAGAATCGGACACCATCTGGCCTTCGATGGAGCTGCCTTCCGTGTAGCTCTGACTGTAGGCGCAGTAGTTCATCCTGACATGTGCCGTAAGATGCTGAATCTTGCCACAAGACGGAGAGCCCGCGTGCAGAACATGTCACGAGCCAGTTTGAGCTGAGCACGCACGTCCTGCACGTGTCGCAGCCCCGCCGACTGCACTTGACCCATTCCGCCGTCTTCGACTTCTGAAAATCGAAGTTCGCGTCCAGATGATGGCCACACATCTTGCAGCCAGTGCAGGGGAATGCGCAGAGAGTACTTCCTGGGCTTGGAAGATCAAGCACGCAAGGCCAACTCTGTGAGGAGGGGGAGACGCAGCGCTTGCAGAGCTCCTAATGCCATCAACCGAGATCAGCAAAAGTGCCCGTGTCTGCGATGACGGAGGTTCGTTGTGGCACCGGTGAGCCCACCTGACATGCCGTTGCTTATCTAGGCTTCGTCTGTTAAGCCTGCACATCCCCACAAGACCCTTTGAGCCGTGGAGCAAGCAAGTCGACATAGTAGTACTGGTATGTCGCCTTGGCATGACTTGGAAGACAGTCTTGTGATCTGCTACGCCATGCGGGCAGCTTGCGCCAAAGGCTCACACGTGACATTCAAGATAGAAAGGTTGCATCATTCTGCGTTTCTCGCCAAGCCAGGGCACTACGTCTCCGTAGAGTCGCGCGGACTCGATCCCTGAGAAGCACCGTTTCAGCACTTCACTAGCCATGTGTTGCATCACTTAAGCCATACAAAGGGACACCCAACAAGATGTTTGGCCCTCGAACGTTGCAGCATACTACTGGGCTATCTCCATAATCATGATCTAGCCTCTAGCATGCTTACCATCGCAGACCTCATGCTTCTCTCGGCAAGCCAAGGAGCTCTTGTCCGCGTCGTACAAGCGGCGACTCCTCATGCAGGTCTCGAGGCTGAAAGTGTTGGTGAGCGTAGTGTAATGGGGCCAGGGCTTCTTGACGTGGGGTACTTGCTGAGGCACGAGCACGAGACGAGCAAGACTCGACCTGGGCTCCTTCAACAAGCCTGCCCCCAACCTCCCGCCAAAAAAAAAAAAAACAAGCTGCGTTGCCAGGCTTCAAGCTTTGGTCACCTTGCGGAGGCATCCCATGGCCAAGCCAAACAGGCCGCTACCACGGGTCCAGCAATATGTGTTGTGATGGGTTCGGCCTTTCGGGGGCTTTCCGGGGTTCAGTGGCCCAGGGCCGGGCAGTCTGGCTTGGGGGCAAGCACTCGGCACTGCGCTTCGGGTGGACAGTTGCTGTCGGTGTCGAAGCGCTCGCATGCGTCAGGGGTCGCTCGGGATATGTGGGAGCTTGGGAAAGTTTGGGAGGTCGCTGTCTGCTCCGGCTGTCTTCTGTCACTCGGCTGCGAAGCAAAGCCCGGTATCTGCCAGAAACTTGAAGGAAAGCATAGAGATCAAGAAGTAGGGCGCAACAAGGAGAAAGAGCCAGCAAACGCCAGACAGCCGTGCACGAGCAGTAACTCCCCCCATGGACGGTCACAAGAAACAAGAGCAAGCTCACCGGTATCGTTGCCAAGTACCCCTAAACCCTAAACCCTAAACCCTAAACCCTAAACCCTAAACCCTAAACCCTAAACCCTAAACCCTAAACCCTAAACCCCAAACCCTAGTCTCACAGGACACTCGATCTGCACACCCTAAGATGCCTCCTGGGATGGCCTTCGAATCCTTAGGATGCGGAACTGAACGCGCAGCATCCCTACATCCCCATCTCGCTGCTACAGAAGACCACCGGGGTCTGCAAAGAGCCCTAAACCCTAAGCCCTAAGCCCTAAACCTAAACCCTGAACCCTAACCCTAAACCCTAAACCCTAAACCCCCCCAAGAACGGCGCGTCTCAAAGTTGCGGCTGTGGCTGCGGCTGGAGCTCCAAAGACTGCCAGGTACCAACCTTGAGTCGGCTGACCTGATGCTCGCGTGCTGCCACGCATCCTAGGGGGCACACAAAAGGGGGGTTTAGGGTTTAGGGTTTAGGGTTTAGGGTTTAGGGTTTAGGGTTTAGGGTTTAGGGTTTAGGGTTTAGGGTTTAGGGTTTAGGGTTTAGGGTTAGGGTTTAGGGTTTAGGGCATGAAGCGAGAGGAGGATGAGCAGATGCCCACAAGCATCTGCGACCGGCGTGTAGATGAAGAGTCAACGCGACGGGCTCATATCCAAACAACCAACTAATTGCCAATTCAGAGAGAGAGATATATACATATATAATTAAATAGACAGTTCCTCTTCCATAACGAAAAGACGGACCATTCCACTATCCAGCTAGCCTGCCGCTGTTCTGCCGTCACACGCTGGGCAGAAACTGCACCGCTCCGAGGTTCGAAGCATTATGCCAACTGCTCGGGCGTGCTCCACACGTGTTTCACATGCGACCACCGAAGAGAAGATGCTCCGGGTGATTGAGCCAATGAACCTATCCGGGCCTTCCCAGTGAGTGAGGATGACGCTTCGTGTTCTGAGGAGGACCAGGAAGAAGCCCACAAGGCAGAATGGAGAACGTGCAAACGGAGGCAAGGTTGAAGGGCCCTCCCGCGCTCACAGGCTCAGATGCTGGCGGCACTCCAGAGGTCTTCTCCTAAGTGGATCAAACAACACAAAATGCTGCCATTGGCCAATCGCGGGTTTCTTTGCGAGCTACACCACCTCCAGGACCTCTTGCCTGCTGCCTTTTCTTATATTATTATTCATTTTCCTTATTATTAGATTCTATTGTTATATTGTTATACTACAACATGCTTCTGGGCCCGAAGCTGGGCCGGCAGTCCTGAAACGCGTCCACCTGCAGGTTGATTGTGTTTCTTTGAAGGCCCCTTATCGTTTCCCCCACAAGCAGAGGCCTGTCGCTTTGAGGTAAGCTGGAGAGCAATTGATGCCTTGCAAAGCCATGGGCCATGGGCAATCATGAGCAATCACGGCCCCTGGGAAGGGCTCAAAAATGTAGGAGAGCCTGGCAAAAGTGGCTCCCGCCACTGTGCAACACACCTGTGGGTTGGCCACTGAGGCGTCTGCTGCCAGTCCCCTCCATAGCTCGGATTCTTTGGGACAAAGTACCTCTTTCAGGGACATTCCAATCAGGCACGTGCGCTAGGAGCTGCTGTGAGCTTGGGTCGAAGATCCACGTCCAACGACATTCGAATCACGCAATGTTGAAGCACAGTCCGCATCGTCTGACCCTCCTTATCCGGCACTGGCCGTCGACCACAAGCAAGATCAACGGCCTTGGCGAATGAAGCAGCAGTGTGAGTGGGATGTTGTCGATTAGAGTCGCGATGAGTTTACGAGCAGGCCAGCCCTTTTAACCAGTCACAGCACTGTCACAAAAGCCCTAAAATTCCCAAATGTGAGGACGTCAAGTTCGGGAATATCGTTCCGGAGAGAAGAAAGGCGGCCTCACTGCGAAGCCCGGTCAACCCTTGCCTTTTCCTGAGCCAAGCATTGGGACACTCCAAGGGTGCGAAGGGGCGCGGAAGCAATCCGCGCCGAAGACTGTGGAATACCTTGCCATCTGCAGGATGGCAGACTGAAGAACACCTTCCTATACTCCCCTTAGAACCTTCATAAAAACAATATGTTTAATTGAACAAAAATAAAAGAAAAATCCCATAAGGGGGATATAGCTTCTGTACACAGAGCTCAAGTTGTCAAGGCTCATGGTTTTCATAAGGCCTGCACTCTCTTGCTCTCTGGTTAAAGATCACTGGGCTAGTCATGGTTAGTCTAGGCTGTCACCATGTCCTCTGTCTTGAGCAGAGGCGCCGGCTCCTGCGTTTTGGGTGCGATAAGCGGGGGGGGATTGCTGGGGTCCACTGGAGGGTTGCTGGTGGCTTCCAGCTCCCAAGGCTTCATCTCTGCCCGCGCGATGGCTGCGGCGACGCCCTCGGCATGCTCCGGGCCCGGCATTTCGCCCTCGGGCGTCAGCACCAGGCATCCACGATATGAGAGGCCGGCGCGGCGCGCGACACCTACATAGAAAAGCACAATCCACTGCAGGTCATCATCGGCTCCCAGTAAGTGCCATCGCTCCTCCGAGATGATGCCGTTGTCAACCACGGAGAAGTCCCACATCCCGGGCGTATCCCTCCTGCGCACCCGGTAGTCCCGGGTACGCCAGATCTTAGCTCCATCAAGAGCCTCGACCAAGAAGGTCGGATGATACCAGAACGTATTCCTCCCGGATCCCTTGTACCACAGCTGGTACTGCAGGGCAAACTGCTCGTATGCCGGGTTGGAACCAGCTGCGACCAACCAACTGTGTCGATGATTCTCAGGGTGGAAATGTCCCACGAGGATACTCTCTGCTGTCTCGTGGGTCAAGGGTTTACCTCTGAATGTCCCCAACGGCTTTGCTAGAGGCGTGGGCGGGCGGGTAATCTGCGAGTTGAGCAGATTCTGCTTCTGCAGCGCGCACAGGCTGAAATCGGTGAAGGCTTGGCTTTGGTAAGAGACGATACAGCGATAGGAGCAGGACTGGTCTGCGAGCCCACACTGCGAGAGGCAAGCCAAACTTTGCAGGCAGCGTGGTTGAGTGAAGCAGTTTCGAAATTGATCCTGGCACCGATCCACGGCGCGGAACACCGTCTCTGCTGTTGGCACAGGCCGTTGGTCCACCATCGCTGGCAATGGCATCACAGCGCTGTCAATCAAAAGCAGCATAGCATACACGGCTTCTTCGGCCGTTCTTCGGTGCCAGAGGTCTGTCACATCCTCTCGAAGCTTTGCAGCCTCGCTGTATCCTGCGATGGCTGCAGAAAGTCCAAGAAAGCCAGGATCGGACAGTTCCGCCTCCCGCGCTCCTGCAAGCAGAGTCTTGGATGTCCAGAACTCACTGCTGCTGCGGGACTTGGAACTTGTTATGAAAAGCCTGGAATCAACCTTGCCGAGAATTTCGCCGAGCACTTCCTGACACTCCTGTGGAGGTTCCGACAGATCCACGCCGAAAATAAAGTCGGCACGAAATGTGCCAGGCATCTGGCAAAGCTCCGATAGGGACATTGCCCGGAACTCCACCGGCTCTGTGCCCAAATCCCAATTAACCCGTCGAGCCAACTGCTCTGCTGCCTCTGCCCAGGTCGGACTTCTCCCTGTAAGCACCGTGCCCATGTGCGGCACCTCGGCAAAACCTGGCGAACCCAAATCCGGGTAAAGCAGAAGCACCAGTTTCTTGGTCGACTCTGTGTCCAGGGCTGCTTGGCCCGCTTTTGCCTCCTGCTGAGTTGTTGCAGCTACGGCCACACTGCCTGGCTGCTTGGATTCGGCGGCTTGGCCCTCTGCAGAGGACAGCCACTGCTGACACATCTTGCTAACACCGCTGAAGCCCGTAAAGGAAGGCGCCCATGACGCAGCCAGTGCCCAACAAGTCAGAAAAGTCAGGCAAGGTTTCCTGGCTGTGGGAAACCGAGCCGCGTGAGCTCGTTTGCGGGCGGGCTCCATGCTCGGCCACAGCTAGTTGGATGCAAGGGGCTTGCTCTACCCAGCGACACATTTGACCCCCACCCAAACATGCCAATGCCGACGTGATATGGTTTTTCTCCCTGACACAAGCACGTCCCCCAACACAAGCACATGCTGAGCCACCAACTCTATCAATCGGAACCAGTGGCCCCTCTCCCTGCAGCGATGCCGAAACACGCCTCGACAAGTGCCATGCCTCTGAAAAAACTCGGGTTGTGGCTTAGGCTTACGTAGGCTTATCTATGCATCTGCTACGACCAGCCCGGGGGACTTGAAACGATCAGCAGATGATGCCTGCAGTACCTGGAGCCCCACCCCCGAAAGGCTGCCACTCAAGTCCTCTGCTGCGTCTCCTGAGATGTCCTGCCCCAATCCCCACTTCGCGCGCCTCTGTAGTTCGGACATGAGCTCCTCCTCCAAGGAAGAGCGAGGCCAGTTGCCCAGCATCATCGGGGGAGGGGCGTGAGTTATTGAACTGTCGACCAGCGCAGGTGCAGGTCCCTAAGTCTTCTGCTCAAAACTGAGGGTTAAGGGTTTAGGGTTTAGGGTTCTTTCAAAGTTTTCGAGCTTGGGTCAAGAATGAGGTTCACGCCCGGCACCTGCAGCTTGTTCTTGGGCAGCTCCAGCACATCCAGCAGCAGCTCCAAGGGTACCGGGACCTCCCAAGGCCCGGTTTAAGCTTATCTGAGGCTTTAAACCCTGAGCCCTAAACCCTAAACTCTAAACCCTGAACCCTGAGCCCTAAACCCTAAACCTTCTGTCGGCTACCGTCTTGGCGCACAACCTTCTCCAGGTCCATTCCAAGGTTTGCCACGACAACGCCCAGGACCTTCAGCTGCAAGGCCGAGGAAGTGGCAGGGTTTAGGGTTCAGGGTTTAGGGTTTAGGGTTTAGGGTTCAGGGTTTAGGGTTTAGGGTTTAGGGTTTAGGGTTTAGGGTTTAGGGTTTAGGGTTTAGGGTTTAGGGTTTAGGGTTTAGGGTTTAGGGTTTAGGGTGTTAAACCGACAGGTTCCCATGTTCACTTGTGCTGTCCAACATGTCTTCATCCTCGCCGGCCCTTCCGACAGCTCCGAGGTGGGAGGGAGAGGCTAGAGCTTGACCAAAACTGCACGGGGTGCAGTGGAGGGCTACATTCAGGGCTGGGTCCTCATAGGGGTCTGTGGACAGACCATAGGGTTACTTAGGTCAGGGTGCCTCATTCGACATTGCTTAGGCCGACAGGACCGGGCTTAGGCATAGGGGTTTCACATTGGTAGCGGAGCCCGGCCTGTCGCTAGCTAGGAGTTAGTGTAAACAGGGGGTTCCAGGGAGTTTTTGTTGATGGGAGTGGCGCGGCGCCATGGCGCAAGCTTCAGAAGGAACGGCTGAAGCAGCGGCAGGAGCCACCGGAGGTGTGAGCCATCTCCCGTGGCAGCAGGTCCCGAAGTTTACGCCAGGGGTGACAAGCGTGGACGAGTACTCTCAACGGCTTCGCTTTCTCAAAGAGTTGTGGCCAGCCGAGCATCTGTCGTTGTTGGCTCCCCGGGCAGCCCTCTTGGTGGAGGGGGCCGCCTTCCAAAAGGTGAGCCGGATCAAGCCCGAGCAGTTGCGAGGACCGGATGGTGTGAAGTACCTTGTGGAGTCGCTGGGCGGGTCTTGGGGAAAGACCACAGTGGAGGAGCGATACCACTTCTTTGAGCAGGCCATCTTTCAGACGCAACAGAAGGCGGACGAGAGTAACGATTCGTACATTGCCAGACACGACGCTTTCTTTGAGGAACTCTTGAGCCGTGGGGTGACCCTTGAAGAGATCCGCGCCTATGTTCTTCTCCGTCATTCCTTGTTGGCCCCGGAGGACAAGAAGCGTGTGATCGTGGAAGCCAAGGGCGACTTGAAGTACCAAGAAACGGTCCGAGCAGTGCGGCTCTTGGGGTCCAAGTTCTTCACAGACTTTCAGAACCGTAGTGGCCCGGGAAATGCCAAGGCAATGGATCGAAGCAAGGTCTACGACATCCACATGACGACAGACGACGACACCTTTGAGGAAGTGCACATGGCGATGGGACAGGACGAGGACCTCAGCGATGAGCTCATCCTGGCTCACTTCCTTGAGGCCAATGACGAGGACGCCATCTACATCACGGAGTTTGAAGATCAGATAGTGGAGGCGGTGCAGGAGAGTGAGTTGGCCCCAGTCTTTGCCTCGTACCAAGAAGCTCGTCAAAAGCTGCGGGACAAAGCAAAGTCCAGGGGGTTCTGGCCCATCAAGGGCAAGATGAAGGGGAAGGGCCAGTCCGGGAAGAGAGGCAAGGGTTATGGTTCCTGGGATGGGGGCCGTCGACGTTCCCTTGCAGATCGGATCGCCAACTCCAACTGCAAACAATGTGGGGCCAAAGGGCACTGGAAGCGGGAGTGCCCGAAGAACGACGCTAAGCCAGAGGCGACCTTGTTTGCCCAGATCCAGCCGACCGATCCCTTCCAATCGGAGGTTCTCCAGACCCTGCCAGACTCCGAGCCCTTCAACATCGATGAGGACGACAGCGCATGGACACAGAGAGGGGTTAGCACAGGGACAGGGAATACTGGAGTAATTCAGGACTTCGGGGAGACTTGCTTTATGGTTGCGCCAAAGGTGGGGCCTTCTTTGTCTCTCGAGTCTTGCCTTGCACGACGTTTGTTAATGATTCACAGGACATGTAGGACGCCAAGCTGTGCGCCGCCGGGTGCATCTTCTGAGGCGCAAGGGCCGGCCACCGCGCCGAAGCAGGCAGTTTTGAGACGCAGCAAGCCCAGTCCCATAATTCCTGAAGCAATTCTAGTAGCCACTGTAGGTACTGAGGGGGTGCTAGATACAGGGGCCAGTAGGACTGTGCTAGGAGACCAAAGGGTTCGAGAAGTGATAAGCGGTCTTGCTGCAGAGTGTCGCGGTCGAGTAAGGAAGATAGCTTCTGATGTCACCTTCCGTTTTGGAAACAGCGGGACACTCACGTCAAAATTTGCGCTGCTGCTGCCCACCTCAGAAGACACATGGGTCAGAGTTGAGGTGATCCCCGGAAACACTCCTTTGTTGATATCAAATCGTCTTCTCAGGGACCTAGACGCAGTTATTCATGTTAAAGAGGGGTATTTAATGCTGGGTGGTTCTAGGAGGGTAGACCTTAGATGGGATGAGCGAGGCCTATCCATAGTCAATCTGTCAGATCTCCTTCACGTCGGGGACAGGAAGGCTCCTGTCTACGTTGTTGACAGTCTGGGGGCGCACCCGCGTCCAGAAGCCTCCTCGGGAACACCAGCCAACAGTCCAGTCCCCAGTCCCCCAGAAGATGTTTCCGTTCCACCAGAATCAGCAAAGCAGCGTTTCCAGGAACCACAGAACACAACACGGCAGCCTGAGCTCAAGCAGACAGCACGAATCTTCGAATATCCTTCTCCTTCGCCGAGCGGCTTCCAACCGAGCGATGCCCACCTCAGTCAAGCAGTCCGTGAAGAAGCTCCAAGAGAAGATGCCCGAGGTCAATCTGGACGAACCTCTCTCCGCGGAGGAGGATGTGCACTTGGCCGAGGAACAGCTGACCATGGTAAAGTACTTGGAGGTGGAAGTTGTCCGCCCACCGGGGATTGCGAATCTTCGGGAATGGGGCCAAGTGGTGATCGCGGCTGGCAAGCACAAAGGAAAGAGTCACGAGAAAACGTTCGAGACCGACCTGTCCTACTCGATCCTCATGGCTCGGAAGTCTTCTCTCAGCAGCCCATGGGCACTGTCGTTCAAGAACTATGCCCTGATGCGACTGAAGCAGATGGCCAAGACGGAGCAGGCGAGGTCCACGACCAAGGCGGAGGCAAAGAACATCAAGTCCCAGGGTCCAGCCGTCATGGACGGAGAGGAGAGCGATGGGTGGAAGCTCTGCTCGCCGGATGCCACATCCCACACAGCTGCACCGAGCCGGGGCAGCAAGAGGAACAGTCCGCCGGGGGCAAGCTCGCAGATGCCCATTGCCATGTCGCCGGAGGAGATCATGACGCGCCGGGCCGTGCTCGAAAGAGAGCTGACGAGGCTTCGGGAGATCGAAGATGCCGACAAGGAGTGAGGGTTGATCCAAGCATGGAAACGGACGCAAGCAATCAAGGGAGGCATGGCAAGGTTCAACAAATGTGTGCACAAATAGACAAGTACATCCTGCAAATCGAAGAACAACTTGGTGATGCAGTGAGAAATTCGGTGTGCCAGTACCGTCTGCCCTCCCTTGATGTCATCGAAATCGGTAGTGGGGCCATTTGCGCAGCCGTTCAGAGATGTGGCGGGAGAGCTTTAACACTTTCTCCGGCAAAGCTTGGGAGCGCTCGGGGTATGTATGATCGCCTCTGGAAGCTGATCTCAATGTATGAGCCGACACATCTCTGGTTGGATTTGCAGCAGCCGTGGAACCACAAAACAGACAAGGGCAAAAAGACACCATGGCCAGGACAGTTTCTTCTTGACCTTTATCGCTACCAAACAGAACGAGGCAAGCACATACATTTCCTGTGTGGCCAGGGTTTCTTTGAGCAAATGGCACCTCAACTCCAAGAGGTTCAACAGGGCACTTTGCGAATGATTCATGAGCTGGAAGTGGGAGACACCCCGCCAGGAAACAACCATCTCCGCAAAGCCACCACACTGTACACCACGTCCAGACGACTGCAGCAAAGTGTCGACACTCGCTTTCAGACAGCGGGTCCAGATCCCAGTGGGCGAAGCAACCGCATGTTCCCACGAGAGAGGCGTCTTGCCAAACGGGTAGCCTTGCACCTAGGTCAGGACTTAGGGTTTCCTCTGCCTTTAGAAGAGCTGTTGTTTAATGTTGAAAAGCGGGGAGTCTCTAACTCTGACATTACTGCCGCCCAGCAAGTTTTGAAGCGCCGAAGACTGTTTGGAAAACAGCCAGGGCCGACAATCTCTGGAAGCGAGGCTCCTAGGATAAGTTGGGATACAGTTTTTCGAGATGTTAACGCGAGGGTTCCGAAAGGGGGAAAGGTAGGGTTTTCAGAAGGGGACCCGGTAGTCCAACAAGTTCAAGCACTGCTTCCACAGATTGTTGTGCAACATGTCGTCTGCTGTCGAGGCACCAACCGGATACAGCCACCTTGTGTGGAGGGAATGCCGCGGGACATGCCTTTACGTCAGACGGTTGTGGTAAAAAGGGTTGGTGGTGAAATAGCTATGGATGGTGAGATAGAGGATTGGTCCCAGGTTCCACGATATAAACAGATGCGTAAAGGCATTCCTGCAAAACTCAGTCTCACAGCTTACGGCATGTCACCTGAAAGATTGCGGAGTTTCAGGGGTCTTCGAGCAGAAGAAGCCCGGAATCAGCAGATGCCCTTAAGAGTAGACCAAAATCCCGAAGCACCCCAAAACCCTGAAAATACCTCAACAACAACAGATGTGCCGACAACGCGCTCGGATGCTGAGGATGGACCGCTCATTCAGGGCTACCCTCCACGGTCGGTTCCTAGGCACGGGCCGGGGTACTTCGCTTTAGGGGAGTCCGAGAAGAGGGAGTTAGTTAGGCTCCATAACAATTTGGGTCATCCATGCACTGAGACGTTTGTCAGATTCCTGCAAGAACGAAAAGCCGAGCCTGCGCTCATCCAGGGTGCTCGCGACTACTCTTGCAGTACGTGCTTGGAAACGGTTCCCACCCAAAAGTTAGCTAGGCCGGCGACAATTCACACGCATCGAGATTTTAACGACACAATCGGTATGGATGTTGCGTACTGGACCAATAGCGGGGGGAAGAAGTTTCTGTTTACGCACATTGTCGATGAGGGCACACTGTTTCAACAAGCCAGTGGAGTAGGTAGGACGCCAGAAGAACAATGGGAGTTCCTATCGGATCATTGGTTTCAGTGGGCAGGGCCTTGTCAAACTTTGTATGTAGATCCAGCAGGGGAGTACAACAGTGATTACTGGCGTCTAAAGCTGCAAACTGTAGGTGTGTGCACCAATGTTTCTGCGGGAGAGGCTCATTGGCAACTCGGTAGGACGGAAGCTCATGGTAGGATACTGAAGAGCATGCTTTCTAAAATGGACCATGAAGAGCCCATCCTGAACGACGAAGGTTTTCGTCGGTGTCTGAGAGCGGCAGTGCAGGCTAAGAACAGCTTGAGTAGGGTCCGGGGCTTCACACCTGAACAGGCAGTCCTGGGTAAACTTTCGCGGCTGCCAGCCTCTCTGATTTCCGACAATAGTGCCACGTGCCATGCTTTAGCCGACAGTGATCTGCCAGAAGGAGTCTCCTTCAGGAGGGACCTGCAGCGCCGTGAACAGGCCAGAGTCGCATTCATACATGCAGACAACGACAACTCGTACCGTAGGGCTCTACTTCGTCGTTCGAGGCACCCCTGTGAAAGATATGAGCCGGGCGATTGGGTTCTGTACTGGCGCCGACATAAAGCCGGGAGTCGTGCGGAGCAAGGAAGGTGGTATGGGCCGGGTCAGGTAATTTGTGGGGATAGCAAGGTAGTGTGGGTGAGCCATTGTGGGCAATTGATCCGTGCAGCTCCTGAGCAGCTGCGATCCGCGTCCTTGAGAGAATGGCAAGGGGTGCTGGGAAAGACCAGCGCTGAGAGTTCACAAGGGGCAGTAGGTCAAGGGGTTAGAAGGGTGGTCGACCTTGCTGTTCTCGGAGGAACACCTAGCCGAGCAGAAGTGGAGAGCCAGGGAGAGGTTCCGCAGGATGTTCCCGAACCATTAGGACCCATAGCCCCAGAAGGAGTAGCTGGGATAGAGGCCGGGGGTACGGTTCCTGAAGTTCCTGAAGAAAATGCGGAGGGAGAACAGCCAGAGATGGAAGTCTCACCTGTGCCGTCGGTAGGTCTCGAGACAGATATGGTAGATGCTTCGAACATTCCTGTGCCTGAAGATGACGAAGACGACCTCTTGTTTGGAGACAGTGAGTGTTTTTTCGCACATCCCACACAGTCACAGGCATGGGAAATCAGTTTGCATGAAACGGAGGTGCCTTTCGAAAACCTCCCGACGCCGCAGCAAGCTTTGCATTTTGTAATGTTAGCCACCGAGGCACGCAAGAAACGAGTTGAAGTAAGATTGAGGGACTTGAACGAGGGTGAGAGGCAACAGTTCGTAGAAGCTAAGGGCAAGGAGATTCGAGCCTGGCTTGACCACAGGACTGTACGTAAAGTAGCTGCGGGAACCCTTGATGATAGTCAACTCATGCGTTGCCGCTGGCTTCTAACATGGAAAGGCCCCGAGAAGGATGGAGGGCCGAAACGGGCCAAAGCTAGGCTAGTGGTGCTTGGGTTTGAAGACCCAGACATTGCTGATATCCCTAATGACGCTCCTACTTTAGGTAAGGACGCCCGACAACTCATCCTTCAGAAGGTGGCCAGTAACCGTTGGAAACTGATCAACTTCGATGTGTCCACTGCTTTTCTGCAGGGGGAGGGGGATGGTAGAAAGCTAGGCATAAGACCACCTGAAGAGTTAAGAAGAGCCCTCAACATGCAGGCGCAGGAACAATGCCAGCTCGAAGGCGGCGCTTACGGCAGAATCGATGCTCCGTTTTTGTGGTTTCAGACATTTAAGAAGACACTTGAAGAGCTTGGTTTTGTGCAAAGCCCTTTCGATGCCTGTGCTTTCAGCCTCGTTTCACAAAGGGCCGATGGTAGTGCTCAGGTTCATGGTGTTCTGGGAATACACGTAGACGACGGGATTGGGGGAGGTGATGAGTATTTTCGGAGGGTCATAGATCGGTTGCGGGGTATCTACAGCTTTGGGTCGTATGATGAGGGCGAGTTCACGTTCACCGGGATTCGTTTTCGCCAATGGGACGATGGGAGCATTGAAATGGACCAAGAGAGGTACATAGAGAAGATCGTGCCCATACATGTGTCCCGAGAGCGTAGAGTGAATCCCACCGCGATGTTGAACCCTGAAGAACTTAAAGAGCTGAGACGCCTCAACGGTAGCCTCCAGTATGCTGCAGTGCATTCTCGACCCGACCTAGCTGCAAAGGTAGGCTACTTACAGACAAGGGTCAACAAGGGCCAGGTTCAGCATCTTCTGGAAGCTAACCGTGTCCTTCAAGAGGCCAAAGCTCACCCAATCTCTTTGATGGTTGTGCCAATTCAAGAACAGCATGTTACGTTTTGCACCTTTTCGGATGCTTCCTTCGCCACGTCGAAAGACCATAACTCGTATCAGGGTACGCTGGTGGTGGCAACAGACTGGCGAATGCTAGCCAACCGCGAAGCTGTGATCATTCCTGTGGCCTGGTCCAGTAAGAAAATCTCCAGGGTAGTAAGAAGTACATTGAGTGCTGAGGTAGTTTCTCTCTGTGGGTCCGTAGACCGAATGTCCTGGATCAGGTTGTTCTGGGAATGGTTCAAGAATCCTGCTGTTGATATCGCACATCCGGAAGAAGTCCTTTCCCACGCGCCTCAAGCTTCGTTAGTCACCGACTGTAAGAGCGCTTACGATATAGCTACGAAAACTGCTGTACCTACGTGTTCTGAACTACGCACCCAGTTGGAATGCTTGTTGCTGAGGGAGAGACTTCAAGAAAATTGCAAGATGCGCTGGGTTCATTCAAAGGCCATGTTAGCGGACTGTTTGACCAAAGTGATGGATAGTTCCGAGTTAAGACGTCACCTACGGGAGGGTTACTATGCCTTATTCGACGAACAAAAGGTTCTTGAGAATAGAGCGGGGCAGAGACAGTCGCTGCAGTGGCTACGCCAGAACTCAACCGGAGTCTCACCGGAGCACAAGTGAAGAAACTTAAAAAGTTGGTTTTCGATGAGTGTTAAACCGACAGGTTCCCATGTTCACTTGTGCTGTCCAACATGTCTTCATCCTCGCCGGCCCTTCCGACAGCTCCGAGGTGGGAGGGAGAGGCTAGAGCTTGACCAAAACTGCACGGGGTGCAGTGGAGGGCTACATTCAGGGCTGGGTCCTCATAGGGGTCTGTGGACAGACCATAGGGTTACTTAGGTCAGGGTGCCTCATTCGACATTGCTTAGGCCGACAGGACCGGGCTTAGGCATAGGGGTTTCACATTAGGGTTTAGGGTTTAGGGTTTAGGGTTTAGGGTTTAGGGTTTAGGGTTTAGGGTTTAGGGTTTAGGGTTTAGGGTTTAGGGGCAGCAGCTAAAGCTACCATCACTTGCACCGATGGCTGTCACGGTTGTCACGAGCTGTCACTAGCTGCCGCTGCTTTGGCGGCATCGCGCAAACGTTCGCGCTCAACTTCCATTGAAGGGACATCTTGGGACCTCTTTATTGGAGCCCGCTTCGGCACGGGCCGCAATGATGCCAAGCTAGTTTTAAAGAGAAAAAGGTAAGCTTCATGCTGCGGATTGCGGCGGAGTGCTCAGGCGCTGGCTCGCGCTGTCAGCGCCTGCAGAGGCACCAGCGCTGAACAAAGATATGCCCAGCCAGGAACTGGAGATTCGGGAAGGCCGCTCTGTCGTACAAGCTTGTGTCTACAAGCAAAACGTTCCTTGAGCTAGTCACCATAGCTCCAACCTGCACGAATGGCTTCCATGCACTCTGCCTTCGCTAGACCTTCGCGGTCACGCCGCTGCCATTGAAGTGCCTTCCGACTTGGGCAGCAGGCATGGACGCACGGCATTCGGCTTTGATGGTTGAAGCCGAAAGCCTTCTTCACTCTATACCATACCTCTAAAGACTCCAACGTCTACCGCACCACAAACAAGGCTGGTCTATGTTTTCAAGTCAAAAACATGTGCAAAAAAAACATGTGTTTAGCTACAAGCAAGGACTCATGCTGGGACTTTTGACGGCGTGCCCTGCAACTGTCGGCCTGCTGCAGCGCCGCACGACCTCCCAGCACACAGCGCATGAACAAGACATGGTGGCGTGGCGCATGCCGCAGCCAGTCCGACCGTTCTTGTGAAATAGTATTTCCAAGCAGTGCCCACAGAAAGCTTGGGCCGCAGCAGAAGCCCCAGCCGGTGATCCAGTTGCTGAGGGCACCCCTGGGCTGCGCGATGCTGCGCACTCGAAGCTGCGCCAACTTCAACTCCCCCCTCTCTACACTTCTCCGGACCTTCTAAGGGAGGTGATATGTTGAGAAATGAGGACCACAATAAGGTACCCCTACTTTCGGAACCCCCCATGTGTGGTTCGCCTAATCTGGCACTCGCAAAAAGCTGGCCTCAGCCACCGGTCCCACCACTCCAGCGCCAGCGTCCGGAAGTCCGGGGCGCCCAGCTGCGCAACAAGAGATTCGAGGCGTTACGTTTTTTTGTGTGTTTTTTTGCCATCCGCCTAGCTGCCTAGCTGACTGAGTCGCCACTCTTGCAGGTTCTGGCTGCAACTGCCGACGAACAGCTGTGATCCAGGTGACTGCGCCACGGAGTTGTACCCCTCTAAGCCTCTGAGGCCTTCCCTTGTTTATTCTTCTAGAAAATGGCCTCCGCCGGGATTTCAAGATCCTGCATGTCCTTCGCAGCAGCCAACCTGGAACTCGGGAACGTTTATGCAAAGCTGAGACATGCAACGAAGCGCAGCAAGAGCCTGCAAGCCAGCACCAGCTGCGACGCTTTGAAGCAAACGATGTACTGGTCCTTGGCTGGCTTCGACGGCATGTGCCAGAACATGTATGACACGGGCGTCAATGATGTCGCAATGCAACTGCCTCCAATAAAGATCCAATTAAGCCTCGCACCATGGCAACTGCAAGCAGGAAGCCTTGCATCGGTGCCAAAGTTGTCCCGACAGAATCGATCTCATAGGGTTTAGGGTTAAGGGTTTAGGGTTTAGGGCAAATCTTTGGCCAAGAGGCACAGCGAGAGTGAAGGATCTGCGTTGCGGCGGTCATCCCAGATCTGGGAAGGGCGGCGTCAATGGACAGTGTGAACAATGAGTGCGGACCATGGTGTCTGCACACCTTGGCGTGAACCACACCCGAAACTCCCCCCCCCCCCTCCCCCTGGTTCCCAACATGCCGAGTCCTACGTCTCAAACCCTAAACCCTAAACCCTAAACCCCAAACCGATTCTCCAGTATGCCTCGAGTATGACACACATCTGCTGCCAGCCGAGGTGTTGGAAGACCTCGGCTGCCACTTGCGGTCAAGAAGCCAGAAACAAAGCCGATTTCATGCGCTGCTCCCCCGTTGTAGACCGACAACAGTCGTCTCCAAGTAACTTGAGAACGTCTGAGATGCCATGTACTTCGTTCTGGGCGAAACTATGCCGTGCATAAGCTGTTGAGCGGCGATCTTCCTCACCTAACACGAAAGCAAGCTAATCTTCTAACTTTAGGAGCGACCACGTGCGAGGCGCCAAAACTCGCTGCCAGGAGTTGACTGTTCGCTTTTGCTCGGGTTGTTTGGATTGATGTGGGTTGTCTGGTACAGCCGAAAGAACCGGAGCCACAACTTCCAGTTGCGTTGCGAGGCACAAACGGATCCCGCTCGCTGGCCACCAAAAGTGCCTGGCACCAACTTTGTGCTCTGTGTTCACTGAACCGTCCGGTCCCATTTTGCCCAGACCGGAGACAAAATCCATCAAAATCCGCTGCTAGAAACGCAATGAAAGGCATGACCCGCTCCTGTCTCAGCGCTGAGGGCACTACCTTATCCAGCCATCATCACACTGGAATGGGACTCTTGGCATCCTCTTGCAATCTCACCACATCCTCACCTAGGGCACCGGGCACTCAATCGGTTGTGGAGAACCTCAGCTGTTCAGCAAACGCTTGAAATCTTCACTGCCACCTCTACCAGGACTAGGCGACGAGGACTAGGATGCTGATGTTAACGGTATCTAACGCTCCTACTCGTGGCCTTGGCAAGGCTGAGGCAAGCAAACACGCGACCTGGAATTGCAAAGACTATTTCTTGGCATCGCCTTCCATGAAGTTCACTCTGCCGTGTTAAATCTGCTAAGGAGCTTCCACCTGTGCCGCAAGAGCCTCCGGCTGGAGGCTCTGCCAACCTGGCCCCCATCTTTCAATCCACGGTGGTTACGAGGTGCAGGACTCGAATGACGAGCTGATGCTCATGGGAAGCTAGAGAAGAGAACTCCGCAGGAGAGAGAGCTTGATGCAACATGACAACACAGGCCAAGCGGTACGGAGCAGAAACACCTCTGCCAACTGCGTCCACACCCTGGCCTGCGCATCATACTGTTCGGAACTCGAGATGGCAGACAGATGTAGACAGCAATCCCTTCCAGCATCAATCCCGAGTGCCCCGCGTCCCTCAGAAAATACTGGCATCACCACCCGATTCCCCAATTCAAAGCACCTACAGGCCCTGAGAGTCCAGCTTTTGCCGGCTGGGACCGGAGAGCCTGGCCAAGCACTTTGGCTTTGGGCTTCGAGAAAGCGAAAAGAAAACCTGCCATTCTTCGCTCACTAGCAATGCCTTGACTGGACTTTCGAGTAGCTGGGCAAGCTCTGAGACAAGGAATACGAGAACGACATGCAGCGCTCCACTAGCTGCCATGTAACCGTTGCTCTCTTCACTGGGCCTTGCAAAGCTTTAGCAGGTCACCCTCCACCTTGGTTCCGCAGAGTTTTGGGTCTCTAAACCCTAAAACCCTAAAACCCTCAAACCCTAAAACCCTAAAGAATACTATTTTTGAGGTGCGAGAGTCCAACGTGTACTGGTGATGGAGGTCCAAGGGTGAGCGGGCTCATCGTGGCAGGGTTGATTTTGTAGCCTTACCGCCGGCGCTGCGTCAAAGCCAGTAAACTGTCCCTGCCTCAGACCCCAAACCGCGCAAGGCAGCTTCAAAAGTAGCCCAGAACACCCCGAGAGTAGATAGAGAGCGTGCCCCCCCCCCGGTTGGAGGCACCGCGGAGGTGAGAGCGAACTCGGGCAGGCGGAAACACCCAAGTATCAAGTTCCTTTTCTCAGGTAATCCCTTCCCCCAAATGCTAAGCCCCCTAATATGAAGTACCCCCATGATAGTTTTGGTATAGTGTGTGTGGGGATTAGCATACGGAGGCGGTTAGTCTTAGGGGGAGGGGATTAACGTAGGAGCCCCTTGGAACAAGCTGTCTTTGGAGACATAGCCATTTAAAAAGGTGCGCGTTTCAAATAGCAAGGTGATCTGTTCTTGAGAAGCGGGAGGAGGTGTGAGGTGTGAGGTGTGAGGGAGAGTGCAAGGACTGCTTCCCGAAGACCAAGGCGCATTTCATTCAACACAAGTCCTTAGCACCACCTCAATTTCCAGAACCGATTCAGCCCAAAGTCTGTTCTTGACGATTCTGCAGTTAGTTCACTCGGGAGCAGGGATCAAGCTTTCAGAAAGGGTCTGAAGTTGCGCCTGTGGCTGCTGGGCCCCGGGCGTATCTCAGAGGATTCTGCCGAGCATCCTGGTCTTTGCACCACAAACAACTGATGAACACTAGCCTCTTCCACAATAACACCGATGAATCTTACGTAACCAGCCTGTTTGTTTCCCGTCTGCTCCACTCGGCCCGGCCTCCAAAAAGATTTGGGCCAGGACGTTGACATCGCTGCCCATGTAGCGGGCGAGGGCTACCAGCAGCTGGAGCGCCTCGCCAACACGAGCTGGGAGAGCAGCTGTTGCAAAATGCTGCGACTGCTGCAGCTACGGTTGCAATGTAGCCGCAACGATGCCGCATGCACAGTGAAGCTGCAAGCCAGCCAGGGCCTCCTCGGGAGAAACATCGGCCAGGCACGCCTTATCCTTCCAGCGCGTGCAGTAGCTGTACAGCTGATCGGCAGGAATGCACGCCGATGAAGCAGCTCTTGCAAAGCTGGAAGCCACCAAGGGAAAGCAGATTATCCCCAAACTCAATGCCACACGATCTTGCATACTTGCAGCCTCCTCAAGAAGATGCCGAAGCAGGAAGGCGGCAGCACGAGCAGCCGCGGCATCCTGCTGCGCATGCCGTGGTCATTTGGGGGTTTACGAACATAGAGGTACCCTTTCGGGGGTCCTTATTCTAAAGGGTCCTAATATTTGGGGGTCTATATCAGGGGTTCCTGATTATCGTCAACTCCCATTTCTGCATGTATGTGAGCAGCCGCATGCGCCCAACTTGAGCTCCCGTCGCGCAGACGCTTGTTTCTTCAAGCAAGGCGTCACCCCATGAAGTCAGATGTGGTCGCTGGATCATGATGCCATTTCCACGACAGCTGTGTAGGATGCCGGAAAAGCTCCTGGGACAAAAGCAGATGAGGTCTTCCGCCCTCACATCCATCAGTGTTGCAAAGCGTGCAAACCTTTTGGATCACCGTTTAAGGTTTAGGCCCAGGGTTTTTTGCCAGCCGCCTAGCTGACCCCTCAACAAGCCACTCCGCAAGGAACCGTCGAGGGCACCGTGGGGCCAATGTCAAGCAATCAACAGGGTGTCGGGTTGAGGCTCCTCGGCAACTTGCAATCCATTCAGAGGGGAGGTGGGCCGGAGGCGCCGCAGCGGCACATCCACCTGGGAGAGGCAGGCCCTTTGCGAAATGCGGCATGCCTTGACCCGCGCAACTTCTAAGCCTAGCGGGCCTAGCGGTCTTCGTGGCACAGTTTTCCTCGTCATAAAGAAAAGCCCCGTCGGATGGGGCGCTGGAAACTGTAAGAAACATGCTCTCCAGGCAAGTGCGTCCTTCCTCGCGGGATGTCTACGTCTACGTTTGCCACCCCACCTCCCAAGACAAACGTAACAAGCAACTCATCCAGGGCCCTGGCCGGGTACAGCTTTTCGTCACGCACAGGGCCTTGTTGCGTGCCACACTGCTGGCGAAGCTCCTCGAATGGCCGGCAAGCGGGATGCGAGGCTCATGTCACACTTGCTGCAGTTTGCAAGATACTGCCGAGTTGCCCAAAGCAGCACTGACCCCAGAGCGTGGCTGTCAGGACGATCATAGCTCAGAAGTGGGGCCACCTACGAAGCAAAAGCCAAGGGTTGTTGGGGCTGCTTGCCAGGGCTGACGCTAAAGTCACTTAATCCCCAAGTTCAAGTAAAGGAAATCCAAGCCCAGCCCGTGAACCTGCACCATGCAACTTGAGCAACACACGCGACGCTAGAGACACAGTCAAACATACCCTGCACAGACTTGAGAGGGTGGCCGCTGGTAGCTGTACAAGCGACAGCCTTGTGCTACCTAGTTGAAGTCTTGTTTTCGGTCCCCTTCTGTCCTGCGGTCTTCATGACAACAGCAGCAGCTCCGATCTCACAACCTACGCTTTCCGGGTCTTACCGTTACCACTTGCGCTAACCAGACCATTCGGCCTCCAGCAAGGCCTGGTATCGCGCAGCCAGCTCGCGACGTGGCATGGCCTGTCAGGTGGGCCCCTGATGGTCCATAGCGTTTTAGATGCATGAGTACAGCCGCACTATAGCCGTTGGAGCGACCCTGACGTGCTCAGGTGAGCTTCCATGTTCGGCTCGAAGTCTCCGGGGTGATTGAAAGCAAAGGTTCTGGCCTCGAGTCGACGAACAACACCTGTCAAGTTTCGCATCCACTGCTCCTGGCGTCTGATGCTACAATAAGAGAGGCTCAGTCACAGGTCTCAGCGAGTGCGGCAAGTTCTTCAACCACCGAGTCGATGTAGAAATTGTCTATCTAGTGAATCTTGTGTCAACTTACCTTGCAGGTACTGGCCGACGGCCTTTCGGGCGTGGACACTTGCCTCTGCCATGCTATACCATCCATGCACCTTCTTGTGCCCAGATCGTGCTAACACTCCACTCCCTTGGCCCAGCGGGCGGCCCTCTGGCGACCCTCAACGTCCTCCGGGATGAACACCGCATAGGCTTCATGCCTGATATGCCCTGCGAACCTGGGCAAGGGGAGCAGCTGGGCATGCTCGTGAAGACCCCCACATGGCGCGGTCACCAAGTTGGGCTGGGAGGCGGTGCGAAAGCATAGAGCCACTGGTCGCTGACGACAACCTGAGCCACCCAGCAAGCTTGGGGCCCCGTCGATACATCGAAGAGATGCTTGCAACCCTATTTGGGAGTTTACGAAAATAGGGGACCCCTAATATAAACCCACAAAATAGTAGGATTCCCCTGAAACAGGGACCCCAATAAGGTACCCCTAATATCGGAAACCCCCAAACAGGGTTTACATCGCAAACACTCAAGTCCAGGTGAGCTGCAGGGATGCAGTTGTGAAGAACCGCATCGTAGAACTTCCGGGTTGGGCCTCCATTCCTGACAAAATTGCTCCGTGATGCGAGGACCCTCGGGTTCCGAATGGCAAATGGATGGGAGGTCCTTCCCGCGATCGCAAAGCAAAACCGGCTGCTTTGGAAGCCACGCTGGAGTTCGCTACCTCAAGGTTTTGCTGGATTTTGACATGATGCGGTGCGTCTGGAGTTGTGTTGCCGGAGTCGGCCAGCACTGTCAACAGCCCCGTCTGCAGCCACAAGAATCAGCAAGGCTGGTCGTAAGGCGCTTGGCGGGTTTGGGGTTGAGGTTTTGGCTTTCAGCTTCAACTATCGCGTGGTGGTACAGGCGGACAGACGCCGTCGCCTTCGGCGACGATTCATGGTAGTCAGTTGCCCCTGGACCCAGCAAGCATTTCAGTGAAGTGGTTGGGAACCCCTCTAAATACTCGCTGAGGGCTTACTTCAGCCTTCCAGCCACTGGAAGGATCCTTACATCCTTCATCTTCACTCAGTCTGCCTGCTCTCCCAGCGAAGGCCAGAAACACGAAGCCTTCACAGCCTGCTCGGACGAAACGAATTTAAATTGAAACTTTGCAAGCCTCCGAGACTCAAAGAGTTTTCTGGAAGCTGAATCAAATGATCTCAAATGGAAGCGACCTTTCAAACAGCTCTCGGACAACAACAACCTAAAGAGGCTATGCCACGTTTACTGAGCTTCTCCAAAAGCCACACAACCAAGGAAACCAGAGCGAATGTCCCCAGGACATGCAGGTATATCATTGAAAACATCTGCACAAGCCTGGTGTGCAAAAATGCATTTGGCCAAAGCCGGCCTGAACAGCAGTACTCGATGGCGCTCGTCTGATCAAGCATCAACGTGGCCACCGAAACAGCTTACAAGGTTTCCAGCACCTGCATCTATGTCTGCAGCTTTTGGAGTTGCACCTCGGGCTTGCTGTTGAGGATGCTGCTCTTCAAGGACTGAATTTGTCGGGTTTGTGCCCTCAGTTGGCCACGCTGTGTCAACAGCGCTTCTTCCAGAGTGTGGTTTTTGCTCCGCAACGACTTGTATTCCTCTCTGAGTTGGTCGTAGTCACCCTGCACGAAAGTAGCGCTTCCACCACGCGCAGTCATGGCCTGCACCTCCTCGACCCACGCCTCGGCCTCCGTCCGGCGCACCACCTCGTCTTGCAACTTCTCTTCCAGCCTTTCCGTGTGACAGTGCATCTTCGTCAGGTACTCCATGCACTTGGCCTGTCTGGAGCGCCAAAATGTCAGGGAGTCTGCGTCCCCTTTCGGCCCCTCGGTCTCTTTGGTCTCCGTCCCCGGGTCGGGAGTGATGCGATGGCTTGATGATGACTCCGATTCCTTGGCCTCTAACTGTTGCTTCAGGTCCTTGACCATCTTCCGCAGTGCCTGTGTCTCAGCATCCCGCCTGTCATGGCGACAGCGGGGGCTGAAGTCACTGCTCACCGTTTTGTAAGACTTGTGAGAGGCGGTCGTCTCCATCGAAGCAACGCGGGTGAAGAAACTCTCACCCAATTCAGAACCATCCTCAAAGCTACTTACAGTACTTGCGGAATCTCCGCTCCCGAAGATCCCGGACACTTGCGGTTCGATGTGGGAGAACTCTGGATAGACTTCAGGAACCTCGTTCCTTTCATTCTTTGCTTGTGGACACGGCAGACACGGCTTCCTCACAAGTGCCAGCGGAAGCCTCGGCACAACCAACGCATCCTTGTTTGCTAGCGGTCCTGCGAATCTGGCACTTCCAGGAGTTCCGCCGGTGAGCTCTCCAGGCTCGATCTGCAGCTCCTTGCGGCAAGGTGTCTCCAAAGTCTCCGCGGAGCAGCCCACAGCATCTGGTAGATACATGTGTTGCAGCGGGTTTGTAGAGCACTCGGTCAGCTGACCTGGGAGCAGGTCGGACGACGATGAGCCTAGTAAGGCCGCAGGGCCCAAAGGCTCCTGGCGGGGCATCTTGCGCCTGCGCCAATTCCTGGAGGAGATCGGCGCCATGGAAATGGCCTCGCATTCCGAGAGCTTGCAAGGCTGCCCCGGCTGCTGGTGCAAATCGCTCTTCACCAGTTCAAGCTCCTCATGGTTTCTGACTCCTGTCTCCAGCACCCCACCGGCAGAAGATGGAGAAAAGATAGGTGCAGTTGACGGGCAAGCTTCTCGGTCAACCAGGTCAACCATGTGTTCCATGCTCTGGATCTGTCTGCTACCATCCTCCGCGCGGCGAGTGCGTCCAGCTTGGGTGTACCAAGAACTTCGCACTCCACCTGCAGCGGCCTGGGCGCCGCAAGATGGCAAATCAGACTGGCGCACTTTTCGCATGCTGCCGTTGTGGCTCGAGGGCGTGCTGCTGCGTGCACGTGGAGGTGCCCTGAGGGCTCGAAGGACTCGAAGAACTCGATGGATGCGGCGCCGGCCGTCACTGCGCTTGTGTTGCGCCTCACATCGGCTCTCGTGGAAGCGGATCGACATGCCAAAGCCTCGAAGGCCAAACCAGCCAACGTTCTTGCCGCAGTACTGGCAGATGCCTCGTGCGCATGGGGCCTTCTGCGAAGGACGTGGCGAATGCATGTGAGGGCCTGCAGGCACTGCAGGCTTTCGCCTGCGCGTGCGAGCACCAGCTCGAACCTGTGGCGCCATGGCAGATGCGCTGGATCGCCTGCAACTATTCACGCCAGGGCGTTGCACCATGATCATTGACTTGCAACGCAAGCACAATCAAACACACTACTGACAGTGTTTACTTGCATGTGTCTTGCACTTACATTCAACCAGTTTGGGCAGCTGCAAACTGGAGCAAGAAACTGCACCCATTTTGAGGTTGGCGGGGATCGGGAGGGTGCTAAGCTGAAGGCTGAAGCTCAGCGCAGCACTCGGCACAAATTTGTCGCCAACCCACACCCGCGCGGGGCGTCGAGCAACGGACGGAACCTTCAAAGCCTGCGGCTCCATAGAACACGCTTACCAATGCGGGGTTTGCAGTGGGGCTTCCTCGCTCACACGCGCGCACACGGTAGGGCGACTGACTGTCCATTCAACTGTGGGATTTTTAGGATAGACGGGTAGCGAGTCCACACTCATTTGCGGGCAGTTCCCTGGAATGCTGGAATGGGTGAAGAGCCAGTGGCACAACATGAGCATAACATGTGGAAGTTTCATCTAAGATGCCTGGGCTCGCAAGCTTCTTGAGTATTCGTCCTGGTAGAAGCCTGAGAACCTTAGGATGTCGCCCAGGGCTGTGCGGAAACACCTTCGGGCCTTCGCTCAGCAGAAACTCTGGCTGCCGAACAAAGCACTGGTGATAGAACATGTACCTCCTCTTCGTCCAGGCCTCGCAGGGCTGGGCGGAAGGAGAATGGCACTAGCATCCTAAACCCTAAACCCTAAACCCTAAACCCATGCGGCACTGCGTTGCTTGCGCTGCACCTCGAAGGGCTCGGCTTCATGCTTGGAGAACGGAAAGCTCTGCACCTGAACAGCATGTCCACTTCCCAGAGGACCGCGCAGGAGCACCCTCAGAGACAGAGAAGAGTTGGGATGTTCCCCCCTTATACTAGCATAGTCCCTACTAAGGACTGTTGGTATAAGGGGGAACATCCCAAGAGAAGAGACCCAAAGAGACTCACAGAGACAGAGAAGAGACCACAAAGAGATCACAAAACCGCTGTGATAACCTTTCAATTCCCCCTGCGTCCCTGGCGAAGGGTACCGGCAGGGAGCATCGCCAGGGCCGCTTCCTCACGCCCACAAAGGTGCGCAGGAGAGCTCTCCCCAAAGCGTATGGGTAGTTCTCTAAAGTAGGGTCCCCTTTTGGGGGGCTCCTTCCTGTAGGGGTGGCGTAGAATATACAGGACGAAAGAACCACCCGCATGGCATAGCCCAGAACTGCCACCAAAAGAGGACCGTGATTTGTGTGACTCTCCCGACACGCGCGATTGCAACATGACCCAGGTGAAAGTAGGGACCCTATAGTTTAAAGCAATCAAGGAGTTCTTTCATGGCCACTCCTAGCCCTGCGTGCAGAACGCGGCCTGAGATCACCCTTCAGCGTATAGAGGTCCGAGCCCTCGAGCGGAGTAGCCTTCAGTGAGCGGCCGGGGAAGAGCTCCATCACCCCGACCGTCATGAAGTGGAGGTGGGCCCTCGGCTGTTCTTAGGTTGAAGTTTAGGGCTTGCAAATGCAAGCCTGCCTCCCTGCTTGTCTGAGAAACTTGTATTCAAACACTCAAGCAGGCAACATGAGCACGCTTCCTTAGGAACAAAGCGGCCCCCTTCCTTCGCCGCGCAATGGCTTACACTTGCACCTTTCTTGCATGAAGTACTTAGGGATAGGATTCGGGGGACCCTTGGGGATATAGACCCTCTGAAGAAGGTCCCTGTTCAAGAGAGCCAGAAGAGGGTTATCCTACCTAGGATACACTCCCCTGGCCCCATCGGGCTCGTGGAGCTGCACATGAGCGGGTTGGCGAGGCTCCCCCTCCGCCCTTCTTCAGGGCCTCAACACAAAACATCCCAAGCCTCCGAAGCCTTAACCGCTCTTTTTTTGGCTTCTGGACTCATTGCGTCGCGGTCCCAGCCTGAACTAGATTACTAATTGCTTAAGAGCCCCGAAAAAAACGAAAAACATTCTCCCTTATTAAGGGCAAGATGGGGATTAAATGTGTTTTTTCTTTTGGGGTTCTTAAGCAAATAGTAGTAACCAAAAACCCTAAACCCTAAACCCTAAACCCTAAACCCAATCGTAGATGTCCAATGGGATGGCGAGACACGCCGTCCGCAGGGCCTCGGCCATGGTCGGGGCAAACTTCTCGATCAGGCGCTCGGGATAGCTGGCCGACATCCTGATCTTGGAGCTTTCCCGAAACCCTAAACCCTAAACCCTAAACCCTAAACCCTAAACCCTAAACCTTGGAGCTTCTTGGCACTTAGCCGACCTAGCGCCACCCGATGTGCCCTTACTTAAAGGGAGGGGGGGGGGGGGGTCGGCATGTCCTGAATCATTCTTGGGTGCCTTTCGTGAGATACCGCTGGCACTTCAAGGCTCCCGGGTGCAGGCACAAAAGTCATGATTCTCCTTGACTTGGGAGTTGCTTTCGAGAAACCCCACCCCCCCCCCCCCCCCCCCACATTTTGGCAGAGATGCATCCAGAAGTGATCCGCGCCACTCTTCTTGCGGATATGCGACTGCTGAAACCTCAGGTTAGACTTGCGACCATTAAAGCCCACAAAAAACAAGAAACCGGCAAACCTACCAAAGAATAGTGAAGCTTTAGGATGTATGAGAGTAGCCCGGCATTTCCACCTCCTCTCCGCCACCACAGAGGCAACCAAAGTACGTCCTCCAAACACACCCAGGTATCAAAGGATGATTCCCGGAATTCAAGTTCCTTTCGCTGGGGTGCGAGAAGGTCAGGGCCTTGGGATTCTTCATCTTGGGCTTGGGGTGCGGGCTTTAAATTTAACAAGAGGCCCCGAAACCCCAAACCCTCAACCCTCAACCCTAAACCCGGAGTAAGGGCAGGCCTAAAGTGTAGTCTACTGGGTTCAGAAGCTCCACTCTCAACTTCTTGAACATCGCGATTCAGCTCCCTTCTTGGGCGCTATAGGATGGCCAGCCGACAATCCTAAACCTGAACATTAAGGAATAATGCTCTGTATTTTAGTAGATTATCAGGAAATATTATAGAACCTTTCTGAATCGCCAGATGTTTTTGTTAGGCTCTGGGGCCCCGTGCTTGCGACGGAATTCCAACCGCAAGGGTTCCAGAGCTGTATTCGTCCATGTCAAGGAGAACCCCCCTGATACTCGTGACAATCCGAGCTGCACAAGACGCATGGTCTCGAACAGATGCTGCTCATACCTGGGGGAATACGTTTCAGGCAAGCGTGCAGAGGTGCCCGGGGCATGACCGCAGCGGAAGTAGTTGCTAGCTCTGATCTAGATCTAAACCCTAAACCCTCAACCCGAAGTAAGCTGATCTAAGCTGCATCTGCGGTCCACACATCTGCGAGTCGTCTTCATCCAGGTCCGACGGGTCAACGTCAATCCTGAGATTCCGTCACAGCTGAACCTGCACCCTGAGAGTGCTGGCTTGCACCTCAAGAACGCAAACTCCGTGACCCTGCAGATAAACACCCACCCCCTTTTTTGCATCCCTGCCCCAAGAAGACCCTCAAAAAAAAAACGCTAAAGATCCCCAAGTTGCCGGACTCTACCCTAAACCCTAAACCCTAAACCCTAAACCCTAAACCCAAAACCCTAAACCCTAAACCCTCCTTCCCCCCAAGCCCCGCTACAGGTGGTTCCAGCGTCGGGATAATGAACACTTCGGCCTCCGCGGGCTCGAAGGTTCGCCAGGGGTGGGTCATCCTGGGCATCCACAAGATACTTTCAGGGTTTAGGATTTAGGGTTCAGGGTTTAGGGTTTAGGGTTTAGGGTTTAGGGTTTAGGGTTTAGGGTAGCATGTTGCATAGGCCTGTAGCAAACGAGGAGTTCGCTTGAGGTGCTGTGATGCCGTGCTGGCACTGCCCTCCTCGACCTTTCCTGAACCTTCTGGATCCTATGGGCCAAGGGTACACTGTAGGTTTTCCATTTACCTGGCAAACCTGCCAGAAACGACGACGTTAGTTGCAGAGGCCCGGCCAAACCTGAACGTGACAGCCAGGCCGCATCATCCGGGCAAAGTACTTGGCGGCTGCAAACTCGTGGACAGCTCCCAGACTGGCCTTAACATTGCCAAACAAACATTACAGTTTGCATCAACGGCGGGGCTTGACTGAAATCTTCAGGTCGAGGTTGGAGCTTGTAGCCTTGATGTGCCTTGAGAAAGGAACTCCTGTGCCTGATGCTCGTCAGACAATTCCTTGCCCATCGCGGTTAGCTACTTGGTGCGCGGAGCATTCCCGCCCGCACTTGGGGGCCAGGAATGAAGGCAGGCGTAATTTAATGTGTTTTGGGCTTGTTCTCCGATAAGTATGAACGCTCGTGACAGTGTGTCTTGTTCCAGAAACGTCAAACATCCTTGTGCAGCATGTTGTGCAAAGAAGCAAGCAACATCAGAGTGTTGGGGGATGTTCGCCAAAGTGACAGCATGTCTTGTTCCACATCCTTGTGCGCTATTTGCAGAGAAGCAGAACGCTGTAAATGCAAGCGTATGCCGGCATGTTCCTACCAACCCACCCAAGCCAGTCAAAGGCCTGAAAGCACTCAACAAAAACCACACGGACTGGAGCGTCCCGCTCTCCGACTACTTACTACCACCGCTGCTGCACGCGCATCATCATCAGACCCCGGCAATCCTGACCACCCTGTGAAACAACTTACGTTCCGCCACGAAACGTCGCGCAACTCACTGCCAAGTTGGACACACAAGGTCGTGCAAGGCGCACCGCAGACGCAGGAACAACTCCAAGTCTGTCTGCGAGTACCGTTGCAAGGGCAAGGGGCGTCGTAGCGCAGGTCGACAGCAGCCGTGGTCCAGCGGCTCCGCTTCTCTAGCCTTCTTTTCTTCCGCTTCAGGCCTTGTCTCAGATAAACCGATGGAATTCCCACAGCGCCCTGCATTCGAGTGCAGAATGCCAACTGCAGCCAAAGGAGGTCCAAGCGGCAATGACCCATGAGTCCTCGCAGATGCAACGAGACATTCCTGTCCTACACTTCTGCCTACGACCACCGATGCTCCAAACAGACCAGCGGCCGTGAAGGATCGTGACATCGTTGTAGAGGAAGAAGGGAACTGGCAGAGGAAGGGTGGGAGTCTGGTTCGACGCCGACAGCATTGGAAGCCATGGCGCAGCCACCAGAAACCAATGAAAGACTTCACAGGGTCGCAACGACTGAAGAAGTGCAATCGTCGGCTAGAGAGTACTTGCTGGAGTACTGGGTAGGGGGCATGGTCTTGCGCATCGCCGTAGGCCATGTGAACATTATGACATTTCCAGTGCCCTGTGCTGCTGCGATGCAGTCTGAGGCAGGATATGTCAGAATGCCTTCAAGGTACCTTGCGGAGTTTGTTTCTCGAGCCCAGAAGATGCATCGGAGACACCCTACCACCTGTCCATCCAGCACCGGTGCACACGACGAGGAACACCTGACAGAGCCAGACCAACGTGCAGCCGCCCTAAACCCTAAACCCTAAACCCAAAACCCTAAACCCTAAACCCTAAACCCTAGTGGTCCTGAATCCTTCTCTGCTCCCGGCTCCGAGCTAGCTCGCGCTCCTGCGCAGGGCTTTCGTCACGCAGGCGGAAACGATCCCTATTTGAAGCAGGGTTTATATTTCTGTTTTTGGTGAGTGTATATAAGGTTCTTTTTAAATATTGGTGAGTGCATATATTTGGTGTCCTTTTGGGGGTACAAGAAATATACCCTACTTCACATCAGCTTGGCACTGCCTTGCCTCCTGCCGCAGCCCTTGCATTCCAGAAAGCATTTTTGCCCCTGGCTGCTGTGCCAAAACACATCTGGGCCATTCTCCTTCTGCTCGCCAAGGGCGTTGCGCATCCTCGGAAGCGACTCTTGCCTTCCCCTTGTGGTTTCGACTCACACGCTCGCGCAAAGGGCAAGGCTTGAGCATGGGTGTACGTAAGCTTCGCACACGGGATCGTTTGCGGCGCTGGCAAGCTGCACCTCAGCTTCAAATCCATCTTGCACTTCCGGGTATCTTGTGTGGCTTCGAAACAAGGCACTTGGAGGTTCATGGGTAGTTACAAGTAGCGTTCAAGTAACGTTACAAGCATGGCAATTGTACTTGTTACCCTACTTAGGGCACTAATCACCCTACTTCTACCCACCCAGGAACCTCCAAGCCACCCCCCCCCCCCCCCTTCAAGTGGAAAGTTGCTCGCCGGGCCTGCTCCGGAGCATCGAGGAGCTCCTACCAAAATGCGAAGCTGCAATGTCGCCCTTTCCCCAACGTGGGGGTTTGCGAAAACAGGGGACCCCGAATATAAAACCCCCCATATAGTGGGATTACGAAAACCGGGGACCCTAATATCAACCCCCCCACGAGTGGGATTCCCACTTATAATAGGGACCCCCGTAAGGTTCCTCATATTTCGGAAATCCCCAACTTTGACTGCTCGTGTCGCTTGTCTCCTGGCCTGTTTGGTGATCTTCTTTCTGGAAGGAATGGCATAGAACGGTCCTGCAAGTCTCCCATTGCTCAGGGCGGGAGACACGCGTCTAGACCACGAAGTGTTCGCAACTTAAACTAAACCCTAAACCCTAAACCCTAAACCCTAAACCCTAAACCCTAAACCCTCAACCCTCAACCCTCAACCCTCAACCCTCAACCCTCAACCCTCAACCCTCAACCCTAAACCCTAAACCCTAAACCCTAAACCCTAAACCCTGAACCCTAAACCCTAACCCACCACGCTGCATGACACTCCAGCCTTCCAGCCGAACTGCAGTGCCAGGTCCCCACCTCATGGCATTGTCTTGTCGAGCGGGCACCGTTTAGATTTGCGCTTGCAGTACCGAAGCGAGTGGCCATGAACCTTTGTGAATGTCCTTGCCTCCGGTGCCAAGCTACCCCAAGCAGAATGATCGTCTTCCAGCGCGAAGCATGGGGGGGTTTACGAACATAAGGGGATTCCCAATATGGATCCCCAAATAGTCGGATCCCCTTCGAATAAGGACCCCAATAAGGTACCCCCACATTAAACCCTAAATGAACCCTAAACCCTAAAACCCTAAACGCTAAACGACAACCCTCAGCCTGCTTGCCCTGACCATCGCCAAGTGCCACTCAGCCCTGGACCAGTCGCCAGGCTGCAGGGCAGGCGACAGAAAGACAGTCTTAGGGTTTAGGGATTAGGGTTTGGTGTTTAGGGTTTAGGGTTTCGGGTTTAGGGCTGAGGGGACGTATCCATTAGAACTGTACTGTCTACTTCAGGAGCTTCTACAACAACATCCATGATACGTGTACCTATCTACATGTACAAAGCATGTTGTGGCCAGGGGCCAAGGGCCTTCGAACACTTCTGTTGGGCACTCTCCGCTGAGGGTTGACAGACCAATTTAAGTTCACAAACCTATCCGGATATCTGGTGTAACCAACCATATGTGAGCTTACGAAAATATGGGACACATAATATATACCGCAAATAGTAGGATTCCCGTATAATAAGGACACCAACAAAGTACCCTTGTTCGGAAACACCCATATCTCCTCATGGCCTAGGGCAGTAGGGGCTTAGACGGGCACTTCCCAAAATAGGGGCACCCTTTTCCTTCCCAAAACAGAATAGACTCCCCTTAAAAGGGCCCCCAAAAAAGTTTCGGAAAAGCCCCTAAACCCTAAACGCTAAACCCTAAACCCTACACGCTAAACGCTAAACCCTAAACCCTAAACCCTAAACCCTATAAACCCTATAAACCCTTTCAACCCTATAAACCCTAAACCCTAAAGATAGATCCAGCCATGCGCGCCTCGCGCCGCCGACGCCGCATGGCTCGCCGCGTTCTCGCCCGGCGCCGGAGCTCAGACCACATTAGGGTTTAGGGTTTAGGGCTTAGGGCTTAGGGCTGAGGGCTTCAGGCTTAGGGTTTAGGGTTTAGGGTTTAGGGTTTAGGGTTTAGGGTTTAGGTTCTCTTTTGGCACCCGACAAGCCACAGCACAGCGGGGTTTGAAAGTAGGTCTGGGAACGCTCCAAGAAACCCCAAGGTCAGGCTTAGGCTCAGCCTGGGGGATATCGCCTGACGGCATTCAGAGTAGGAAATGTTACCGAATATGGCAGCCTCCCCTGTCCTCCCAGAACCACAATGAACAGAAGAGCAGCCCAATAACACGATAACAACCCCTAAGGTCATTCCCAGTTCGGGGGGGCAAGGGAGGCAAAGTAGCTACAACATCCCGGCAAGGCTTGATGACGACCAGACCAGCATCACAAACACCATCGTAGACCAAACTTCACACTCACCAAGCCTCACCTTTCCACGGCCTCGCGAATGGCCCAGCATGTTGACATGGCCACGAGCCATCGACGCGATCACGAGCCATTGAGCCCGTGCTGCACATCCCCCCGAAACCCCTACCCCACACAGTTCCGACCATAACCGGACCAAAACGAAAACCTTGCATCTCAGGAATTGGTCCCAAGGGGACGAAAGAGGCGGCCCAGCGCTGAGAGCGCCGTGGCTTCAAATGTTTGCCCCCCGGTAGGGCCTTGTCATGATAAGTCGAAATCAGTCAGGAGACACCCAAGCCCCTCTCTGCCCACGGCCAAGCCCCAGTTGCACAAGTTCCCGCTCGACTCATCCATGCGATTCCGAATTACGAACTGCAGGAGCCTTTCGAGTTCTCGAAATACAAATTTCTGTTCATGCACCGTCGTGGTGTGGTCGGATGGGCGGGAGGTCAGTTGGGTTCTACTCTTGACCCGCCTGTAGCCCGGTGGATTACAACACAGTATCTTCTCTCGCCAATCCTTCTGCAGCTGCACTAGCTGGACCCTGCTCTCTCTATGTCGACTTCCAAATGATCACTTGTCAAGCGCGTCAATTTCGAATTACGAAATACGAATTCATGCATGCACCGAATTGGGTGGAGGAGGCAGGAATGTCACGCCCCAGGGGGTTGATTACGTGACCCGGCGACCATGGGCACCGCCTCCAGAGGTGTGGCGAGCACGGGCACGAGATGTCCAACATCTCCCGGTCCTCCTCGGGGCTCTTTGCGCTCTCTTCGAAACCTCCTGGCCCGCAGCTGACTCCGCAGCTTCCTCCGCCTGAGCTGGGCGGTTGATCGGCGCGTGCAAGGAGCCCCTCCTGACCTGCAGCTGACGCCGCAGCTCCGGTTCCAGGTATGCCTCAGCAGTGCTCTCGGGCTCACTGACCTCCAACTCTGAAGGCTCGTTCGGCTTTGCAGGAGCCTCCGGCTGCTGCAGCAACATGAGCAGAACTTCTTGAGGTGCATGTAGGCCGTCTCCAGAAGCGCAGCATCGGCACGGAGCATCTTGATCTCCTGCTGTGCCGCATCAAGCTGCAGCCGAAGGTCGACATCCTGGAGCAGCGCGGCGGTGCTCCCTCCACCGGTTGCGTGTGCGGCCATGCGGCCACCTGAACACGAGGGGGGGGGGGGGGGCGCATCTGCTCCAACGCCACCGGCCCTGGTGTCGAAGTGGCCGAGTCGATATACTTTTCCAAACTCCCGGCGAGCCCCGCGCCGAGCAGCCACATGCACCAACTCAGCATGCAGACTCGTACGTCGCGAAGCAAAAGCTTTGAGCCACTTGAGCCATCACGGTTTAGGGTTTTAGGGTGAAGGGTTTAGGGCTTAGGGTTTTAGGGCCTAGGGTTTAGGGTTGTTTTCATGGCTGGTCAGTCTGAAATGAGAAGACCAACCCGTTGCATCTGCCGAGATGTAAGCTACAACAGTCGAAAAGGCGCAGAGATCTGAGGCGTCTGCTGGCACGTGGCGAAAAAACTCCTCCTCCTTTCGAGGAAGCTCTTGAGGGCTCCGGCTCTCAGACAAGCAATTATTCATGAGCCCAACAAGAGATACAGCGTTACTAGGCCTCTCCATTCTCGAACCAATTGAATTCGACGGTTTCGTGGCTCAGAATCACGTGATGATCCGGGCCTCCTCTTCCCTGAATGCAAAGTCGAGACAGGAATCGACCTCATTGGCAGCTGTTCCAAGCACAATGCTGAGCGCATGAGCGAGAAGACTTTGTTGTCCAGCCAGCTGCGCACGAAGCATCAGGGCCCGGACCACGTCAGTGGTTTGCAACCCGGCCGCGGACAGAATCGGCAGGAAGGTTCCGTCCGCGTG